AGGGCCCCGACCTCGAGACCGCCGCCGCGGACTTGGCCGTAGTTCTCCTATGGACCGCCGTCGCTGGCTTCCCCGTCAAGCTCTCAAAAGCCACCGGGGGCAAGCGCATCGAGTGGGTCGGCGCAAGCATATCCTGCAGGGACGAGGAGAAGGCCGTCGTGGTGACCATACCCAAGGCCAAGGTCGCGCAACTCCTGGCGGAGACCGAGAAGCACTTAGGTAGGGCCGTGATTGGAGCTAAGGAACTTCGATCATACGCCGGGGCACTCTCATTTGTGGCTGGTCTGGTGCCACACCTTCGGCCGTTCCTGGCGACGTTCTGGGCAGCCCTTTCGAAGCATGATATCACGAGTGATGGTTCACCTTACACTCGAACCAGAAAGTTGATTCATGTTAGAAGGATCAGCCCGGCACTTCGTTGGGTAAAGGCGTTGCTGTCTGGCACCGAGACACTCGAGAGGATCTTCTACGCCAACCCGCCGGCCACTGACTTGGAGCTGGTGACAGATGCCTCGCCATGGGGCATCGGTGGAGTGTGCCGACGAAATGGAGAGCCGCTGGCATACTTCCACAGCCATCTCCCGGACGACATCCTCGCCAAATTTTCAGCGGAAAGGGGGGTGTCAAGCTACAACACCCTATGGGAAGGCCTCGCCCTTTTGGTAGCTTTCAGACTGTGGTTACCGGCACTCACCCACGGCTCGGTGTTTCGGGCGAAGTCGGACAACCTAGGCTTCCTGATGGCATTGTCCAAGGGAAGCGCTAAGTCACCGGCCCTGAATGTGCTGGCGCGGGAGTTTGCTTTTGACCAGGCCACCCGATGCTACCAAATAAGGGGGCTGGTCCACATCGCGGGTGTGTCCAATGTACAGGCGGACGCACTCTCGAGGTTGAGCGCTCCGGAACGAAAGCCATTCCCGTCGGAGCTGCTAGCCACCCCTCGCTGTGAGGTGAAGCTGGGCGCCGACTTCTGGAAGGTGGTCTGAAAAGACACGCTCCCATTAGTTTGTGCGCACATGCGCCGTTGCTGTCATGCGCACACTTCGCTCTTTCACTTCTCTCACTCTCTCACTCTCACTCGTCGAGCAGTTCTATGTACTTGCCATGTCTGCAGGCTCAAAGTTGCGATGCCCAGACCAAAGAGGAGGCTTGGGCAAGCGTTCTGGCCTAGTGCTAGTGGTAACCCCCCCGTGCCTCCGCCGAACCCCAGGCGAGCCGGCGTCCTACACGAAGGTCCTGCTCTCGGGCGGCCTGTGGAAGATGTCAGGCAGCCGGACGGGTCAGGGGCAGGGAGCGTAGTCATAGAAGAAGAGAGAAAGAGACAACGGAACAGGCGGGGGGAACCGGTTCCATACTGTAGGGGTAGCTCTGCAAAGCTTTTTGAAGCGGCAAGCCACCCCGAGCAGTGTAAGGAACTTCTCCTAGCCGATTCCAGGTCGGTTACATCCGTAGGCCCGGTAGAGTCAAGGCTCAAACTTTGGTGCGATGTTTCAAAGCGAGCCAGACTCGAACCATTTCGGCTCACGCCTGATGGCATATATTCCGTTATGGGCGCCTTTAAAGCCGCCGGGTACCGGTCTGCAATGCAGTATCTGGAGCTTGCGAAGCAGGAACACATCCATCGGGGGCACGCCTGGAGCGAACAGCTGGCGCTCGCGTATCGAGTGTGTTCCCGGTCGTGCAAGCGCGCCCTGGGGCCGTCCAAACAGGCCTCGGCGCTTCCAATGGACAAAGTCCCGAGCGTTACTAGGGACGTGGCTATGGTCACCAACGGTCCCCGCGACCCAGGGACAGCCACCATTGTAGCATCGTGGTGGCTCCTTCGCGAAATCGAGGCCTCACATGCCCGAATCCAGCATCTTACTTTCGACCATGAGTCCAAGACGGTAGCCTGGCTCTTGCCTTCGTCTAAAACAGACGTCGCGGCTTTGGGGGCGACTCGAAAGCACGCCTGTTCCTGTGAAGTGCTGAGTCCCCGGCTCTGCCCTTACCATTCCGTTCTTCGTTTGGTGGGCAGCCGCGGTCCCTTGGAGCCCGTTTTCGTTGACATCAACGGGGCGCCGCCCTCGAAGGCGGGCTGGGCTGACACCTTTCAGGCCATCGCGCGCGCTCTTGGCGTCCCCGTTTGCTTGGCCAATGGCGCCCGAGCCTTCACCGGTCATTCGGCACGTGCCACGGGGGCACAGTACTTGGCCGCTCGAGGGGTCGAGCTTTGGAGAATCCAAATTTTCGGGCGGTGGGACTCAGATGTCATCCTCAGATACGTCAGAGAAGCTCCACTGTCGCAGCTGTCAGAGCTGGCAATCGAAGCGGGCCACAAGGACTCACTTGCCAGAGCACGTCGTGAGCTGGAGGCACTTCTCCGGAAGGCTAGACCTTCCTTAGCTATCCCGGATGCCGACTGGTGCGATGAGCTGATTGGAACAGAAGCGCCGCCGCCGCCATCTGTGCCCCATGACAGCTCCGAAAGGCTCATTTTGAATCTCTCACCTGGAGGAAAGATACATCGGTGCCGAACCGACCTCTCGGTTCCCAGTAATGCTTTGCACCCAAGGCACTGGAAGGCCTACTGTTCATGGCCTTTCGCCAGGGACCATACCCTTTTTCGCTGGGTTAGCAATGATTGCGAGGGCAGGAGGTGCAAGAGATGTTTTCCCTCGGCGCGTCGGACAAACTCGTCTGCGAGTTCCGCGTCGGGGTCTTCAGAGTCATCGTACTCGTCGTCCTCGGAGAGTTCTTGAGTTTGCGCCCTGACCGCCACAGCAGGATGGGAGTCGTCTCTGGTCAGTAGCCGCAAGGTCAGGTGGGTGTGATCCCGGCCCTCTTGAGTTTTCGGATCATCTCCGATCCGATTAGCAAGAAGAGCGACCTTACGACCAACTGATTGAAAACAAGAACAGAGAGCGACAGCACTGCTTGCTTTAATGGCGGTTGCTTGGGGAGCGGTAAAGCAATTGTCATGTCAAACATTGCTTGCTTTGTTGAAGTGACAAATGCTCAGCGTGGTTGGTGGGAATGTGTGTGTACCTTTGTGGCCATTTTGGCATCAAGGATCACACCCGAAGTTTTACCCACCCACCCGCTCCCTGGGTGTGATCCCGGCCCTCTTGAGTTTTCGGATCATCTCCGATCCGATTAGCAAGAAGAGCGACCTTACGACCAACTGATTGAAAACAAGAACAGAGAGCGACAGCACTGCTTGCTTTAATGGCGGTTGCTTGGGGAGCGGTAAAGCAATTGTCTTTGGGGTTGTGGGCTTTAGTAGCAAGAAGATTGCCCGCATCCTGGGCACAGCAGCGAACCCATAGGCTTCTCCCCCGGAAACACATCTCGAGGATTGTGAAGGCTGCCAAGTGTTTGATGGCTTTTGGCGCGTGTGGTCCGGTGTAGAGGCGAAGCTCGCGCCCCCTGGCAGCTACACGAGTGTTAGGTTTAAGGTTTAGGCCCTAGGGGTCGGGGTTTGACAGGGGTTTTTGAAAGTGCGCGCGCGTAGTCCCGAGAGATCATGAAGGCAAACAGCACCACTGGTGTGGTATGGATGGGACTACTCTGACGGTGTCCTTGCGTACTTGAATTGAGCACCACCACAGCCAAGACAGAAATGCACTGAGGCGAGTCCTTGTTGACAACGGCTGTATTCCAGGCAAAGCTTGCAGTAGATGTGTTTTCTCCCGACGATGTGTAGTTGCACTTAGTGTCACGTCTGCTTCATGGTTCATGCTTGGTTGAACATTGAATATACCTAAAGAACAGGCACAGAACATGGCACCATCCTGCTGACGGGACATTCGCTGGGCGCGGCAGTGGCAACCATCGGCATGTACATGTTGATGCTCTGCAAGATTAGGGAGACCCATCGGATGAGCAGTGTGTTGCCTAAACCCTAAACCCCAAATCCTAAACCCTATGGTCGCTTTATCTACCTCCATGTCTGAGGCAGCTTCGAGGCTACAGCGTCGGCCTTTCTTACAACTTCGAGTCTCCACGGGTTGGCAACGAAGCCTTTCATGATTCCTTCGTGCCTGAGCAGAAGCTATGATGTGGTCCTTACAACCCAATCACAACCCCATAGGGGTACTTAAGGGGCTTATATGCGGGTTATACCTACACTTCTCATGGGCTACTAAGTACCCTGATTCTCCAGAGCAGGTGACATGCAGCATACATCACTGGGCCAAGGCTGGAAATTTCGATCGGAAAGTGAACCTTTGGCGCATCACCCGGTCGCGCGACCCTGTCCCGCACGTCCCGCCACTTCCCATCTACCACCATGTCGGATCCGAAGCGTACTTTGAGAAGGATGCGATGCGTCTGGGCAGAGATCAGGGGGGATTTCAGCTCGGTTTAGGGGGCTACAAAAGCTGCCGCTGTTTGGCGAATGATGTTATCCAAGAGCCCTCGGCCCTGCCATGCTTGTCAACTCAGGGAGCCTGTGTTGTGCCTAAGCTCAGAAGACCCGAATTGCAGCTTGGCCTTTTCAAAGATGCTCCTTGTGTTTTAAGCCATGTCTCCTGCCAGCTATGGCATCTATGGAGTCTTGTAGCTTATGGGCCAAGGGGCGGAAGTTTCAGGAGAAGGGAATTGGAGTCGAAAGTCGTCCGACTATGCCTTCTCAAGAGCACGCGCTCCACCATCACCTCCTAAGCTTGCAGCAGTGCTTTCAGCTCTGCTCTGGCAAAGCCGGCTGTAGGTGCAGATAGATACTCACTGCTGGAAACACTGATCTTCGGCCGGTGCCCTGAGCCTGTATTCTGCATTCGTCAAGGTGTAAGTTGCTACCGCGCTCCTGCTCAGTGCTGGCTCTTCCTGAGGTTGGGACCACTGCAAATCTGAAATTGCACTGCCCGGCCGCGGGATGGGCGACGGCATTTGCCAATGTGCAGCTTAGTACACTGGAGGAGAAACAAGAGGGGCTGGGAGCTTTGTGCTGTGCCTTGCTGCTATGAGCAGCCGCTCGTGAAGTCTTGGGCATCCAGACTAGATGGGTTTAATGTGACAAGGCTGTGCAATGACTGGAACATCTTCTGCTACGGCTTCGAGTTCCGAAGCCACACAGGGCGGTGCGAAACTTGCCTGAGCGCTTGGCTGTTGTCATTGTCTCGAGTTGCTCGCCAGAAGGCCAACAGATTCCCTTGCCCCTTCTCCAAAGTTCCAAAGTTCCATGCAAGGAGATTTGGACGACGCCCATTTGCGCTCACACCCAGGTGCTCAAGAACAAAGACCTCGGTGCACATGAAAGTACATGAAAGTGTCAGAGCATGAGCTTCGATCAAAGATGATTTCAACATGGCCGAAGCTGTGCTGCCAGGCGAAAAACGTTCCTCACTCTCCCTTTGTGGATTTCCGGTGCTTCAAACGCTGCCAGCCGGGTTGGGACCCTGGATCACGACATATCCGACATATAGAGACTCGCAGCTGGCAGCATAGTCACGAGCTCCGTGCGTCCGTGCCTCATGCCGCGCTTCAGGAAAATGAGCCTGCTGCACGATGATAAACTGAGCAGTGCTGTGCTGCAGACAGTCTCCTTCGAGGATAAGTATTGAGAGGCACACTGCCAGCAAAACAACTCATGGATTCTGCGTGCATTGTCTTGAGTGCAAGTTGAGACAGCACAGTCCTTTGGCCAGTTCGCGTGTTGACACAGTCATAGGACACGCTCGTATCAACCCGATTTTTACATGGCTTCCAGGGCGAAGCCCTTTGGAAGCATGTGTCTCGCCTCAGAATGCGGTGATCAGCAGTGCGCCCTGGCCCTGTCGGAAGATTGTCTGGTGTTATAATGCTGTGTTGGATGTTGCTGGGTTTCTCAGGAATCATAACGTCAGATGCAGCTTCGCGCGCAAAAAAACCTTCAGGAGGGTCGACCAGCGCTGGTGAGCTCTGGGAGACGAATCCAGCTGGCGACCTCAAAGGCAGGCCACAAATTCAAAGGTATTGCCGAATCTTGCTGTATAGCATAGTCAGAGAAAAAAATCTCCTGACTGCTCTGAAGCCCAAGCCTGGCTCAAAACAACACGCCTTGTGCATCAAAAAGCTTGCGCTAGGCTCTGCCACTGATCAAGGGATGGAAGGTGTTTCTGGCAGCGAGGTGCTGAAGCCGAACAGCTGCTCGGCTCAAAGGCAACACCCCACACACGCAGCGCCTGCGCAGTGTCCGAAACGAAAGGAGGCCGGACTGCAGCGTGCTTGGGTTCGGAAAGAAACCCCCCCCCAAAAAAAAAAAAAAAAAACAGAAAAGATAAAAGAACCATCGCAAAACCGTCCACAAGAAACAGCGCGTTGCGGATGACAAACTGGTGTAGACCACATGTTAGAAAGCCTAACCGAGCTCGGCGTACCTGTGAGTAGGTGAACATGGCGAAGATGCATCGATCGCCGTTGGAGGTGTTGCTGCTGGCAGCCGCGTGCTACGTTCTGAGCCTTGTGCCGGGCTTCGTTGCACCGGCGGAGGTCACCCATGCGGCCCATGCCAGTGCGGAGGCAGTCGTGGCAGGCATCGCACCACTCAATGAGGCAAGCTCCGTGCTCACAGCAGACCTGTCCCTCGTGTTGTCGTTAGAAGAGGCTTTCGTCATTCCCTAGAAATGTATGAGGGATCTTCCCCAACAGGCTCCGCACTATCTAGTCGAATCTAGTCACAATGGCACGAGGTCCCCGCTGGAGAACCCCAACATCACCTTCGTGGTGCTGCTGTCCATGTTCTCCATGTCCATCGCCCTGGTGGTGTGGGGGCGAAACGGCTTCTGAGTCTACTTGAAGTAGTAAAGTTTCCTTCTCCGGCTGATTAGATGATTAGATACGAACCGGTATACTGCCGCTGCAAGAAAACCAAAGGCATGCAGATCTAGATCGCTTCATGAAGTTCTGTTGACGTTGCTGCTTGCATTTCGAGACTCGTGTTGTCGGTAGAAGAGGCTTTCGTCATTCCCTAGAAATGTATGAGGGATCTTCCCCAACAGGTTCCGCACTATCTAGTCACAATGGCACGAGGTCAAAACACATGCGTCCTCTACCCAAGCATAATGCCACCTTAGTGGCACTTCAAATCCGTTCGCATCAAGCTATGCATCTCGTTGGTGGTTCGTGTGATTTTGGACTAGGGCAGGGCATCTGCTGTGAAACGCTTGCGGCCTGGATGGGCTCAAAGATTCTGTGGAGTGGAGCCAGCTGCGCATTTGGAAGGTGCAGGTGCGGTTGCTCGCGCACCCTGCTCAGTGCGCACGGTCATGTTGTGAAAGGATGTTGCGGAAAAAAGATTGGGGGGGGGGGGGGGGGGGTGGGTGGGTCCTGAGCGTCAGCTCTAGCCAAGCCTTGATTCTTGCCTTGAGTCGCAGGTGAACATGGCGAAGATGCATCGATCGCCGTTGGCGGTGTTGCTGCTGGCAGCCGCGTGCTACGTTCTGAGCCTTGTGCCGGGCTTCGTTGCACCGGCGGAGGTCACCCATGCGGCCCATGCCAGTGCGGAGGCAGTCGTGGCAGGCATCGCACCACTCAATGAGGCAAGCTCCGTGCTCACAGCAGACCTGTCCCTCGTGTTGTCGTTAGAAGAGGCTTTCGTCATTCCCTAGAAATGTATGAGGGATCTTCCCCAACAGGCTCCGCACTATCTAGTCGAATCTAGTCACAATGGCACGAGGTCCCCGCTGGAGAACCCCAACATCACCTTCGTGGTGCTGCTGTCCATGTTCTCCATGTCCATCGCCCTGGTGGTGTGGGGGCGAAACGGCTTCTGAACTCGAATGACGGCATACATGTTTTCTCGACTGTGGGACGGTTTTGCTTTCCTTACGCACAGGCAAAAGCGAAAGATGTCTTGATGACGACATATATGCGATCCATTGTGCATGTTGCGATCGACTTTTCTTCTTCATGACGCGACCCCTCTGGTGTAGAAGTCGTAAGCGACGTTGAACGTTTGTTATTATTTGGCAAGGTGCCAGGCGTTGCTTTCAATCCTGTCAATGACCGTGGGCGTGGAGGCTCATTTAGGGTAACGCCACCTCGCATGTAGCAAGGGGCTTTCATATCTTGAGGGGGGCGGGAGCCAGCCCAAGCTGAAATTCCTGAGACCTCACGAAGCACGGAGCAAAACCTGCATAGAAGCAGACATGCACACGCGCACACACCGAAGAGAAGTTGGCATGTGCGGTGCCACTGTATGTTCCAGCCATGTCTGCAGAGCTGCCTGGCTGCAAAGGGGGCCTTCATCCAGGGCATACGATCAGCACGGTGGGTTGCAAGGCAGGTTTCGGCCTGAGAAGAGCTCGTCAGGCTGCTGCCGCGGTGCAGCAGAGGGCACCTTGTCAAACAACTCCAGGACTGCCACAGAGCGACTGTTGGAGTCTCGTGACGCGTCGACCTTTGTGGTTCACCAGAGACTGTCTTTCCATGCCGCCGATACATGGAGGGCTGGGCCGTCATCTTTCAATAAGCAACAACAGGAGAGCGAAAAGCGCTGGAATCCGTTCTTGCACACCGCAGCTTGACAGCAAGTTGTCAGCTGCGATGCAGCACATCCCTAGGATGCGTGGAGATGCTTGACGTTGAGCAGGTATGCAGCCTTTGCGGCGGCGGCATTGCCTCACGTCTGATTTACAATTTACTGATGGCAAGCCCGTGTCATGTTCAAACTCCCTCCCTGGTGAAATTCTCAGATCCCTTGGCTGATGCTTTTGTTGCCTTGTAAGCCTCTAGCAGTCAAGGCAAGCCAGATGGCACGGTGGTCCTGCGAGCATCACTGCAACTTTGTGGCCTGTGACGCCTGCGCATGGCCCTGAGGTGTTCAGAAACCTCATGATATGCTGTCTTCGCATGTGCTCGGTTTCGCATCACGGACACCATCTGAGATTAAACACGCAGGCCTCCACCAGAAGTGCAGACGCTCTCGAAAAGGCATTGCAACATGACACGCCGGAGTCGGGCCACAACTCAGGGAGCAAGAGTTTGACAGGGGGATGTGACATGTGTTTTCAGGGTTCTGCAGAACCCCTGCTAATTATTATTATATTGTGTATACTAGACATATACATGCCAGAATATTGTATACATATGTACATATATATTTATATATATATATATATATATAATGTGTGTGTGTCATCTAACTTAACATCGTAGTTAACTAGATGAAAAGTTAACACGTGTTATATTCCTGCGGTATTCGAATTACATTCAAGAATAGGTTATCTGATAAAAACAAGTTGAACGCATACTCTTTGAAACCCAACACATGATTACGATGTCAAAAATGTACACAATGCATAAGCCATATTTTCAAATGAGGTTCATTACTAATGAATGCCTTATTGACAGGTCAAGATCAGTATTCACGCTATGTTAAAAACGGTGCCTGATCCAGAACAACAATATATTGTACCCAACTATCAAGGTATCAGGTAAAGCACACAAACAATGAAACATAATGCACGTATTTGAAGAGGCAGTTCGGAGAGCATTCTGAGTTAGAGAAACTGCCAAGTCTTTGGAGAAGTTGCTTGATGGTTAAGTCCCTGCAGAATCGAGGTGGTGAAGCAGTTCCAGAGGCTTTTCAGCGAGATGCAGCACACCTCCCTTTGCGTCATGCAAGACGGTGGCACGTCTGCGTTGGGAGCTGGATCGGATACACTTGTTCAATGTTCAAGCTCAGACTGTGCAGGGGTACCGGCTCCACACACTCTCTGCCCAACATGATCCCACATGACACCCAGGCCCAACGAAGGTCATTCAGGAGGAGGTCGAGTCCGTTCCCTGGGAGCTCCGTGGGACCAAGGAGTTCAACCAGCTGCGCAAGCTCCTGAAGGTGCGGGGCTTCCCGTCATGCAGCGTGCTCACTTCAGCATTCCTCCACAAATTTCTGCAAAGCCTGCTGGGTGTATGTGGTTGTTGCGAGTTGTGAGGCCCTAGTGGTTTCTGAGTGTATGTGGTCTGCGGTAGTTGCTGACACCTTCCCTCACCACGCCTACATTACAACCTTCTGGAAGCATCGAACACATGAGAACCACAGCAAGCAAGGATAGCACACACACAATGCAGAGGAGTGGGGAAGCAAAAACAACAGGAATGCACGCCAGAAGAAGCCTGTCAAGCTCAGCAACACGAACTTGCTAACCAACTTTACCCCCAGTCATGTCGTTGATGCATGGTTGGATGGCGTGATGGATTTCATGATTTGTCCAACTATGACTTAGCCAGGTCTTAATCGTAGCTCTAAAACGTTTAATTAATGGCCAATCGATGCAGATTTTTGGAAAGATAACCTAGTCACGCATTAGCACAGGCCCTGACACGACATGCGAATGCAGTGTCTTAAAGATTTCGGAAAGGTGCCGACCCAAACTAAAGTCTGGACCTGGCTCAGAGGACTCAACACCCTATGCCTTCGGCATTGATCCTTGGACGCAATGCGCTGCAACGTTTTCTTCGGAAGTAACAGGAAAAAACTAGCCGCTAACTAGCGCAGACTACGGTAGGATACACTGAAGATGCATGCGCAGTGCCCCAGGTCTTGAAGAGCGCTTCTCAGCCGCAAGTGGCACTGGACCATTCTGGAAACGTGTAGCAACGTGCATGTTCTGAATTTGTGCACCACTGGGAGGCTGTCAACGTCCCAGAGCTGAGCAGAAGCGCCTCAGTTCGGAATGCCTTCTAGTGAGTAGCTGTGTAGCTCGTCTAAGGGCCGGCATGGCCGAAATGGCAGAGGTTTGCACGGGAGTTAACGAAAAACAAGGGACCCCTAATGCTGTCCCCCAAGTAGTATTCCCTTCTAGAAAGGACCCCAATATGGTACCCGTAAATGTCGGAAACCCCCCCACACTGGGCCCAGCCCTGAACTTCAGGGAGACGTGCCACGGTTCCCCGAGCATCAGCGACCATCCTGGCCCCGCCGCTAGCTGCCGGCGCCTTCTGTGGCGGGCCTGCAGCCATGGTGGCCGGCTTGGCCGTGGGGGCGACAGCATATGGCTCCTCAGATGCCCTGGCGCCATCACACCCTTCACTGTGTGCTTTGAGGAGTTTTTGTTTAGCTTTTGGTGTGTTTTGATGGTTTGAGCTCGTTGGCCTGGAAGGTGTGTCGCGAGGGCGGATGAATGCCAAGTATCCGAATGGTCCCTCGGCTGCGCTGAGTTCCCGGTTGTGCTTCTGTAAGTGCTGCGTGCGGAGAGATGCCCGCTGGTGATCATCTGCGTGCCGTGCTGGTGAGGCTTCTGCGATCCCGTCGCGCTGGTCGAGATTTTGCACCAAGAGGAGACACTGGCAGCGGCCAGGCCTGGAAAGTACACACAGAATGTACTATATCCCCCTGGGAAATCATTGTTTAGTTTTGTTCATATAAACCCCAAGAGGATATTAAAAAACAATTGTTTATCAAGGTTCTAGGGGGAGTAATTAGAGTTTAACACAGAAAGAACAAACAAACATCTCCTCCTTCCCCCGATTGTTGACACGTGGTAGAAGGAGCGGGAAGTGCAGTCGCTGGCAACCTTGACTGATGCGTGAAGGTCCCACGTGGCGACGAAGACCAGGAATCCAGAAGCTTGACTTAACTCCGAAGCTGGCACACACGCGCGCACACACACACACACTCACAGACACACACACACACACACACGCGGGCCTTCCCCTGTAGACATGCGACTGAAACGTCCTTTGGCGCCAGATGGTGCCAGATGCCGTCCCCCTTTCTTCAACACCTGAGTTCGAGAGACAAGAAAGTCGCAAATCTAGCACGGATCTAACAGGACAAGCTAACGGCGTTAACCAGAACCCATTCTTTTCCAAGCTGCTCGTCTCGAGCAGATTGTCAGCATCATGCGCTTCATGTACAGGAATATCTTCACAAAGTTCTTGGTTTTAGTTTTTGCTTGTCCACGCCAAATACTGTCAAATCGGTTGCTAATGAGGTTTGGAACCAAACGCTGAGCTTGCCGTGTGCAAGCGATCCGCACCTGATGCAGCAAGGGTCGCCCGGCTTACTTGACTGACTTCCGTAGGCGAGTTTCTGCTTCAGGAACTTGAGGATGCTCTGACGGTTTTTGCACTGGCTTGGCCGCTTCTTCTGCTGCAGGTGCTCGTGGGCCCGAAGAGGTAGCACGCCGACAATTAGGTTTATTTGGTTGTGTGAGCTTTGCGCGTGAGATGTTTCTACACACCAGTCATGCACCGAAGTGGCATGACAGCGTGCCTGCAACCAAGACCGCAAGAGTACCAAGCTGGCTGCAGCTCGAAATGTTCCTCCAGCCCAGCGTCTCACCTGCAGTCAGGGAGCATGCACTCCAACAGGGGAGAGAGATCACGCTTCAGGCGGCCAGCCCTAAACCCCAAACCCTAAACCCGAAACCCTAAACCCTGAACCCTAAACCCTAAACCCTGAACCACTAAACCCTGCAGTATGCTGCAGGTGGGACGTTGAAGCCACAACGGTGCGCGTGACGCTCTATGACAAGAGCGTGGGGCCGATGAACCAGACGATCGGGGATCCTGGGGCTGGGTTGAGAGTTTAGGGTTTAGGGTTTAGGTTAAGGGTTTAGGGTTTAGGGTTTAGGGTTTAGGGTTTAGGGTTTAGGGTTTACGGTAGCTGCTTTTTTCTGGCATTCCGCACCCAGCCCAGATGGAAAAGGGTGTCGGTTGGTCACGTTAGCGGCTGCATCACCGCGATGCCTTGCTGTGAAGTCAGGAAGTGTCCATTCCACTGCGTCAACTTCTCGAGGATTCTGAGACAGAGGCACTGCGCATGCACGGGTGGCGCAGCCTGACTGCTCCGGTGCAGAGTTCTAGAATCTAGAGATTGCAACCGAGGATTCTGATTGCGCACGGAGTGTTCACAGGGCACCCGTGCGACGGTGACATGCCCATTTTTCCCGGGTAACAGCCTCCTTAATTTCTGCAATGACAAGTAGGTGCGCCGCACAAGTTAACACCTGTGTATGTGCTGAACCGTGCAGGCCACCTACTTGCTCAGTGATGCCGCTGGTGAAGCGGTCTTAGGAACCCAGCCGCCGTGCCTGGGCATTGCAACAAAGTCATGCCTCACATGTAAGATCCCTCCCGTATCCATGGCAAGGAGAGGCATGAAGGCTGACATGAAGTGGACTTTCAGCATGTGTGGGACACCTTTGCTGCAAGCCAGGCACTTGCCGTGCAAGATTTCCCTGTCTGCCCATCCCTCAGCTACTTTCCGCTTTGGGAAGTTACATCAAAGTACCGCCCTGACCATCCATGGCATGCTCCTGGCCGAGAGCCGAGGTTGTTCAGGAGTCGCTGCCGAAAAACTGGCCTGCGCCACACATGCTGAAGAGCAACTCTTCCACGCGGCATCGTTTCGGCAAAAGGATTCCGGATTCTCATGATAGAACTCCCACAATTGACTGTTTGAGGGAACCTGGACAGACGCGCTAGGATGCCTTCGTGCCGCATCTAAGGTACCCTGTGCATGCTACCAAGCTGCAGACTCCAAAATGTCCATCTCAGTCCTTGCACCTCGAGTATTCCAAATACAATATACTTCCCAAAATATGAAGTGCTACCAAGCTGCAGACTCCAAAATGTCCATCTCAGTCCTTGCACCTCGAGTATTCCAAATACAATATACTTCCCAAAATATGAAGTGTTCACACTGTTCTCTTCATCTACCAAATCGTGGGGAGTATCTCATGAGGGGATGGGCTTGAACAGTAGGGGGGACGGGAGTATACATCAGCCCAGCCGCCTTCCGAAAACGAGGTGTTCATGATGACGCGCGGCACGCGTGGCGATGTGCAGCCTTTTGTGGCACTGGCCCGGGGTCTGGCTGAACGGCTGGGCTGGCTCGTGGCTGTGCGGCAAGGAAGCAGTAGTGGTAAGACTGGTAAGATTGCAGCTTCGAGCTACCCGTGGCATTAGCACACTATGGGCAGCTGTGCAATCCTCAAAACAGAACCACACGCAATCATATGCGAATATAGCTGTTTGCAAGAAGAGAATCTTCAAAGAATAATGTAATGACTCGACAGTAGATATTTTACAATTAGACTTCAAGCTTCCATCATCAACATAGTCATGGTATATCCTCAGAATGACAGATTAAAAAAAAAATGCAATAAGCGACAGCATAATACGGCACAACGGTAACAGCATGAGAATAAAGTAGTATAGTACAGCCACTGTAAGACAAGAGTACTATACTAACACACGGAGCACTAGCAGTACAAACCCTTAAACCCTAAACTAGCCCTAAACCCTAAACCCTAAACTCTAAACCCTAAACCCTAAACCCTAAACGATCAGTAGGAGACTGCAAGTCGGAGGCAGCTGTGATTCCAGTCCCTGGGTTGAGCTGGCAGGTGACCATCTGCACGGAAGAAAGCCACGCCGCCTTCGTTGCAAAGCACTCGGACTCTTGGTCCAAAATCCAAGAAATTCCGGGGGGACTCAGGATGGTTTCAGAAATCTCTCAGACCCATTGCTGCAGCCATTTCCGCAGCAGCTGAGGTGGTTCAAAATGGCAAGATCAGATTTCGGCCAAGTGGCGGGAACACAGAGGCCCTTCTTGGCAGATTTTGTGCATTGCTGGCGGCACGTGCGAAGGAATCATGCCTGACTGCAGCAGGCCAGAATGGACACTGTGGGTGCGCACTTCTTGCTCGCCCATCGGGCTGAATTCCTGCAGATGTTGCTCGACTGAAGGTGACAACTCTAGGTTACGAAAGACTTGCCGGTTGCAGGTTGTCCCACGATGGTAGCCATGGGTGGGAATATGATCGATTCTTTCTCGCGAGCCGTGTCTTTCTCGCATTGTATTCTCAGGATCGCCCTGTCAAGATCGGAGGCAGAGGCTGTGCTGAAATATTGACTGCTTGCCGACTGGCAGCCCCAGTCAGAGCGCATGTGCGCAAACATAGAAATGAGACATGATGCTCATACAGTATGACAGTATATAAGATATATGATCACATCAATAAAAATATAGTCACATAATATCACACTGATGATTCTTCAACCGGGCCCGCAAGATACCCCAAGGAGTTCTTCTCGAGCGCCACGGTCTTTGTCGACTCTGTCAAAGCTATGGAGAGTGAGCCGAAACCGGTGGACCTTATCATGTTTGGTAGCTTGGCGGAACATAGCCAGGAAAGGTGGGTGGTCGGATCTCAATTTTGCTAAGTCCACGCCTGGCGAAGCTCCATTCAAGCAGAAGACGATCAAGAGAGGGAATTGTTCCAAGTGTTGCGGTTCCCGTTTCCGGTAACTTGTAGAGTAGTTTTCTTTTTTTTTGACCCGACGGCCCACCCCCCTCGTTTACACGTATGTGCATATACATAATAAGTACACAATAACAAACATAACATGGCGGACATTATAAGGACAAAAGTGATAAAGAATAGACATGAAAAGGGACCCCCAACGTAACGCAACAACCGCCGCCACCGCCCCCCCCCCCGCCCCCCCCGCAACCTTCCAGGAAACTGGGAAGTGGAGAAGAAGGGTCTTGCCATGAACAGTTTGGGTCTCGTGCTAGGTTTCACGCTGGCCGGAGTGGCTGCATTGGTTGGTGAGCACTGTCAGAAGCCAGTCGTGGGCGCGTGCCTCAGTCCCACAGAGCACTCCCAAAGCAGGATTTAAATGTTTGTAACCGTAGCCGGTAGCTGCATGTACGAATGAGCCGCTGCATCTTTTAGCTTCCTGACGCAGTGCGTTGTTGCAAACTTCGCCCATGCATGGTGCAAGGACTTATTTTGCAGCCAAGCTGCATTCCGAGTAAAGTGGAGGCTTCCTGGGCAGATAACCTTGTGCATTTCCTCAAGTGCAAGACTTGAGAAATGCAGGACTGGAAAGCCATACACGCAATCCACAGCCCGGATGGAAAAAGCTTGTTGGCTTGCACCTCAGCCATGAATGTCAATTGTCACAAAAATTGATCATGTGCCCTTGCTTGCGGTAGCAGCAAGTTATGGTCCCAGCCTCCGTAGTTGGGTGAGGACACAATTGATGAGATGGCATTTACCTCGCACAGCTCGCTGAAGCTACTCAAGGACCTCGTAACTCACATGGGCGGAGAGACGAAAAAGCTGATGAAGGGGTTGCTTGCTTTCCCATGAGGACCTGGCAGAAAAGAACCCATTTGCATCTTGGTGCTCCTACGGCGAAGGAAGTAGCTGCACAAAGTGCAGCGGCAGCGTCTTTCTAGCTCAGGAACTTGAATCGTCTCCGCAAGCTTTTTGGCCTTGGCCCTGCAAACACATGGCAGGCAACATCCTTGTCACGCCTGTTCATGCCATGACTTTGCTCGCCGAACTGCGTGCTGGAACAGGCATACAATCAGGCGAAAGTGCCCATCATCATCCCAATGCCTCCCGGTACCTTCCAGCGGCCGCAGGACTATTCCAAGACACTGCGGGCGAAACTAGATGTGACTGGCTAGGCAGAGCCCTCTGGCTTCTTCATTCTTTCCAGGATTGGCCGAGTAACATCATCCAGACAGACTTCATCTTCCTGCGAAGCCAGGTCGACTGCCCGCCGACAGAGTGTTCTAGTAACCCAGAACACGTTGTCCGCGCGCCTAAACTGCGAAACGACATACTTAAAACCTCTGTCACATCAGTTTGAAGGAAGTTGTAGGATTGTGCACATCATGCCAGGCGAGTGGAGAGAAGTGGCTGGCCTCAGCAATGAGCCTCCGCAGTCAGCTGTGTGAGTACGTCGCGTGAGTACGTCGCGTCGGTAAGGAAATCGCTGGGTGAAGTTGGCGGCTTCATCGAGGCGGCAAGGCGGGAACTAAGAATGTGTATGTATATATATATATATATGTACAGAATAGAATATAATTTATATATATATATATATATACATATATCATCTATATATATATATATGTATATATATATATATATATATCCTTGCGCTTGCGCCCGGTGTGTTCGGTGTTTGAGGCTTCCAACTCATTGAGGGTTCAGGCTGGCATCGTGCGAGAAGCGGAGTTTTAGCTGACTTGCCCATGCAAGGCAAGCGGGCAAGAAGCTGTGCCTCATCACCTTCAGTAGCATGCCAGTTCCTCGACGCACGTTGCTGCGCTCGGGCCTCAGCTTGTGATGGTGCCAGGCTGCCGCAGCTCGCCTAAGATAATTGATTCGAGCCTGAGGAATCATTGTCAAGATGGTCAGTGTGCCCGGTCTGCAAGCGCCGCGGTACACGAGCGCGATGGTAGTCACACTGGGCACGCTGGGTTCGAAAGCACGAGAGCCCAGGAGGCCAAGTTCGACATAGCAGTACTGTACGTTGGTCGCATCGAAGAAGGGCACCTTGTCAGCACTACGAAAGAAGAATAATACAACAATAGATAAATATAAATAGAATAGAAATAGGAATAAGAATATTAATGATAAGAAACTGGTAAAATACCAATAGCAGATTGGCCTCTGCTGGTGCCACGTGGCTTGCGTGGTCTAGTTCGTACGTCTTGCCAAGGCCCGAAGACCTGGAAAGAGCAGCTCGCCAATTCAAAGAGCAGAATCGCTTCTTCGAAGCTCGGGCTGTGCCATGGATAGCAGTGGCAAGAGTGATTTCTCAAAGCCGACGTGTGCACGTGCTTGTGTCGTTGCAGACCTCAAGGGTGGGAGAGCAGGTGGACTTTGGGCTCTTGTTTCCGGAGATGGACTGCTTTGTTGTTCATGGCGGGCTCGGGACAACAGTCGAGGCTTTACGAACCAGACGCTTGCACAGGAGTGCGCAGAATGGACTTTTTGCAACCTGTTTCTTGTAGGCCGGTAGTGTGTAGGCTTCGGGGGAAGTGGCCGAGCAGCTGCAACCATCCCCCATGAGGAAAGCCATGCTGCGTCACGGGGCCCTTGCTAATGGATCAACGATTCTGGGGTCTCTTGGCCTCGTCAGCAGACAGCGCGAGAGTGAGAGAGAGAGAGAGAGACAGAGACAGAGAAAGAGAAAGAGAAAGAGAACGAGAACGAGAAAGAGAACGAGAAAGAGAAAGAGGAAGAGCAAGAGGAAGAGGAAGAGAAAAAGAAAGAAAGACAGAGAGCAGGAAGCATTGGGGACTGGAGGGGAAGTTTCACCAACGGGCTGGGTCGGGAGCTCGCCTTCGGGCGGCTCTTCTCCTGTGGGAGGGGAGCCGTGAGCGCAGGAAGGAAGGAAGACAGAGGGCGAGAGAGAGGGAGGAGGAGGGAGGGAGAGGAAAAAAAGCGGAGGGGGGGCAAGTGTCTCCCCGGCAATTTTCGCAGACAGGGTACAAAGTGACCCCGAACCCTAAAATCTTTATCAAAGAGCCCCAAAAACAAGTCCCCCCATTTAATTGTAATTGAACGCTTGCGCACGCAGCCTCGTCAGCCAGGCCGGCCAAAGCCACGGGACGTGCACGGCCCAGCCCGCAAGGTCTGCAGATGCGGAAAGCGATCGCGTGTCGAGGAAACAGACACTGAAGAGCAGTTGACCCGGAATAGTTGCAAGCGCCGCCTCAGCAGCCAGGCCGTCCCAACGTCCCAACGGGGTTCAGCGTGCGCATCGCAGACGTACAAAAGCGGCATGAAAGGCGGTCAGCGGATGGGTTTTGGTGCCCTTCTCTGCGGGAGCAGCCCACAGGCTGGACCCCCGCGGCATCGGATTGCGGCTCCTCCAAGCAGCTCGGGCATGTCCCAACAGACCAGATCATGGTCCGCTTGTTCACGCCTCTCGACCGGGGGTCGAGGCGAATTAGGCTTACTGGCGGAGCCCAGCAAAGGCTCGCAGTCTCAGCTGACGGTGCATGCTTCTGGTCCTTTGGTGCACTACTTGTTGTTTGTGGTCATGTGCTTGTTGTGGAGATCGGATAGGACCTATCGGATAGGATATGGTAGGATGGAGGGCGTCCCACGGAGGGTAGGAATGTCAGACTAACCCCCTCACTGCATCGGTCTGCAGCTCCCCGAGCGAATTTGGCAGCTCCCACAGGGGTTTCTGGTGGGCAGAGGGAAGGTCTGCTTGCTCCAGACAGAGTTTTTGGAACCACCATTTGTGGCATCGTGGAAGGTTACGTCTGTCACGAGAAAGGCGTGGGTCCCAAGCCAGTGTGCTGGCCTCAGTGTCAATATGCAAAGTGGCCCCTCCTTTATCTGCGTGCTTCACCAGGTTCATCTCGGACTTTGAGAAACATTGCGTGGAGTTCGTGAATAACGCAGTGGACCCTGAAGGATCGCCGTGTGCTCATGGGTTGTACTGTGCAGTGCGGTGTCAGATTTTTTCTGTTTCTGTTTCGTTGTTGCTAGGTCCGTAGTGCGCGCATGAATTCTGCCTTGCAAATCAAGCCTCCTGAATGCAAAGCCGGATTCGGCATCCATCAGCAAAGACAAAAGTACGTTCATTCGTGTGCTGCTTTGCAGACCCGGAAAGATGGCAAGCCATCGCGCGAGATGGCGATTGGGGGCAGCACAGTCGCATTTATGACATCGTCATCAAAGAAACAACCCAAGAGTCAGCCTGTAATTAGAGATTGCATCCCAGCGGGGTCCGGACACCGCAAACTTCCGGTCGCCCCATCAGGAACGTGGAGGATGATGGCATTGAGGAAAATGTGCGCTGCATCCAGCACTTGCTTTCTGACCTGGAGCCCTTGGTGACCAGAAGCGAGGCCTGATCGGGACCTGTGCATTGTGTCCGGATCCTGTTCGCATATGTTTCCCAGGCACAGGAGGATTCCTGGTCTCAAAAGCAATGGCTTTGCTGCAGCACTGGTCGCGTCTCAGAGCCGGAAAGACCGGTGGAGGATACTTCCTCCAATCACAGCGTCAGGCCGAGTGACCAGGGCGCACGTGAGCAGTGTCGGCCTTTCTTCCAAAAGCAGTGCATGTGGTGGAGTTTGCTTCGTTTCTGCCTGTGGCGTGGAGATGCAGGGACGTGCCATATGGGCCAGAGTTCCGCGGGTGTTCTGAGAATTCAAAGACGACGTAGTGAGAATCGCAATGCGCAACCTGAGCACCATAGCGATGTGCAATGCAGGCTCGCCGCTGAGCTCACAAGCTCCCAAGGCTGGGGGGTTAGTGCATTGGGCATGTTGTCTCGAGTTGTAGCACGTCAAGGTCTCACTGTCCCGCCATGGTTCCATGGATTCCCAGCATTTCTGCGACGCTGTTGTTTGTGTCCTGGCGGGCAGCAAGGTGTCACGCCTGAGCGGGCTTCAGGGCCAAAGGCATTTCCCCCCGCTGCTCGATTATAGAGCAGCCCAGGCCATTAGGTTGAGCGACAGCCTTGGATGTCTCATGCACAAGATCCTTCCGCACGGATCCTTCAGCGACCAAGTACGTCCAAGCCATTTACAATTTTGAATGCCCGTAGGCATTTAGCAAAGTGGGACAGAAGATCCCCAACCACGTGCCTTGAGCATCAATAAATGCCTTGCTTTATTCTGCATGAAATGATGGCGACCCTGTGCACACCACAGCCAGAGCTCTCTTGCTTGCAGCCCCCTGATCATTCCTTTGTTGGGGGATCAGGCCCTGATCACCCCCAAGCAATGATCCCCCAACAAAGGAAACAATAGGCCGAGCAACATTATCAGCTATGGCTATAACCATGTTTGGATAATGAAGGTTCCTATGTTTGTGTTCCCGGAGTTGTTTAGCACAGAGGGTTGTTCATCAAGCATTCCGCAGTCAAGAGTATGTCTACCACCTTGCATGAGGGAACTGAGATCAGTGGACCACAAAAGCCGGGTTTGGGGCCTGGGGTTGAGGGTTTAGCGCCATGTGGGGCGACTCTTTTATAGTACATATGCCTGACACCCACAATCTAAATCAATTCCCTGTGACCTTTCTCAGGATCATCAACCATGACCTGATGTCACAAAGGGAGTTCAAACAGATTGTCCAATCGTCATGGGGCCCACTCTGGTGCTTCCAGCAAGGTACAGCCTGGCTAAGCACAGACGCAGCCATCTGCATGTCCCACAAGCATTTGCAAATTTGAATTGTGTCTTTGCTGGGCGCAGCTTATCGTACAGAGTACAGACGCCGCTCCGCCTTTCAGTGTGACACTGCTGATCCTGGATCTCTGAGGAGCGCGACAGCAGTTTCAGAACCAAAACAAGCATCGCCTGAAATGCATCAGATCCGGGGCCTCCCGAGTGGTTAGCTGGTACCATGTGCTGAGACATGTGAGACCTTGCTGTTCGAGCTTGTGGGCGTTGGTTGCAAGCGAGCACACGAGCACATACCCTATCACACCCTGCCTGTGCGACCATCATCCCCAGCCAACACAGCACTACAGTTGGCATTCCATGGGCATCCCAGCAGTGCACCGTAGCATATATTCGGCATTAGGCCTTCAGGGATTAGCAGGTTGCACCGCAGTGCTGGAAATTGCCGCACAGGCCGCATAGGTTCCATCTCCCCACAGCTCATCTGCCATCCCGAATCAAGCAGCAATTCCGGCAGCTACGCTTGCAATGCGAAGTGCTTGGCGGCAAGCCTGTGCAGGCCGGGGAGATGAACGACAACACGGCTTTGGCACAGCTTTGTTTTTTCACCCATTTGGGTTAGTTCATAGAACCGTCAGTGTAGGGACCCACACCTAGTTCGGGGCTTGAGAGTTTACACGGTCTCACAGTTTTGGGGGTTGGTCTAAAATTATTGTCCTTTAATTCCAATATCGTAGATGTTGCAACATAGTTCAGAGTAGCAGTTTCGAGTAACAGATAGAACGCGGCAGCCATAGTTTGAGATCGACCCCCTCCCACCCCCCCCGTCATGCCTTGCGACTTGTGAGGTGTGCCATGGCAAGCCGCCTGAGCTGCAGACGATCCACCATTGGCCCCTTGACCTCATGCTGTGCACACCAGGTACCAGAATCAAAAACCTCGAGACACGAATGCTCCTGAAGTGATTGCATGCGGCGAACAAGCTTCTGATACTGTGTGGAGCACTGGGGTCTTTGGGGGGAAACCTATACCCTAAACCCTAAACCCTAAACACGAGATTCCACCTCCACATGATTCGTCGACCTACACTTTTGGTTTATCGCGTTTGGAGCTGCGCTTGAGTGGGAATCTGGCGGATTGTCATAGTGAGAACCTTCCGACCGAGTCCTTGCCTGCCTTGTGCGAGTGCGAGAGCCGAAACCCTAAACCCTAAACCCTAAAGATGGTGGTGAGAAATGGTGACATCAGCTTCTTCAAGCAGCGCCCCCTCTTGAAGAGCTGCCCGTTACCATGTGGGGGTTTTTCGAGATTATGGGTACCCTCCTAGAGGTCCGTTTAAAGGGATTCTGCTCTATGTGGGGGTAAAAAAAGGGGGTACCCCCCATGTGTTGTAGAATCCGCGCCTTGCGAGCGACACCCCAAGGCCCACGGCACTCGCTGCTGCTGAGAGCGCCAGAAGAGGTACCCGCCGAACTTCGAGGATTGCCAGAAGACTTGACCAGGTGGGCAGACTTTGCGCAACTAGCGTAATAGTGTAATACTATAGTCGTATCATAATATAATATCGTAGTAACTTAGTAATAGCAAAGTATACGAGAATGATATGAATGGAGTTGCTTTTGTCCCGGTATACGGCACTCAGAGCGCCATGCTGCCATGAAATGAGTTTGAGATTTTTGCTGCCAGGTTTTCTTGTTTAGGTAACCCTAAACCCTATAAACCCTAAACCCTAGACCCTACACCCTAAACCCTAAACCCTAACCCCTAAACTCTACACTCTAAACCCTAAACCCCAAACCCTACACCCTAAACCCTAAACCCTAAACCCAATGCCATGCTTGTCAGGCGGATCGCTGCCGCAGCTTCCGAGTCCGCGCTCCGAGATGTCGCGAGTGCAGTGCCCTGGTTGCAAGAGATTCAGTTTATCATGTCATTCTTATTGGTACTGTTTTCGTGTATGAGATGTTTTTGGATTAAAAGGTTACGTGATAGTTCATGAGTAGTTCATTCTTCCTGTACTGTTATCATATATTGGATATTATTGGGTTAAAGGGTTGCGTAATAGTTTGCTATGTGATTACACTGACTAATTTTACACGGGCTGCACATTTTTGTATTGCTATTGTTGTATGCTTGTATGAATTTTCTGAGATTCTTACATACCCTAAACCTGGCGGATTGACAAGGAACCCGCGCAAAAGTGTGGCCCCACCAGCAAACATGAGGTGCAGGACTTAGGTCACAGCCTTTAGTGTTGAGAAATGGCGCCAGTGCGCCTAAAAACAAGAACTTCCAGCCATTTCTGCCCAGAAGGTTTAACCTTCTCGGAACGGATCAGATGATGTAGACCATGGACGTCATCATGCTTGGGCCGTGGATGCTCTCTTCTCATCAGAGCAGAGTAGACCATGGACGTCATCATGCTTGGGCCATGGATGCTCTCTTCCCAGAACGGATTAGACTCTGGACGTCATCATGGTTGGGCCATGGATGCTCTCTTCTAACTATGGTGAAGCAAACGCATTATTTAGACTCAGGGCTGGGCAGAAGCGGATGCAAGCAAGACAGGGATCAGTTTAGGACACGTCGAAAGTGCGAAGTAGTGCAACAAAAACCCACAAATACCGGTGTAGTCTACGGATGCCAAGCAACTTGCAGGATAATTTTAGATAAAATTGCGGGGATGAGGTGATTGGCGAAACCAAGGAAACACCGGTATTTACAGGGGATTCTGAGGGCAGCAGAGCTAAGCTGTCCAAAAAGCGTGGGTCTCTTGTGGCCCCGACTAGCCCTAAACCCCAAACCCTAAATGTTACCAAACCGGGCGGCTGAATGGGTGGATGGATGCTGTGTAGTGCCTTCCCTGCTGCCTTCTCGGGAGCCTGCGCAGACTTCATGGGCTACCCCCTCCCCCCAATCATTGTTACATTCACCCCGCTGTAAGCAGCGCGAAGCCAAGAAGGCAGTGGGTCCTCGAACAACGACTGCAAAATTATTCCCGAACTGAAGCAGGGTTCGCGAGATAAACCATAGGCATGGGCTTTGGAAAGGGGCCCGGCCGGAGTGCTTCTGGGCCTGTAATCCCAGTATAGTCATCAAACTTCTGCATGAGCCTCTCGCGCGCTCTTGCATGTGTCAAATATGAAGTTCCCTTGCAGAGTCTCTCGGTGCCTAGGTTGTGGAGGAGGCGCTGTCGCTATTGGTCCCTTTGACTGCAATTTAGCAGCATGCCGTGCAACCAGAGAGATCCAGAGAGCCCAGCAGATGGCTGCATCCGAGGATCATCGTGGGTTAATCAAGGACTTGGACAAGATCTGGCCAACGACTCGGGCGTGTCAGCTGGGCACCTCAGAAGTGCTGACCCTGACCTCCGCGATCAAGATGTCATTGGCCTCCACCCTGCGGGAGATGGCACAGTCTGCGTGCGTGCCGCGGCGCAAGGTCTTGGCACCTGGACTGCACTGGCCAAAGAAGCACTGGCCAAAGAAGCACTCTGAAAGGAGGTTTAGGGTTTAGGGCTCTCAGCAGGCCTGGGTTGAAAAAAGGGGCCAGTTTGTACTTGCAGCAGGCTGCACCCGAGAGAGTGGGTGCCATTTCACCACGGCCACTAGCTTCACTAGAATGCCGGCACCGGCTCTGAATGGATTTAGTAGTATCCACGCTATAATACATGTCCGCCCGCACTCAGGCTCTTCATCCGTTTTTTCTTTTGGATTTTCGATGATTTTCGGTTCCATTCCTCCAGGCAGATCCGTGCCCCTTACTAGCAGGCACAAGACTCCTCAAGACGCTCAGGTCAAATCTTTGATGTCCACGCTGTCCTGCTTTTCCGAAGCCCAGGCGCTGTTCAACTTCCTCGCCGAGCTGTGTTGGGCCAACTACATGTGCCCGTCCGAGCATGCAATTCAGAGGGCAATGCACTGCCTGTTAGACGCAGCCTCAGCTCTAATCGAATGCCCTGGCAACTCTGAGCCGGCTGGGTGGTACTTGTATGCCAATATGAATGAGTTTTTTTTGGCAAGAACTCACCACGAAGCCCAAGACCGTAACTACCCCGCGACCTTTGGCTTTTGGGCGTAGTTATAATTTTTCAGTTACGTGGCTTGTCGCAATGCTTTGACAATATCATGTTGGGCACGAGGTACGTGGAGTCTTGTGCGTACTTTCTGGCCCGGGTGGGGGAGATCATCATGCTCAACCCCCTCGAGGTCTTCAATGTCTTGGATCCGCTATCGGCCAGTGCCACGCACGCACTCTCTTAAACCCTAAGCCCTGCAGGGTCTATTTGGCGGGTGGCAAGAAGCAACCCTAAGCCCTAAATCATCTGTGAAGTCTTGGTTAAAGGTCCCCAAGGGTCGGGATGGAACATGTTATCAATGACCAGGGTCATAGGACCAATGGGGTTAGGGCCTTATTGAATTACAGGGCATGAACAAAACCCGAGGTCTCCAGGTGAGCGAAGGCCCTACTTAGTGTGGCATTGAGGCCCTCTTGGCTTTGGGACTTTGGGGTGCAGTATCTTCGGTTTGGAGGTTTTTAACTTGTGACACTAGGGCGGTTGCTCGAAGGGCTGGCATCATTGGCCCGGCAACTGCCTCGCCGAACGAAGAGCTTCGTTTGGTTACTCCTGCGACGTCGGGAAATGATGTGGTGCCTTGCTTGGAAGTCAGCTTCTTTGAGGGTGCAGTTGCTGGTCATATCGATAAGGCTAGATGTGCTACAGTGCTACAGTATCTGCTGGCAGGCGAGGGCATCTGCAGCTCGCCATCAGCCCAAGCTACTGGCAAGCTTATTCTGGAGCCCGGCTCGTGGCTTGAGCTGAGTGCTGGAATGACCTCTGAGTAGTTTATAGAGTTTACATAGTCCTGTTCGTGGAATCGCCTAGATAGTGCCACAGCCAAGCCGAAGAGCTTGAGGTCCTCACCGGCCACTTCAAGGGGGACCCGAAGTCCTGCTCCCTCGCAGAGCTGCCCTGGTGCGCATGTGCCTCTATCATGCGCTTCATTTGCGAGGGCAACTCGATGGATGCCGCTGAAGCTGTCTGGAGAATCGAGAACCAGGTGGTGACTTGGCCACTCACAAATCAGGCACCCATGGGTCCCCTGTTCGTTTTGGAGCTTTTTTCACCGCTGATCCTTGGGGCTCTAGGCTCTGTGGCTTGGGATGTTCCCCCTCATACTAACAGTCCTTAGTAGGGAATATAATCGGGAGGGGGGGGACTCTAATCCCTACGAAGGACTGTCAGTATGAGGGGGAACACTGGGAACATCCCAACCTATGGCTTCGAATTTGAAGTCGTCACTTTCCCAGGAGATGCCTGCGACCGATGACTGGCTCTCTCAATTCCTCGAGCAGCTGCCCGCCACCCCAAAAGCGCGAGAGGGCTGCGCGGCACAACGGGATCAATAATTCAATAAGGGAATCAAGAGATCAAAGCAGCAATGTAGTATAGCAGTATGACAAAATATAGACAATAGAACAGTAGAATGTAGCTGATAAATCGTGTCAGAGCGAAGTTTTTTGTAGTGTGATAGGCAAATCTTCGCTCTGCCTGGCTGCTTGTTCCTGTCACCGGAATCCGCCTCGCCACTGAATGCTGATTCCTGGATCGTAAGGCAGTGAGTGCAGCGAAGTCAATTCACCAACTTCACCGATGGTTGCAGAAAGTGAGTAACTGAACAGGTTGCAACAAATGGTTGCGATTCAGTTGTACAGCAGAAAAGCCGGGAAAGCACCTGTGCATGACAGTGTCCGAATGTGTGAAAGTTGCACAAATTATTCACAGGTTTCGGCATGTGGTAGGCAGCCAACAAATTCTGCCGCACGTGCCAGAACTCCTGATATAGCAACTCTTGAAGCCGAATGCGCCACAGAGTGTGCAAAGATGTGTCATGGCTCGCGCTGATCCCTCCTTGGGTTTGCGTCTGCAAGATCTACTTGCGCTGGCAAGCATGCATGCCCGTCGCCGGTTTTGAGGGGCCTGGGGGCCAGCCTGGGGTCACTGGGCTGGGGCGCAGCTCAGGTGGACCCAGGCAAGATCAGCCACCCCAGTTGCATTGTAGGGCCTGCCAGGACTCCAGCATGTTGTTTGCAAGCTGGTAAGTATCCCCTTTGCGAGAGCTACCGCGGGCACTGGGAGACTTGGGCTGCCCCCTAAGCCCACGAAGGTGACATGTTCGGTGCTACGCAGCCGTTCGGCGCCACCGCTGGCGGTGGTGGATTGCTCGGCACCTGGCAATTTCAGCCTTCACAGGTGAATCGGATGTGACGTCATGGCCTTCTTTGAATGACCGCCAGGTTTGGCGGTGGGGGTTGCGGCGGCTGTGGGGGATTTGGCGCGCCGCAGATCAAGGATCCCAACACAAACCAGGACCTCCGACTAATGCCATGAGCAGAATAAGGTGAATAAGGGTACTTGTCTGACCAACTGTCCTTCTTGGCATCTCGAGCCGTGTTTTCGTTTCACATCTGATTCTCCAGCAGAGAGAGCCCTGGAAGGATGCACCTGTACCAGAGGGCCCCAGCGATGCCATCAGCTGCTTGCGTTGGTCCCCTGCAGCGAACATTTTCGCCTGCAGCTCTTGGGATAAAAGCTCCTGGGCAGCAAAAAGCTGTAGCAGCTTGCTCCGGTAGCCCAGGAAGTTAGAAAGCTTGCGTGTGCCATGCCAGCCGCCTTCTGACCACCGTCTGCATCAAGGGCTTCCCGAGTTGCTGCTGTGCCTGCTTCTGCTGCTCCGAAGGTGTCAGGATCTACGAAGTCACTGCGCAGAATATTGCCCCGCGCACCTTGCAAGCAGTTATTCCACTGTTCTGTGCGCTCACGAAAGCACAAATGAATTCGGCGGGTGGGTGCCAGCAAGCAATTACACTGGCTCTGCTGTATGAGACAACCCCCTTCCCTCGCCAAAGGGGTGACGTTAGGGCAATGTTTTTGCTCGGGCAGAGGGGGCTTCGAGCACAAATTTCTCGTTGGTGCCTTTGAAGTGGAGTCGAGAGTAGAGCTGTATTTCCTGATTCGTGGGGAATCCGTTTTGACAGTCGGTGGCAACAGCAGCGTTTTTCCAAATACGAGGAAAAGCAGCGTAGCAGCAGCTGCCGAATGTTTATTCGCAAGCGCGAGGATCATGATGATGATGACGACGACGACGACGATGATGATGATGATGATGATTATGAGGATGATGAGGATGATGACGATGACGATGCCGATTGTTATAGTCATTCTTGCTCTGTGCGACTATTACGGTTCTGATGATGACAGTTACTATGATGAGCAAGGGGTGATTCTGCACTCAGAGGGTGTCGTGAGATAGCTGGGCATTTCTGCCTCCCCTGACGAGTCCGTCAGTCCAAGCATCATGATTCATGCCTGAGGAATGGCTTACAACCATGAAGCACCTGTACTGTGCTGTGCCTTCTCTAAAGATGGTCAGCGGGTCTTCAGCGGTGGCTGCGACAACAAGGTGCATGCGGCATGCGGGAACAAGTGTAAGTAGCTTAGGCTGGAGCAGGTGTCTCATGTCAATGCCTGCATGCCTGTCTGTATGCTCAGCTTCGCTGGGAGGTGAAGATGAAAGTGCTGCAAACCCAGCAGGAACAGCAAATAGGCCCAGCCCTGATTTCAACACAGATTCGCAAAATTTCATCATCGCGTGTGAGTCACAGGCAGTCAGGCAACGACCGATGCACTTTGGGGATTGCACGTTTCCGCTCAGGCCAGCATGACGCGCCAGTGAAGGAGGTCTTTGTGCTGGATGAGATGAACATGGTTGTTTCCGGTAGCTGGGACAGGACGCTCCGCCACCTGTCAGCACTGAGTCTGCTCAGGGTTGATAAGCTCCGGTTGCTCAGATGGCAACCATTGATATCCCGATATCCCAACTGCGACTTCGCTGTGATCCTAGGCTTCTGGAACCTTCAGCAGCCCACGCCGGTGGCTACTCTGCAGCTTCCAGAGCGACTCTTGGGGTTCAATTTAAAGCCGCTGTTTTCGGGCTCCAGATTTCTTCGGGTGGCCGCTTTGTGCATGTCCCGAGGAGTATACACCATGGACGTGAAGTATCCCCTGCTTGTAGTTGGGTGTGCTGAAAGGCACGTGTGCCTTTGCTGCAAGATGTGGTGCATGTCCCGTGCCCTGCCTCCATCGTGTTGCCACTTTCTTCGGCGCTCCGCACGCCACTCGTAAGGGTGAGCCGCAACCGACTACAGCTTGTATAAACATGGCATCACATGGTTGGACATGTGAGTTTGCAGCGCCTCCTCTTCAGCACAGTGCGTGTTATTGGGTAACTCTCCGCACGCTTTGCCCGTAGATAAATTGCAGATGCCTAAGACGCACTTAACGCAGCGACCCTGCTCTGCCACACTGCTACACCTTGTTTGTCCAATTTGTCCAGTGGATGCGACCAAGTTTGGATGCTGAGGCTAGTGTACAACCTGCAGGCTATTCAACAGAATCCAGCCCCCTATAAACAGGGCCAGACGGCCCTGAAAATGCAGACGCGAGCCATATGCTGCTTGGCTGGAGACTTGACAAGTGGCCATCCAGAAAAACCATGTGTTTTTTTGCAGCGCCCGTGGGCCGTGATCCTTAAGGCTGCTTCCCTGACAAGACTGGCTACGCGGTTGGATCTGTAGAGGGCCGGTGTTCCATCGCCTACATAGAGGACACGAGCAAAAACTTTGCCTTCAAGCCTCCTGGATGCAGGAGGCTCACACATCTTTTCGGCGTCTTGGGGGCCTCATTGCAGAATGCTAGGTGCCATCGCACAAACACGGAGATCTATGCGGTGAATGACATCGACTTCCACCCACAGCTGGGGTGAACGTGGCTGCATTCTGACAGACGGTTGAGTCATTCAGAACCGTCGCCCTAAGCCAATTTGCAGCGCGATACATAAATAAGCAAGTATAGTAGATAAGATATAAATAAATTCATGTCAGTACAAGAATAATTGTGAATATCTAAGTACATGAACAAAAACATGTTTGTATATATATATATATACATGTATGTATATATATATATACATATACATATACATATACATATATACATATATACGTATAAATAAAGACATAAATAATTAAATATACATATATATGTATATATGTTCAGTATATGCATATGTATATGTCGGTAGTCCCAAAGACTGAGGCTTTCAACGTCGGTCTATTGATAGTCGTGTGTGATCCGAGAGAACGTCAAAGCACGATGCACATTCAGGACTTTCGCCACCTGCGGTGGCGATGGCACCTTCGTTTTCTGGGACAAGGAGAATAGAGCCCCAGGCTAAATGGGTGTTTCCGAAAATCGGGGTACCTGTATTCGGGTGATTATGATAGGGGAAATCCTGTGATTTGGGGACTATATTAAGCGTACCTTGTTTTCGTAAACCCCCAAACGGCCGAACTCGCATGGGGTGAGCACACACGTGAGCGCCTGTACTATATTGCTGGCAAACTAAGGACAGCGCCTCAAAGCTTTCAACTCCTGTGGTTATCCATTGACTGCGGGGAAGTTCAACGTACCTTGGATTTGCGTCAGATATGTGCGAAGAATTCAGAGAGTTCGAGGCAGCAAGTCAAGCAAGCGACTCAGCAGTAGGATTCTTTCTGCTGCCAGGCACCAGGAGATTTGTACGTCGCTTGGTCTAGATTGAGAGAGGTGCTTACATCCTGCTTGTTAAACAATGTTGCGGGCCCCGTCAGGCAGGCGTGTGTACCCTTGCATGTTACCATTGCATATACAAAGCAGCACGCTGCGCACCCTGATGCACCGATGTTAAGCTCTATCTGCAAAATTCTGCAAACCAAGCCCAAGGCGGGATGACTTGGAGAAAAATGTTTGGGCTTAGGTCGCCAGCTCGAAGGAGCAGCGTGCATACAGATAGCTTCTGTGGGTTCGACCTCTACCACGTGAGCACGCTTGAAATGCAGCATGAGTTCAGAAGCAGCATGCCGCGAACATGGTGAAGCTTTTCCACGCCTTCCGCAGGCAGATTTGTGCCACCACGCAAGCTCCACGTAAGTGCGGCTATTGAATCGGCTATTGCAATCCATTTTGCCTAGAGGCTTCCTGGTCCTCCTCCGTGACCAATCATAATGCAAAGGCAGAGACCAAAGTCCATCAAAAATCTCTGGACGCCCGGAGCACCCCCAGAACCACCGCAATTGTGCAGAAGGCCCCAGATTGCAATCCACGGCGGAAGCAACCCCCGTACTTCATGCAAAAGATAAGCAGCTTCCTGGCCATCTTGACATGTGCTCGACATCTCCTCATGCGCATGATTGCAATGCAGGGAGCCAGACATGTTTTGCAAAGCTGCTATATGCAAGCGCAGCGCACCATGCAAACATGCGTACCTCCGACGACGAAGCTGGCGCATGCATCTCGCACGCTGGTATTGCCGGGCCCGGGCGGTGGTCCATTGCCATCGAGTGATGCACTCTTTTGCATGGGTTGTTGAGTGTCATGATATTCTTGGCACCATCCGAAGCCCTTTCCGAGGCCTATGCGGTGTCATATGACTGGAGCAAAGGGCATGAGCACAATCACCCGAGCTTGCCTAAAGGAGTCTCAGCCTCAGTGCTGCGCGTTACCAATCTTAGGTCTTAGGAGTCATGAGCCCATGCTGACATGTGCCTGCGGAGGTCTTGGTTCACAAAGTCCAGGCTACGGAGGTGCAGCCGAAAGCGGGCTCTGCAAACCAGCGTGCCAAGCGATGAGAGGCGCGCTCTGGGCCTGTAACTCAATCTTCTACAAGTTTACGAAGGACAGCCCAAAACCCTAAACCCTAAACAGGAGCAGGCGTAATCGGCTGTCTGCTGGCAGACTACTGGGAACCACTCTAGGACTCCTTTGCTTCTTGGCGCGAGGTGTTGAAAGCGCTGCAGCCTCTGTGATGCAGGGAGAGGGAGAGCGCGCGCACAGTGTCCTCGCCGATGTTTCACCCGTTAAAAAAAAGGTCCAGATGATGCCCTGATGCCCTGATTTTTTACAGGGCCTCAATCATTGAACCTGTTGGTGCCACGTGCAGCCTTTGAGGGGGAGGTAGTTTTGAACAGCAAGGAAGGTCAGGCAGCACACGAGTTGGACAGGGCATCCTCATGTAGCCGTTTCGGCCTAGACAAGGACAGTCAAATCATGGTAGGAGGCTACATACTTGCTTTGGCTTCAGCAGCTTGTCCCAGTGAAACTCCTGGCATACTTCTGACGTGAGCAGGTTGCAGCATGACACCTGAGCGGCAAGGCCGAGACAGATGAAAGTGTAGCAGCAGAGCAAGTACAGCTAGCAAACTCAGACGATCCCCATGGGCACCATGGGTGAGGGCCCGGAAGGCTCCGCTTTGCTTCGCTCTTGAAGTGTGCCAAGTGGCGGGGCTTTGCTACGAAAAAAGAAGCCTCTGCCGACAAGGTGAGATTGACAGCAGTGCTTCGCCGATCACCGATGCAGCTGTGCAGTCCATTATCGAGCAGATAGGCCGACCACGGCCAACACAAACTTGGGCCTGCAAGCCTGGTTTAGGGTTTAGGGTTTAGGGTTTAGGGTTTGTTGCTCCCTGCCTTGAGGTCTCCTGACCCCCGAGCAGAAAGAGAGGGTGAAGAAGGCAATTGTGTTTGGCAGCTCATCGAACATTCTCAAGGACTGCCTCGAACAATGTGCAACACATCCTTGGGTGAGCTTGCATTGACTTGTGTAGCTACCATGTGAAGGATGTCGATCGCTCGCTCTTCTTCATGATCCTGGGCTTTGCTTGTCTTCTTCTCCATACTTGCTACGTTCTGTACTGCAGCTGAGTAAATGAAGAACCGTACACCAGAGAGCAGCGGCGGTCAACATGCACTCTCACATCACAAGGCTCTTCAGGTCAGAACATCACCCTGAGCAAAAGACACCCTACCAGCCATCGGAAGGATTGAACCACGAACACGAGTTTTGGAAGAGTGGAATGGAGAACACATGGTCAGATTTGACGTTGGCACTGCAGTGGGCGTACCCTAAATGACCAACATCGGTGTGGCTCATCGACTTTACACTATTGCACGAGTCAAAGAAGAACGTCGCTTGTGCCAGTGTGAGTTCTTCAACTACTAGTTCGTAGTAGGGAAGTAGGAATTAGTCAGTTTGGTACCTCATCTATTGTAAGCCAATCCCAACCAAGGAATCGTCCCAGCTCCCCGCCCCGTGGCCGCTCGAGCCGTGCTGCCTCGCCAAAGGAGACGGGGGGGGGGGGACAACTCTACAAAGGCTTCGGCTTAGGGTTTATAGGGCTCAGGGCCTAGGGCTTTAAGCCCTAGAATCTCAGAACCCTAAACCCTATAAGCCCTAAGCTTAGGGTTGAGGGTTCTCAGATTTTAGGACCGCCTTCAGCGTTGATTCGCAGAAGGTCTTGGCTCAGGATAAGCAGGGTTCGGCTTCCTGGTGATCGCGATACCTAACAAGACGCAGCCTGCAAAAAATTCCGGGAGACTTCGCCACACTGAAAACCAGCAAAATTTCAAAGTTTTACACACAGAACCATTGCCGGAGAGTCGCCATCCGCTGAAAGGAGAGGACAGCCTCGCCAAGGCCTCGTCCTGACCAAGATATGTCATTATAGTATTTTGGTGATTTTTTCATAGAGTACGTTTGTTTAGTATTCTGATATTATTTTGTTGTAGTGTTTTCTGCATGTTTATATTGCATTATGATAGTGTGATAGTCTTATGTTGGTACTGTCTGACAGCGTGCTGTGAGGCTGAGTGGCGGGCACAGCGGCTATCCCGCAAGTTCGGCGCCCGGACACGCTGTGAGGTCTGTACCCGTAGGGCAATTGGCAAAAGTTCGTCTTGCAAGCAGTCTAATAATACAATAGTATACTAATATCAGAAATATCAGAACAGAACAGTATCTCATGCAATATCACTAGCATAACAAGGCAACAATACAACTTGATAGTACAACGGCTTGGAAGCATCTGGATGCACTGCGAAGTGTGCAAGCTCCCCGCTGCTGCCGGCCCAAGTGTTTTCTATTCCTTCGTGTTTGCACCTTTCGCTCCTAAGCACGTTGCCTGACCTACACTACCATGGCTACCTGGGTGGCTTACACTGTCATGGCGCTTGCCTATGCACCGCTTGTCACAAGCACCCGCCTCACGTCTCAAGAGCATTCGGCAGATGTCAGAGAACAGGGAAAGTGCGATCTGGACACGGCAGCGTTCTACTGGGAGTATGACAAGATCTCCATGTTCGGTCTGTCCTTGGCGATTCTGGCTTGCGTACTCACCATTCACGCCTGGAGTGTATCGAGGAACGCAAAGGCCATCCTCCTGGCGGTTTTCAATGCAGTGATTGGAGTTGCTTGCATATTTCTGCCATACATCGCCGGTAACCTTGCAAAGTTGAAGGTTGTGGAGCACACTTGCCATGTGTGCCACTGCAGCCCTGAAGAAAGGGCGATCGTGGTCGATCAAGCCAGCCTGTGTATCCTCTTCGTTCTCATGTCTAAAGCTGCAGTGGCCGCCATTCTCTTGGGCATCTTTGACATCATCCTCTGCTGCGTCATGTGCTGCACCAGAGGGCGTGTCGCAAGAGCGGCCAAAGAAGAGAGGAAGCAGAACAAATCCATGAGCCGAGATTCGGCTTGAGTCATTCTTCCGAGCTGTTGTTGCCCATCAGGCCCGCTTTAAGGTGTCACCGAACATATGAAGAACATGTGCGGCAGCAGAGTCCAAAATGCGCCCGCCACATGCAAGGCCGTGCGAGCTGAGCGCAACTGTACGATTTGTCTGGAAACGACTCAAGTCTGGCTGCAAAAATGCTGCCCCCTACACACCGCTCGCACCAAGGTCCTGACTGCAGCCCTAGAGAAGGATCTCGCGTCTTGAAGCATCTCAGCAGATCTATTTTTGCACCATCACCGGAAACAGCTGTCATCTCCTTTCGAGTTTAACTGTCGTTTCAACACTCGCGGTTCCCTTTGGAGCTCGAACGCTGGCGGCTCGCGAAATTGTCTGTCCGACAAGGCGAACCATCAGTGGCACGGGCCATCCCATCGACGACCTCCTGCAAGAACGAGGTCATGTTGAGCGCTACTTGGTGGTCGTCTCGTCGTTGTCGCTGGATTGGAAGGACTGTCCCCTCCAGACCTCATAGCTTCTTTACTTCTTGTTTGCCGCCATGTGTCGTTTAGAACAGTCTAGATGTCCGCTTGGATGAGCGCTCAGGAGCTCGTAAAGATCCCTGGCGTTAGCAACTATGAGCTCCGATTGCTGTGGCATCTGTACTTCCTTCGGTCAACCAACATGCACATAGCATCTTGCTCGCACCCGCTAGAGCTGAAGAGGGAAGGTGCCGGGGTAGCAGCTTGCTGCGTTCTTGCTGCGATCTGCATCACTTGAGGTCATGTGCACTTCGCAGTACATCCCTGCATCTAGGCTCATCTTGGCTCAGCAGTGGCCTTGTGCTAAAGAGGCCCCAATTTGACACTCATGTCGATGACATGTCTGCTTCATGCTGCAATTCGGGTACCCTAAATTTCAACCATTTAAGACAATGATTTAAACCCTACACACCCCGAAACAAAAAAAGCCCTAAACCCTGAGGAAGCGCTGATCAACTACTACTTGCGCTACCTGCCAAGTGACGTGTCGCTGACCGAAGCTCGGGCTCGGTTGACGACGATTGCCTGCAACGACACTTGGCTCGTGCCCACTTGAATCATCTACGTACGAATATATGAATATCATAGTATACTAGTATAATACACTCATATTATCATATAGTAATAGTTTAATAAACTAAGGTAGTACGATAATAATTTATTGCACTAAATTCAGTCCATCTTGTGCCAGTATTTGGAAGACAGGGGATGGAGGTTGCAGTCTTCAGACCAGACGTAGAGGAGTGGGTGCCGGCATGCTGAGGACATGAGTGCCGCCAGTGTTACCAACAAGCTGCTCGTCCGTAGTCGCGCTTTAGAACGCATTCGCAAAGCCATCGAGCCAGAGAAAGCGGCCATGACCTGCTTCAACTCCACAGCTGCTTCGGTGGCATTGCAGAGTTGTTTCTCGATGCTGAGTTTGCTGAGAGTTGGAGTTTGCTGTGTCGATATCCTGCAACATGAGGACTCGGAAGTGCAGTTGGTGGCTTGTTCGAAACAAATTCTGCCACAGATGCGCCCGTGGCAGTCGTTGTGTCGCAGAAACAGTAGGTCTGCATGCCCATGCTTGTAGCCCAACATGTTTCAGAGATCTCGCCCAAGACTGTTTCAGTGCAGCCTGTCTCCATTCTTGTGCCGCCCCGAACTAGAAGCGCTCTCGAATGCCCTCTGTCTCAGGCGGAAGAGCTGGGAATCCCCCTATTTGGCACGGACACACAGGGAGCCTTCTGGGGGACGAAGACGGGCAATCGGCAGGTTTTCCGGGCACCCTGGCCGCAAAGTGCAGAACTTTGAAGCGGCCCTTGCTACTTCTATGCACTTTAAGTACTCAAACCTGTTGAAAGCACACTGCTACGACAGACCTGGCAACTTGTAAAGCCTGTAGAGCAATTCCACAGCAGGATGCAGGTGTGCTACATCCCGATGGCAGCTACGACCTCATCTACACCAAAGAGGAGCTATGCGAGGACATCGTGCAACTCCAAAATGCTCTGAGAAGCCCCAGATCCTCTTTTTGTGCGTTTTTTTTATATTTCAGTTTTTGCCACCTCAGGAGATCTTCTTGTTGCTGAAGCGCTGCTCTTCAGCTCGGAAGGCCCCAGAGTCCCATCTCTCAGAAGAAGGCTTCATTCTATTTCGTGATTACTTTGCTGTGGTTTTATATGCGCATATTATTATTGCATACTGAATTATTCTACTGCCCTTGACCCCATGAACAACGATGCATTGGGCTCAGGCATTGAACATGTTGTTGCAAGTTGTGAGTTCGTTGGCAGTTCTCGCCCTGGACCAAACTCAGAAAGGAGACTCAAACGAGTGGCTGCCAACATTCGTAGCGACTGCAACAAGCAGTGAAGACGTTCTGCCGTCGAACGCGCCGTGCAGGTGATGGTGAAGTTGAATGATTCCTTCAGTGGTGAAGGCAATGCTGTCCTTCGTGTCGATCCCGAACTCGTCAGCTGCTTGAAGGACTTATCAGTAGTTGCTTGACAAGCCCAGCGTGGCAAGTTACAGAGATGCGGCAGGAGTCGGACGACAAAGCGCACGATGCGATTAACGAGAGGCTGCCAAAATCGGTTGTCTTTTGAGAAACGTCTTCAGCTGCTTGACGCGAGATGTCCATGAAGCTGATAGGCTGGAGAACTCGCTAGAGTACGTGGCGCCAGGACCCGGCCACTGTGTGGATGCCGCATAGCAAGGGTTGTTGTTGCAATGGAAGGATTGAACTGGGAGAAATACTACATGCAGTTCCAAACCCTGGGCGGCATCTGTGAGCTCTTCATCGAAGGCCCCTTGCTTCCAGCGAGGTGTCCATGCTGTTGCATCCTGTCTGCTGATGTAGTGAGAGTCGTGGTTCAGGGTTTAGGGTTTAGGGTTTGAGGAGTCCTGCTGCAATAGGGTTTAGGGCAAAAAGGGTTTGAGGCGTCCTGCTGCAAAAGGGTTAGGGGGTCACACGTTGATATCTGACCGTGTGGTGGCGGGCCTGTACGTTTTAGGGCATACACGGAAAGCGCTGTAAATTACAGGACTTCGTGCGTGTGGCTGTGGAAATTGAGGGATTCGTGCTTTAGGAAATCCAGGAACTCAAACTTAGGGCACTCATTTTAGCACACCTTCCCCAAGCGATCCAGGATGTTCGCTTGGGGACCAATTGCCAGCGCCAGACCCAGCTGTAGTTGTGTTCGATGAGACGCACATTGTATAAAAGAGGCAAAAATGCCGCAAATAGCAGGGTTTTGGTCATGTTCGCAAAATGGCATGAACGCTTATGACAGTGCCTTGTGTGGCTGAACATCAAACATCCTCCAGCAACATGTTGTACAAAGAGGCAAAAGCGCCGCAAATAGCAGGGTTTTGGGCATGTTCGCAAAACGGCATGAACACGTGTGACAGCGCCCGTTTTGCTGAACATCAAACATCCTCCAGCAACATGTTGCACAAAGAGGCAAAAACGCCGTAAATAGCAGGGTTTGGGGATGGTTAGAGTCAAATGGTCGTAACCAATCCCCCCCCCCTCCCCCCCCCCCTCCCCGCCCCTCAACAGAAGAACACTCTCTCCAGACCGGAAATTTCAAGAAAACCACACGGGCAAATAGCAACGTGTCAGGGGTTAGGGCAAAAAGGGTTTGAGGAGTCCTGCTGCAAAAGGGTTTTAGGGCTTAGGGTTTGACCACACTTGAAGAGCCAGGTGCAGGGGACGCCAAGACATCGCCTTCGTGCCAGGCCTTCTTGAATGCAGATGGCACTGTGAGGAGACGCTCCGAGCATGAGAGCTTCCCCCTCCACACTGAATGAAGCCATATACTATAAGGGTTCTAAGGGCAGCAGATTTAGTTAGTTATATAGTTATATGTGTATGTATATATATATATATATCAGCGCACTTTAATCTTTTAAACTATGAAATTAACGAAAGTGGTGCTGAGAAGTGTGTGTGCTCAACCAGGATTCTAGCGACCCATGAGCAGATGTTGAACGGGCAGATCTACACAGGATGGATTGCTAAAGTCCATGTGCGTTGCCTCGTCGCTGATATCCTGACGGCTGGGTTGATGATGTTCCTTAATGATGTTCCTTGCAGCACCGATGCAGTGCTGACAGCTGAATCTCATGCGGCACGCGCACAGGATGCACGTTCCCTGCCAAGCAAGAGTATTCTGCTGACCTCGTTGGGTTGACACAGAAGATCGGCAAGGATTCCAAGCTCTGCCGAAGTCTTGTTGATCGAGAGCATCTGAATAGCAGCGAACGCCACTTGTCAATCAGCATTCATGTACAAGAGTTTGCTCCGCAGGAGCTTGTTACTCGACAAGTTGTCGGCTACATCGCTGTGGACTTTGTGTCCGTACGACAGCGCGATGGAAGCTACAAGTGCCTTGGTTGCTCGCGACACATCGGATCGCAACTTGTGGTTCGCCTTTCTGTTCCCGCACAGCTTGAGCTGCGATCTCCCGAAATCTGACAGGCACTGGGCGATTGAGGTGAATGTTCGCATGGGTGGCACTACACTCCCAATCATGACATTGCTGCTTGGCATTACCTCATGTCCAGTCTAGCCATGACTGCCTTTCAGTGCTATGTCAACACCGGCTTCCCAACCTCAGGAACTTCTTGTGTCGTGAGGGCAGGCTGAATGAGCAGACCTCAGAGTTCATCGCGACTGATGGCAAGCCGAGGCTGGCAGCTCCAACATAATGGTTTAGGGTTTGGAGTTTGAGTTTTGGCTTTGGGTTTAGGTCGTGTCACGAGTCGTGTCCGGTTCGAATCGCTCGAGATTTGGCTTCCCCGAAGGTTCTACGTGGCCTCAGACACACTGAGCAACACGGCCAAGATGTTGTGCGGGCTTTACCGTCTGATTGAAGCCAGACCCCCCCGAAAAAAGAAAATATATTGACTTCTTCTTCTCCGTGCTATTCTTGCTTTGGGGTCAGCTGAGTTGCAAGGGTCCGTTGTGTGGAAATGGAGTGCCTGCATGAACTTTGCTGAGGAAAGAAGAGCTACAAGGGCTTGGTGATTGAGGACTTGCTTCACATCATCGAGCGCCTCTTGGTCGATCGGTTTCTTTGGAGCCCCAGAGACGCAGTACTTCACGATGAAACATGCAGAAATGAAGCCCTTGAATGAATGCGCTTCGTAAGGGAACCATATGTCCAAAAGCAACCCGGCCCAGAACGGTTCTGCCAGAGAGTCCTTATCATAAACATCCATGTCTGAAGTCGTTTTGTGGCGCCTGAGAGACTTCAAGAAGTGCTGGGGGTAGGCCCTGAAGGGTCCTGGACATGGTGTCCTTGATATCGGAACAACGTGAATGTCGTTGTAGGCACTGTAAAGAGGTGTGCCAATGTTTCTCGCTTTATTTCGGGCAGTTCAGGGGCCAGTGAGATGTGAGCTCAGGACACTCCACAGAGATTGAGTGGAACAAAAGACCAGGTGCTCCGGAGACAGGCTGCTGGCCCGTGCTGTGCTGCCGCTTGAGCACCCTTCGGCGCAGTGGCGTGCGCTCCGCACCAACTAAGGCGCGATCTTCCATTTGGTCACTCTTCTCTCCGAGCTTGGCAAGTGTGGCTGCGTGTGCGTCGGCCGGTCGAGAGAGGAAGCCCACGAGATCTTTCGGCGTGTTCAGGAGAACCCTGTGTTTAGATGGGTTGAGCATGGTTGAGCCTGATTTCTCTGTATGTGTAGAGAGACCCTAAGCGACACCCAGCCTTCCACAAGAACATGTTGGCAGTGGAATGCCATGTCCTTGTCAACTCTGGGAGCCAGCGGCAGGTTTCAAGTTGTGGAAGAACAAGTCAGAAAGAACGAGTGTGTGTGTGTGTGTGTGGCAAAAGCAGAAGGTGACAAGAGAGAAGCCATTGAGTTAAGAGATTGAAAATAAAGTCAATGCGTGACCCAAGTGAAGCAGTGAAATCGGAGAGGCCAATAATGAACACACGAGCAAGAGTAGCATTCGGTGCCGCCTTTCATTGTCACCATGCGTCAGTTAGGCTTCGTTCTGGGTGCTCAAACACAAACCTGTGCGTAGCTGCGGTGGCAACGAGGAGATCCTCGACATGGAGACGCGGGAAGTAGTGCAGGCACGCCCCATCTGCAACGACTCAAAGGTTGAGGGCTTAAAGAACTTCAAACTCGGGAAGCTCCTAGCCAGCACTTAAGTATGAAACATCGGCGCTTGTATGACACTAGTCCGCTGCCAACCTTTCCGACCTGTGGCTCAGCTGTCATCTCCGAAGGGCAGCTTTTGGACCAAACTCAGCTCGTGTGGTACGCGTTTCGCATTGCGACACCTCTGGACTTGCGCCTTCAAAAAATTGAAGAGCATGGCAAATTGGCAGGCAGAACCCGCAGAGGGTGCAGATGGTGAACTGAGTTTGGTCATCGAAGAGCTCGAAGAGGAGGACAGAGTTTCTATTTGTCCTACGAGGGGCGAGGATCCTTCAGTTAGGCCTTGAACCACCTAGTCCATGCTGATTCCATGCGTGCTTATAAGCGAGGAGGATGCTGCTGATATGCTGAACTGAGCGTGGAGTTGGCCTGTTCCCATTCAGAATGGACGGTGCCCTTGTTGCGAGGTAGGTTTTGTGCCTGAAAGGTCCCAGGATTTGCCCGACGGCCTGTGTTAGCCTGAAGCCAGTCTCAAGCTGATGGCAAGGCTCCGGGGAATATCCGCCCCTTTTGTCAATCTCTCTGAGCGAACTGTTCTGCATCGTAGATTCGATGATCAGCAGGTTTTCGTCTTGGGAGAAGACCAAGCTTACAGCGTCGTTTTAAAACGCATGTGCCTGCTCGCACTGTTCTCAGCACGCGCTTGAGCAGAACTGGCGTTGGAGACGTTGGGGAGGAGCTTGCAACTTGACCATGACATCAACTTCAACAGGACGTGAGTTCGCATTCAAAGTTCAGCTTCGGCCGCAAAGCTGATATTGCCACATATTGCCACCACGAGTCAACTTTACTCCAGAAGGTCGGAGGAAGAGTAAGGATATTGCACTTAGCCTGTGTGTAGCCTTTAGCCGTAACATCGTGAAGCATTGCAGGTAGCGCGCACACACAGAAGCCTGTTCAGTCGCGCTCCATGACACCAAGTTTCCTTTGCCAGCACTGGATCACTAGGGAGTGCCCCCAAGTTGCCGAGAAATTCGTTAGCATGGCCTGCGGACGTGCGGAATCGCCAAGACAATCTAGATGACCTCGACCTCGGAAGCCAGACAATGTGAGGATGAGCTCCGTCGCTTGTCAGGTACATCCCTTTCAGATTTGCAGCCTGTGCATCAACGTAGTTGGAGCCGCAGGTTCCAGGAAGAAAGGCAGAATCCTATTCCAGTGACTAAAATGAACAAGGTGCACCCCGCCTCGAACCGCCAGTCGGCGTGCATTCCCAATGGGGCAAATCCCAAGATGCTCTTTGGATGCACTACAATGCTGCCAGGACTATTGCTTTTGGAGCCACCACGGTTGCAGCTGCTTCCTCCGAAGCCCTAAGCATCCCAAGGTTCGGGAACGCGGCACCTCGCCAAACAGCGCCGAAAGCCGTCCGCGCTGGGACAGCAAGGCTCGTATGCAGAGTGGCCCAGAATCACAATGGAATCGTTGCAAAAGCCCAGGTCCTGGACGTAGAAGTCGACCGCGCGGCGCAGAAGCTCATGACGGCCAGCTGCACCGTGCAGGTTGCGGAGGCTGTGGTAGCAGCCTTGACGGATGCAGGCCAGAGCTTTCTCGGAGCTAACCAGAGTATTTTAGCCCCGCGTGAGAAGCACGCAGCAATTGCGCAGGCTCAAGGCTGCAACGGTGCTCTACTGCGTGCATACTGCCGAAGGCAGGGTTTCCAAGCTTCAGGTATTGTCAACCCTGCAGCTTCCTAATCCCTTTCAATTTATGATAAGCATCTCTTGCACTGCCTTGCATGCTTCAGGAGCGCAGATCGCTTGCGGCCTGCTTGAAGCAAGAGGATGAGATGACTGCGATGGCCTCCCAGTCCTTCTTGGACCGATGTGAAGACCATGTGGTTTTTTGAGATGAGCAGTGCTGAGGGAAGCGAATAGCCCGAATAGCTGTTGGCCACTTTGCGTCCACCTGTGGCAGGATGCTAGCTCGAGCCTGGGTGCGGTTCTGATCTCGTTGGCTTCAGCTATGAGTCAGAGCATGTTGCTACCCTTGGAGCCTTGGCTTTGCCGTTTAGGTTGTGTGAGCTGCTTCGTGGCTGTGCTCTGGCGGCTGAGGAGTCTTTTCATCGAGGGGCCAGCGCAGACCATCTCAGGCGCAGTGAGAAGTTGTACACATCTGTGCACTACTTGTGCACTTGAGCAATGGAGCAGAAAGCACCAGAACACAGGAAGAAAGCCGCTCTGGACGATCTTCGTGAGAGGGAGCTCAGCTGCTCCAATGCCGTGACCGAGTGCTTGCAGAAGCGTGATCGAGCCCGCGGTGGCTTGCAGAGCGCCATGCGAGAACTGGAGCCTCTCAGTAAAACCACGACATGTCCTCTTAGCTGCGCAGTCCTAAGCTATCATACACTTAAGTTGCTTGCAGAAGGAGAAGACCCAGAAGAAAGCTGGGGAAAAGAAGAAGGGCCTTGCTCGCTTCACGCGGGGAGATGGGGAGAAAGACATTGCGGCTGCTGAGCTGAAGGTTCAGAAGGCAGCATGGGATGGGAGCGTGGCGTGGTTGGACCTGGTTGGTTTGTCAAAGCTGATTTTATTCCAGCTCTTGATGTTCTTGGAGTTCGAGTGACGCCTGTCCACGCATCGACAAGTTTCAAGATGATCTAGAAACCCACCCTGTCATTTTATGGGCCATAGAGTGGTTTTTGGCGCATGAGTCTGTTCTTCCATGGATTTCCTATTGGGGGCATGCTAGAGGCGGCTTCTGTGCAGACAACCTCGATCGAGGAGCTAGCCGCACGCGCTTCACTTAGAGAACCGAGTGTCACGTGCCATGAGAACCCTGGGAACTGAAGAGAAATCACCAGGAACTGAAGAGGCCAATGAGGCCCGATTGCTACGGGAGAATGCCGCCAAAGATGTGGACCTCCTCCTGTCGTGTATCGAGACCGTGCGTACAAGGCATCAGTGCACACCAGACAAGGCATACCATACAAAGCGATTTATGTATATATATATATATATTCTTATCTATTTATCATTTATTTGTTTGTATATACACACATCATAATGAAATGAGCTGGAAGGCTCCTGGCCCGCTGCTTGAACAACTGCGCCTTGGCATATGGTGAGGCGGCCAGAAGTCTGCGAAATAGCGCAGCGGACATGCAGGGCCAGGCCAGCCTCAGGAATGATCGCAAGAAGCGGTGTACATGTGGTGATAGCATGGTGGATAGCATTGGTCTCCGGCGCTTTTTGTCAGTTTGTCCGCAGGTGTCCTGCTTGCGGCAAGGATCGGCAAGAGCGGACGTACCCACCTTGGGCGGCGACGGCGAAAGCAGTCTGCCTCCTTGGGCCTTGGAGGCCCTCAGCTGATCACGAATGATCGGGAGATTAAGGTGTTGCCTGAGTGTTGAAAAGGGCACACGGCTGAATAACCCAAGGCTCTGAAAGTGTCCAAGATGCTGAGCTGACAACTTATTGTAGAGCTCCTGCTTTTTCGAAGTCATTTGTCGGCTACCTGCATGTTCCCAAGCGGGTGGGTTCTGATAAAACTGAGGAAGCGCCCAAGCACAATTGTCAGCTCCATCCTGGATGCAGAGGAACTTCAGGACCAGGCGCAGAGCTGGGAGGACAGGCTTCTGAATCTCCACAGGCTGCAGTTGATCTCCGTTTTGCCATGGGTGTTCCTTGACTATGCCAGCGATTCTGCCAGGAGAAGCATCCCGAATCGCCCTTCACAGTTCCAATGCCGCGGCCCAACGCCAGCCCTGGCGCCTTGAGCTCACAAGGTCGGGGTGCAGAGCCCGCTTCGTGCCATTTCCTGCCTGTGAGATGCGCTGTGAGATGCGCTGAAAGGCCGTGGCTTCCTGAATGCCCGATCCGAGACCTCGCCAGCCATTCTCACAGGCCCAAACGATCGAATTCTGCAGCGGCTTCAATACCTAGACATAAGAATATACAATAAGAACAACCGGGTAGCTGAGTGGCATGACGCTCAGGTCATTCCTTGCCGCTGGCGTCTCCCGCATGTGAAGCTTCGAGACGGGATTCCAGCCAGTTCCCGTTTGAAAGCTGACCAAAAAAAGGAGAGGGAGAGAGAGGGAGAGAAAGACACGCACACACACAAACAAACACACACACACACACACACACACACACACACACACACAAATGCAAAAACAAACACACACACACACACACAAGTAGTAGCTTTTAGTGGAGAGTACACCGGCTTGTGGCTCCTTTTTCGGTCTCGCTGGCAGAGTTGCTAAGTGAAGTTGAGAGGTAGCGACAGCTCGGGCCTTTCTAAACCATGTATGAACTCTCGAAGTATAAGCTGCAAAAACGAAGGAGTTCACTTGATCAAGCCCGGACACCTGAAAACCCGAAAGCCTGCCCTTGTGTGAGTGTGAGAGCGGAGCCCTAACACTACAAGCCCCTACAATAACCTGTACTGATATTCTAACCTGTACTGATATTCTTGAGGTCCAAGTTGGACTGCGGTAGTCGACTAGAGCGAAGGCAGAACGACCTAAACCCAACTAGGAGCGGGGATTTGGAACGCCCTCAGCCTTATCCCTACATATCCCTACAGTGTGGCGTACCAAGCGGGTGGCCCAAGCGATAGACGGTGGAGGCAGAAAACCTTGAAGCCACCAGTGGGCAATTAGTGACATCGGCGTCCAAAGTGCTACAAGTAGCGAGGGCCTTCTCTTGAAATCTGCGGTGCTTTTGGATGCTTGGAGTGTTTCGCCGCTTCGCCCATCATCGACACACAAGGACTTTCTTAGCGACAAAGGACTTCAGACATGGCACAGTGCAAGAAATCAAGGTATACTTTGTATGGTTTGGGGGGGGCTTCCGAGTGACCTCCTTTGCAAAAGTCATGCAATTAAAGTAGAGTCGCAGCATGCAAGCGCGTTGGCAGCAGATCAGCAACAAGCGTGTGTGAGCAACCTGCAAAGACCGCAGCACAAGCAAATTGCATGGCCTATAGCATATGGAGATGGTCCAGCAAATGTCAATGCCGTTGGACATGGGCCCCGAGACCCAGGCTGAGAAGTGTTGTTGGTGCACAAGAAGTCCACGACTTTCCATGACATTGGATTTTGAATTCCTTACTGGGGGTCCTTATTATGAGGGGATCCTACAATTTCGGGACCTATCGCTACAGCACTGGCCTGCAGGTGAGGAGGTTCATTGAACGTGGTCGAACCATTGCCCAGAGCACAGGTGCAGGGTCTCAGGGAAGTCAGCAGCTCTTGTGCTCCTGGAACTTCCAGAATTCTAAGTCCTGGATGGGGGTTTACGAAAATTATGGGGACCCCTAATATAGATCCCCAAATAGTCGGATCCCCTTATAACAAGGACCCACATAAGGCCCCCAATATCGGAAACCCCTAGATGGTAGAGGGCCTGTGTGTTGAGCCTTGAAACGACTTTGTCGACAGGAAGCTGAACTCGTCCGACAGACCTTTCAGACGTCGAAAAGCCGAGTGTTCCCAAACATGAAACCCAAGCGCGAATCCGAACCGGACCTTTTCGGTTCCTTAGCCACCTCATTTCCAGCAATTCCTGCTTCACAACCTAAGCCTGACTGTGGTGCAATGAACCTGCAATGTACTTTCTGATTCTGATTGCATACCACCCAGCCACTGTACTTGCACTGCACCGCTGCTCCTCCGAAAGAAAATGATGCTTGGATTGACAGTTTGAACAACCGAGAAGTATCTTCCGTCTCTAGCAGCATGCAAGCCTCGCTCGATGTGGGACGCTAGGATTCAAGGCAGATTTCTTTCAAGTGCAAGTCTTTGTGCCAGGGCGTATCAACGTGCGCCGCATACGAACCAATCTACACACTGGGTGCCCATGCTCAGTGAGCTGCCACACGACGAATCTGATGGGCGAAGACTTGACCATGTTTTGCAGCGTGTTTGACCCCACCAAACAGGCAGCATCTCAGCCAAGGTGGTCAGCTTTTTGGGCAGATCCATTCCATTCGGTGCGCTTGCTGTTTTCTTGACTGCCATGGTGCTGCATAGCAACGGCATGTGCCTTCGCGCTGGTCAAGTTGTGCGTGGAGGTCATCCACCACAGCACTATCAAGATCATTGCCTTCTTCTGCGTGACTCACTCAGATCGGAAGTCCCTTTGGTAGGCTGGCAAGTCCGAATGACTTCCCGCTCTGCCCCGTTGCACCTAAGGCGAGCTACTTGTTCACGCACCTGCTGTTCTCTCTGCAGGGATCCCGGGGTAGAGGAGCATGCAGACGACCGCCGAGTGTTGAAGAAGGAAGTTTGCCAGTCCTTACAGTACTGGTGGGGAAGCTCCCTTCCTTTCGGCCTGCTTGCCCTGACTAAAGCTCTAGGAAATTGGTTTGAAGGAAATACAGAGTCGGAGTACTTGAACCAGTAGTGGGCATTACAACTTGAGCTGCAGGTTTAGGAGGGTGCTTCACGCCCGCCACAACCCAGCGTCGCATGAAGGTTCTCCCCAAAGTGAGCAGTGACATACATGGCTTGCGCGGGCACGGGTGCAAGCAGAGTGGTCAGAATGCAAGGGTATACTACATGGTCGACGAGTCCTGCGACTTGAAGAAGCTTGACCGCATTGAACACGGTCAGAGTGACAGAGGCCATGCAGCTGGGGGGGGGGGGTAGACAGACTCAAGGTTCAATTCTGCGGGGGTCATCCGTCCTGCCTTAGACTTCGAAAGTCCGAGGATACAGTCGCTGCTGGATGCCATGTACCTCAGTTTGGAGGCACTGACATGCCTTCGAGCGGCTTTGCCACTCCGCACACAGCAACAGCCGCATTGCCGCTGCCGCTTGTGAGGTTGGCATGACGATCGGATGGGGACTGCCCGGGTACGGCCCAAAGGAATGAAAGATGCGTTGTATGCATTAGTAAAGACCCAGAAAGATGTAGGTAGCGCGTAGGGCCGTGACGCAGCAAGACGCCGAATGCCAAGGTCACCTTACATGAAGCAGAAGGGAGCCAGGCGAACTTTGCAGTCCTATATGAAACCTCTTGCTAATACCCATTGCTGTCCCCCACACCTAGATGTTATCTTGTGGAGACGAAACAGTTGCTCTGTGGCATCGTGCGCAATCCACATTCTGCAGCTAGCAAATCCCCACGAGTTATAAGCACAGGCACGGCTGCGTCAGCGGTGTTGGGATCGTTTACCTCCACACGCTGACCATGCAGGCAGCCCTGTCTGTCCATCACGGCAGCGCTTGCTTGCCGTTGCCATGTCCTCCACTGGACCCCACTTGCACAGATACAGAACGCGCTCATGATCGGCTTGATGTACTGCCGCATGTCACGTGGCACCAGCAGCGCGGAACCAAGCCGCTGCATGCGCTGGTTCATGTCGCTGTAGAATCCAAGGGTGTCCAATGGTTGAGAGTCGGGAGATCAGCGGCATGATGCAGTTTGCTCCAAGTTTAATCCAAGCGCCAAGCTCATTGTGTTCAACCGTGACTCAGCTGGCTCAAGCTACCAGTGGACCGGTCGTCGGCTTTATGCAAAGCGGCCGGATGGACACCGATCTGTTTTATCAGCACTTGGCAGGACGGCAGAGCGACAGACGTCAGCCTCAAAGCTATCTTGAACCTATTGACATGTGTCGACGTTCAAATCCAGGCACGTGTGGTCAGCCACTAGCTGGCCTCGATCCCTCCCCCGGAAGTGACCGAAGCTGAAGCCTTCGCATAGCCCAATGATGCCCAACGCATGTGAAGCTCATAACTTGAAGCTGGTACTTGGAATATGCACCCGATTTTATTCAGACATGGCCCAAACATGCTGTTTTTTGCACGACCGGTCCTTCATCATTCCACATGTGGTGGTTTCCACATGTAGCTCTGCATGCGGGAGCTCTCCGCCATCTCTCGGGCGGGCTCTGCTTCAATTGCACCTTTCTTACAAACACGTACGTTTTTGCTCATCAACGCTTTACGTTGGGAGTCTGGGAGCAGATAGCCTAACATTTCGACGACCAACTACTCGCTTACTCTTTTGTACCCTGTAGGAAGGCCACCCTAACCTCTACACCCGTTCCCATGTTTTTTCTTTTCATCTGTGCTGTGCAAGCGTCGCCCTTGAAAATGCACGCTGCAGTCGGACTTCGCCTCTGAGTGTGGAGTCGCGCGAGGGGAAGGGACTAGTGATGACTAGTGTTTGTAAGCCTGTAGGTCGTAGGTTGCTTGGAATGGTTTTGCTTCTCAGTGCGTGGTAGTGCGTCATCTTTCTGAGCCTTGATCAGGTGCAAAAAACCTCTCTAAGGTTTAACTTACTTGTGGTACGACTGTAGCTTATGATCCGACTTGTGACCCCCCCACCCTACACCCACTTCATCGAACCATACTGACCTCGTCCCAATGGTGTCCTCGACTTCTCCCTGCGGCCTGGTACCTCCGTATCACAGTGCGGGGTACGCCGGGTATTCTAGGCCATGGTGCACTGTCTGGTGAGGGGCGTCTAGGTGGGTTGGGATCAATGTCATTTTAGTGTCGCGAGTAGGACGCGGTGTTTGTCCGAGCGCGACTGCATGTCGATTTTGACACTTGTGCTTTTGTGGTCTGGATGTTTGTTAGCTTTGGTTTACCTGGTTGAATCTCGGTAGAGGTAAAGTACTCACACAGATGGGCTGCGTGGTTACATGGGCTTCCAAGCGCGAAGTGGTGTGATAGTAGAATAGAAAATCTTTTTCAGGCTTATGACGTCCGCATCCCATGCGGTTTGTCCAGCTTTGCCAACCCACAATGAGAATCAGAAGCCTTGACCACATCGACTTGCCATATGAAGGACTTACAGCGGAGTACGACCGGCTGGTACAGGAGAAGGAAACTTTACTGAGCATATGGGGGGGGGCGTCAACATCTCTCTCTCTCTCTCTCTCTCTCCTCTTTCTCTATATATATATATATACATCTATATATATATAATTCAATTCTATATTCTATAATATATATATGTATATTATGTTAACCTCTGGCCACTAGCCTCGTTTCTGGAGAGGCAGACCTGGCCAAACTCATCAATGATGCCTCCTCGGCTTTGCCTCCGGCTCAGTGCTTCAGTGGCTGGGGAGGGGATGGGGCGCCCCAAGAAGCATAAACGTAGGGGGGTATCAGGGATGGAAAAGGGGGGGGGTAGGGTATCAAGCCTTGTCGGGATATCTGAAGCCTCAACCTTACACCGCAAGCAGCAAGCATTGCTCCATTACTGCATGCACGCTACGCTCGGACTGCCATCTCGCATGATGAAACAACGGGGCGCTAGTTAGATTCCCTCACCTCCCGAACTAGCCCTCATGTTTCGGTCTAACCGTTCACAGGCATAGCGGTGTTCACACCCTTGGAATTGCATGCCAGGTCAACCGCTCTCTCCCTGTAACACCTTGAGACCCTGCTAACGCCTAGAGGAGAGCGAACTCCCGGAAAGGCCCCATTCATAGTTCTTGAGCTAGACCACACCACCAAAAGACTCAACAGATAAACGTGTGAACACGATAGTGCGTTGACCGTGGAGCAGCTCTCGCCCTTTTGAGACCTGTCATACCCAGCCCCAAGCTTTCGTAGCACTCTTCTCATATCGCTCAATGCTATGTGGAAGCTGGGCAGATTCTCATGGTTGGAGTGAGGGCCTCTTCGAACATGTCTGAAGACCCTTGACGGCCGAGGCTTTCAGCAGATGACGGTTGTGCTGATGCCTTGGCGGTTCTATGTGGAGCTCACCCATGATTTCCTGAAGATTGCTGCTTGCTCTCCCCATGAGCACAACCGGACATGCTGATGATTTTGCCGAGGTCTTGGATCGAGAGGTAGCCGGGTCCATCATCTCACACAAGGATGGTAACTGTGGGGATTTTTGCTCATTCTTGCTCCAGTCGGTCTGCAGGACTGTGCTGTAGGAAAGGACGCTTGGTAAAGTCTGTCTTTTGATGCTCAGAGTCTTGCACGCACACTTGCACACGCCAGTCCTGATGCAGGACGAGGAGCAACCTGCGGAAGGTATGCAGAGAGCTGTGTCAGGCGAGCCAGGAGACCAAACCTCAAACCCCAAGCCCTAAGCCCCAAACCCTAAACCCTAAACCCTAAACCTGTGTTCAATCAAGCCATGCGTCATGTCCTGCCAGGTCCTGGCAGCTCATTCAAGAAGCAGGCGAGCTTCGCGATTGACGCCGATGACTTCGACCAGGCGGGATGCGCAAAAGGATCTACAGTGTTCGGCCTGCCAGAACTGTTGCTATATACATACATACATATATACATATATACATATATACCTATATACACATATACATATATACGTATATACATACATATATACATACATACATACACACACATATATATATATATACATATATATATATATATATATATATATATATTAGTCTTTTCGCGTTTGTGTAAAGCTCCGACTGCAGAGGCTTCAAGTGTAAATAGGTGTACATATATATATATATATGTGCATATATATATATATACATATGTATAATATTTACTTGTTCAAATTGCTGTGCTGATATTCACACACGAAAGCAACCGCCAATTAAGGTTAGGTTCGTCAGTTTTGCGTTGCTTCAACAGCGAGAATGCAGTGGGCAAGACGCCGCCCAGGCAAAGCTTGTTAACATGGCCTATGAAATCGAGGCTGGTGCTCAGGGGATTTGGGAGATAAAGGATAAGACATGATAAGAGCTTAGACCATGGCGAGAGAGAACAGAAGCAGGTGTGCGACATCCGAAAAATGAGCATGCTGTTCAGCCTGTCGAGCACCCTGTCAACTCACAAGGTCAACATCTGGCGAGCCACAGGCAAGGTGGCTATTTTGCCGCCTGCTGCATGAGTTTCTGAGTTCTAGTGAGCTTCGAGAGATGCTTCTTCAACCTGGAGCGCAGAGCTTCAGACACACATCGGTGCAACTCCTGCAGGCTTGCGCGAGGCTGACATCGTGCCAGGCCGAAATGAAGCGATGTGAGATCTTCCGAGCGAGGGATGATGGGGATGTGACACTTGTTAGTACAAACGACGCGTCAGAGAGGCAAATCATTCTCACCGAAAACACACGGAGGCATGTCTTCGGATCCTTATTGCATCTGCGCAGTGCAGGGTCGGAGGCTCAGAAGACCAGCACAGCACCATACTGTCATTGCAGGAAGCAACGGGAGATCCCCAGGCCCTTCAGTTAGGCCTTGAATTTCCGAGCCGGATTACATGTCTGAAAGCATTGTGCCTATTTACTGCTATTTCGGGTTATAAAAATCCTGATGAAAAAGAATATCATAGTGGCAATTCTCTAGGCTCCTTTACGGGGCAAATGCTCTTCCCACCGCCTGCACACCTACGACGTCGCAGTATGCTGGCAGTCTTAGGATGCTTTTGGCACGGCCGGGTTCCGTGCGAGGTAAAAGCCAAATTGTTGAGGCACAGAGTATGGGGTTTAGGGTTACAGGGTTTAGGGTTACAGGTTTTGGGTGGAGGTAGACCCCTGCAATTGGTCCACTCCGCATCGCCCAAGAAAGGGAGCTGGATCCACCACGTGCTGTTGGTGATTTCCCTAAACCCTAAACCCTAAACCCTGTCAGCTAAGCGGGTGGCAACAAAAACCCTAAACCCTAAACCCTAAACATCGCAAGTACCTCGTCGTCGCCCTGCGATGTGGATTCGCCCCAGCTGTGCAGGAGTGAAAAAAAAAAACATCGCAGCGCAGATGACTGTACGAGCCGTCCACGCTGTCAAGTCAAAAAAGGCATGTTCGCCTGGACGGCATACGGAGGGAATGGTTGAAAAGTCTATATACATATATACTATATAAATAGATACACACTGTATATGCATACACTAGATATTTTTGTGTAGTAATACTATATACTATGTTGTATGCCCTCAGAAGCCCATGCTCCGCTTTAAAGGCAAAGGAAAATCGACATTTCAGACGCCGACGGTGTCCAACGAGATTTGGCTGCATTAGTCTTGAGGGTATGAGGTACAGACCGAAGCGCATGGCATCAACAACATGTTTCAACGAATGTCACTTTTTCAAGGACTTGAGCCCTGTGCCTGACGCCCAGCTTGACCGATTCTGTTTATCGGTTTGCGCATCTTCCAGTCGTGCATCGTCACAGTGCGTTGGTAGCTCTCATGGTCCTTCCGCACAGGTGGAATGTTTCCGCCCGCATCACAGCTGCTTGGCCGAACTTTGGCCCATTCCGCGACCACAGCCGCTTCCGCCGCTCGAGCTCGGCCTTCTTCATCAGGACTTCCACTATGGCGACACTTTGTGCTTCACCGTGTGGGACAAGGATTTTGGAAAGACCGATGATGCGCCAGCTGCCCAGAAATCGGCTCCAGCTCTCGACATGCCCAGCGTGATCAGTGTGCTGAACCTATAGAGTCCTTAGCGTCCGAGAGTTTTGTATTGCGTGATGTGTTCCACTACTTGAAGGGGTACCCGTAGAAAAGCAGCTTTCTTCGTCGGATTCCTAGAGCAGCCATGTCCCCCGAAAGGGACCCCAAGATGCAGCAACTCCCATATGTCGTTGGTTGAGCCCAGGCTGGGCCAAGCATTGCTGCCTTCGGAGAAGATTATTCCTCATGGATTTGATGAGTGGCTTGTGTATCCCGGCATTGATATGTGCGTGCACTTTTTTGAGCCTGTCTCACAGCAGTGTCCGGGTTGCTTCGCAGCCACTCATATATTGACTTGTTGCGGCAGCAGATCAAAGGCTGGCGGGAATGGGATCTAAAGGCAGGATGGGCCGCTTGCACTTTGGTCGTCACTCAACTGTGCGGCATTTCAGTGCACAGCACGTGTGCAGCATTGGCACAAAGGCAGGCGTTTCACGTGTTTCTGCCGGCTCCTTCTAGGTCGCATGCGTAGCGCTGAGAATTTGAAGTATTTTGCAGGTGTTGTATCCTCAGCAGACGACATCTCCAGCATCAGGGTTTCTATCAGAGTGTAACTCGGCCAGAGTTAGTGCGGAAAATTGAGTCCCCGAAATGCAGCAGATTGGGTGAAGACCTGCTCAGGCTGAGGAAGTTCCCCCAGGCCGTCCGCAGCAGTGTGTAGCACCGTACGGTGGCAGTTTCATGGCACAGCATCGCAGCCACCTGTCCTGGGCCAGCATGTCTCGAAACTTCAGGAACAGACGCAGTATGAGGAGCCTGTCGTGCCATCCTCAGGCTTCAGTCAGAAATGCGCCAAGTTTTGCATCAAAGGACAGCCTTATGGCCCGGCAAATTAACCGCAACCCACAAAAAGAGACGCAGACATCCAGGTGCAGCTCGCAAACCTTGAATCCCGCAGGCGCGGTGGCCGATACAGCCGGCTTTGCTTGCTTTGCCAGACGCAGTTCAGTGGCGTGAAAAGAACAAGTTGCTTCATTGGTCTGCTAGCTGCTAGACTTCCTTGTTCGGGCCTGTAGTCGCCGCACATCGTCGCAGTCCAGCTACCTGCTGGTCTGATGTGGTTGGTGGCGACGTTGGTGATGAGGAAGCAGAAGGCTTGACAGGCATTGAGGACTCCCAAGGGGAAGAGCTCAGGGCTTTGCAAGAGAGATTGCACAGGTCCTGTCAGTCCGCATATGGCTCACAAGGCTGCGTTGAAGTATATAGCATTGACATTGCTAAGAACCCCTGAAGCAGCGAACATGTGGTGCCAAGAAGGCCAAGGCATGCTCCAAAGAAGAACGGAAACAACACCCGAGCACCTAGACCAGATGCGGGCTGTTCATCCAATCTTTGAAACCACTCAAGATCCCAACACAGTCTTCTCCAACCAATGCAACTTCAGGAGGGGGAGCCTGGTCAGCCAAGACGAACGTGCTTCCAGTGCCTGCAAAATTTCTTGCTCTCGGACTGGTGGCATGGGGTGGAGGGCATAGGAGTGGTAATTCAGAGGACTCAGAAGGGGACTATGTGAGACTCCAGTTCTGCAGGAAAAATTCGAGCTCTTCCTCGCGGCGGTTCTGTGCCTCAATGCCCCGACCATAGTATGACCGCGTTTTCCTCCAGCAGCAGTACTGCCCAACCAGTGTGGATGATCAAACAGACTTAGATCATGAGCATGGCTTTGGAGCTCCAGTACGATGGCTGGGAGCTTCTTGGTGCAACAGCACAAGTGCGGGCGGAAGAGCGGCGGCGCTCAAGGAAGCTGCATAGGCAGATACTCCAAGGATCGGCTACCTCTTGGACTATGGCTTCTACAAGAGCTCCATCCAAGACCGCTTCGCTTGGGGTGCGGGCCTCGAACTCGTCGCTGCTCAAAGTTCGGTAGATGTCTTTTGTCTGCATCAGGAAATGATTTCCTGCTCTACCTGGATATCGCATTCTCGGTTCCTAGCAGCAAGCAGGTGTCAGGTAAACAACAGAGATGAACAGCTCTTGCTGCAACCAAGCCTTGAGCCAACACGTCAGGTGGTGTTCACGTGGCTTGCCTGCACTGCTCCCGCTTCTGAAGCCATGTTATGTGAGACGGGTGGGAGGGGCGGGGGGGTGGAGGTGGCTAGCATCAGCCCATGGCAGACGAAACGCCCAGGATCGACGTGACTGTTCGCATTTCCATATTGCAGCCACTCCGCTCAGAATCAGAATTCTTATTTCTTGCAGTTCAGACTTGCAGCCTCACTGCAACAGCCACTTTCTTGGGCTCTCCCCAATGCTGTGCTGATCGCTGATGCCACCAAGGGGGCTATTCTTTCGAGGCGGAATTACAAATTACATTGATTTACTAGCTGCCTGGCTGCAGAGCGTCATGGATAGTCTCCACCCACGAACCCCAGTATGAACAAGGTATCCAGAAGTCTGTCTTCGCCGTGTCACCGGAGTTCATGTCTAGCTTGAGAACTCACATCTCGCAACAGGTGGTGGTTCTGTCTTGGGTTGTATACATCCTGGCGGAGAACTTTCCAATAAAACCAATGCCTTTTCGCTGCAATCATCTGTCCTGTTCGTCCGTGGCACGGCAATAAGTTGCTCGCTGCACTGAGCATGCCTTGAACACAGCAAGGATTTTGCGCCTGATCCGCTTTGGGAAGCTGGTTCGTGCCCTGAAGGTTGTCAGGCGCGGAGTTAACATAGAGCACACGTCCTATGTCTCTAGTCATCGCTTTGTGATTGCAGATCAGGGCTTTCAGCCGCAGATCTTCGCAAGGATCTCTCAGTCCCTGGAGTCCTTGGCATTTCTCATGTCTTGCTTGAGAGCAAGCGTGGGCCTTAGCACTGGCGGATCAGGACTCTGATCAGAACCTCTGATCATAGCGTAGTAATCATAGCCATCATAGCTGGCCTCTGTGTAGTGGCTGCTCATTTTTGCAACAGTGTGTCATGTTTTTTGTTTTTGAGGTGGGACCGTCCTTGTATGGACAATGTCCTTGCTTGCCGCTGGTCAGCATGCGATCTAGGTATTCATGGTCCTGCTACGTGCAAGATGCTTGCCCTCTGCAAGCCCAAACCTATGCAAGGCTTGCATCCAGTGCATCGCCGCCCTTTTCGTAAGCAACATGCTCCACTTCTTCCTCACAGCCAGTAGCTCAGCACAGGCAATCATGCAGCTTGCGAAACGCATGCGAAAGATACAGCGACTGAAGCACTGACCACCTTCAAAGGACGAATCGTGGGATGTGCAAGTGCGGAGGGATGTGTTCCGGCAGCCGGATTGCAGTAATGGAGTGCAAGCTGCCTGCTTGCTTCCTGTCATGTTTGCACTGCGGCTCGTTGCCGTTGCCTTTAAGTCCTTTCAGAGAACCGCTTTGCAAGCCGTCGTTGGGACAAGCTGCTTAGTCAAGAGGAGCTTATAGAGGATCCAGAGTCGAACGCACGTGTTCCATTGTAGTAGTTGCAGACTGCAGCCACTCGTTCACGACAGTTCGACGAGTTCTCTGGTCCCTGCCAGGTACTACGGATACTTGGTTGCAAGACCGAAGCAAGCACCGGAGTTGTCCTTCAAGACCGCAATATTCGGACATGTTTTCTGCCGACGTTCCACGGACAGGCACGTTTACCGGAAGCTTCCTGACCATGTTTGAAACTTGGTAGCTGAGTGGCGCCCTTTTGCCCCTTTTTTTCGTATAGATTCCCTTGTAACAGTAGCTAACGTTGTAGCATGGTTCTTGGGCTACCAAGGAAATTCTGTTTGCAAATTGGGCACCTGCATGCAGAGTGCTGACTGACAATGTGGCTTGGATACAAAGCATGTCCGAGCAGTGTAGTGAACATGGGAAGTTGCACTCGTCTGTTCAACATCTTCGAAAGCGCATATTTTTTTTCGCCCGCAGTTGCATGCGAGGTTACGGAATGGTGGACATTGTTCTTCTTGCTGTACCGCTGCCTGGTAGGCCACAAGCTGCCTGTTTTGGGGGCACTTGGTCTCCTCGTTTGCTGCCAAAATATGAAGCAGGGTATATATTTCTTGTACCCCCAAAAGGACACCCAATTTATACACTCACCAAAATTAGAAAGGAACCTTAAATACACTCACCAACAGTAATATAAATCCTACTTCATATACTTGCCCAGCCTGCGCTGCGGACATCCAGCATGGCTGATGCGCGGCAGGTTTTGCTGTCCTCAACGTGGTGAATGCAGCTTCCTTGTCCAGCAGACAACGTCTGGCATACGGTAGGAAGTGCATTCAGTGGCGGTGGGTAAGTATTGAAAGTTGCCTTTGCTGCCAACATGCTATCCAACCGAGGCGGTTTTTGTCCAAAGCACGTTGAAAGTCGCACATGCAGATGAAGAACTGCAGTTTGCATCCTGGCAGATCTTAGAGTTCGTTCATTGCTTCCGACCGGGAATCTCGGCACGGTTTCCTCGATGCGCAAGCATGCCAAGGAAGCCAAACAAAAGGCCAGCATGCGTCTCCTCTTGTCACTCTTGTCACTCTTGTCAGTTGTTCAGTTCGTGCTGAGATCCACTTTCATCCCTATTGCCTGTTGTCCTTGCAGGCGCAACGTACCCTCATGACCAAGTTGCAGAACATGTTCCTGGCCTTAGACACCTCAGGCTACCTTATATGCTTTGTGCAGATCACGGCATCGCCTGAATACACCGCCTAAGAGTATTCAGAGTTTGGGCCGTTTGGGCAGCTACAACATGATGGCATCTGGGAGGTGATGGGCTCCTCAGCTGGGACGAGTTCAATGAGGCGATCTCCAGCCCATCGGCCCAGGAATTCGGCAGCTTGCAAAGTCAGGGAGCGCAATCGGGCAAACTGGCACACGGTTGGCACAGGTGTTCAGCGTTTCTTGTGCCGCCTTACGTTTCTTCTGGGCCTCGCCCGCCATTGTCCCATCAAGGTCCGAAGATGGCATTCTGGATGAGCCAGCTTGTCACCTGCTGCAATCTAGCAATCTAACAGGTGGTGGAAGCAATTAACGAAGGAGACCTCACTGACCTCATACATCCTGCCCTTTTGCACACTTAGGAGCTTGAATCTTCCGACCTCAAGAGCTTGTTCAACCTGCTTGATGGCGGTGACGGCCTGATCTCTGTGCAGCTGGGACTCAGGGTAGCGCTGTGTACATTCCATTTGGTGCGATGTGTGTCGCAGAGGTTCGTTATTTTGTGGCATACGCTCCATCGCTCAAGCGCCCACTCTGGGGCCCGTAGCATTCGAAAGGTCAATCTCATGTTCACATCGCTGCAGAGTTTGGGTAAGCATAGGTCATCGCCAGGCCAGGCACTCATTGATTGAAAGCTCACGCAGGCCAGTCCATCCAACGACCCAAGAGCAAAGCATCATATTCGGATATATTCGATCATTTCCGATTTATCCGTTCTCGCCGGCCTTGGAAACTCTTTGTGCAGAGTTGCCTCGGTGCTGCGTTGTCCAAGAATCCAAGGAATGAGTTTATGGAAGGCGCTACCCGCCTGCGAGGCAGTGTGTCGTCGAGCCTTTCGTCGTCAACAGAGCGCAGCACACTACACTCCCCGACAGGTCCTGCAAAGAGCATCGATGTGGCCAGGCTGCTGATGCTTTGCAGCGCGGCGAAGATAGGAGACAATTGTCTGAACTTCCGCTCGAAGAAGCTTCACCGGTGCATGCCAAGGTACGAAGACCGAAAAGACGGTGAAGGCCAGTGTCAGTGCACAGCACGATCCGGTTGCATCTTCTTCTCTACTTTGACCATGAAACGTGTGCTCTAACAGCGCATGTTAGATTTTGTAGTATGACGAAAGCCAGAATCCCACTTTTGAATGCTGCTTGATGTGCAAGCCCCATCGAAGGTGATGGCTCGGGCACCTTGGCTGCACCACGGCAGTTGCCACTTTCTTGGCACACGTCCTCTCATTGTTCCTCGTCTGACAGGCGATGAAGCCGATGATTGAAGATGGACCGAATCCCCTTGGGTGGGGGGGGGGGGGTGTAGAATGCACAAAGTTTGCGGCCCCTGCCTGAATACCTCTGTGATATCTGCAGGACTCAGTCAGGCTGGCTCCGCCTCTTGGCTGCGAAGCATCCCGCGTCGCTGCCATTTACGTGCAAAAAACGTAGACCTCTTCAAGCGCTTCCAGGGGCCCCCAAGTACAGCACTTCAAATCAAGGCACCGGTGCGTTAAGGAGCCCTAGAGGTGAGTGCATTGCGCCTTTCGGATGCCTCAGACGAAACATGTCGGCGGAACAGCCTCACTGCCGTGGAATTCTCGTCATCGCCCCAAGCCCACCTCTCTCTTCACTGCTTCAGGCCTTGGTGGTCACCATTCAGTAGGGGCCTGCCAACCTGAAAACTGGAGGGCTACGACCACGTAGGCTTGCTGTAGACGAAGTCGACTGTAAAAGCAGCAACGCCCATGACATCTCTGTTTCAGCCACAACCCGCCACAAACTTGGCTCCTGTCTTGCACGAGCTCAAGGACCCCTCTTCAAACAGAGGTTGTTTTGGAAAATGGAAGGCCAGAGTCGCCAGAGTGTGTGTGTGTGTGTGTGTGAGTGAGTCCCTACTCGCAAGAGCTCGAGAGACAGCTTCACCACCCTTACAATGGGCTTTTAGGGTTATAGAGGTGTGATGGCATGAGAGCATCGGAGGCTAAGGGGCATTTCAGGGGCGGCACAAGCAATTAGGTCATCCAGAAGATCTCCCGTTTGCCCTGGCCCTTAGACTGGAACATGCAATTTGAGGCAACCGCTCACGCTCACGCTCCTTGGCTGAATGTAGAAGTGCAGCACAGAAATCCATTGGATGTGGGAGTGTATATATGGGACCCTCAATGTAGACCCCCAAATAGTAGGATCCCTTTAAGGTACCCCAAATTTCGTAAACCCCCGTGTTTTTCTCTGCGGTTGCCAGGCCTTGCTCCGCAGAGGATCGATGGATAGTGGATGGTGATTGGAGGTGGGCAGAGAAGCGGAGAACTTCGTAACTATTATATGGGTCTCACGAAGTCCTTTAAGAGGCCCCCGAAGTACAGCGCAAATGTGAGACACCACTTTGGCAGGTGCTGATATTTTTGTTGGAGGTGCCCCGACTCATCGACGCATGACCAAGTTGGAAGACAAATATACTGTTAATGAATTTCTCTCGCCGCCATGAACTGTTTCCTTGGCCGGCCACTGATTGAAAGACAAAGGCCGACACAGTCGCCGCCTGTCGATTAGATCATGTGTTTTTTAGCTGGCAACCTCAGCCCGAGTGAACTGACCCAGCATGCCCATAGAAGTGCAAACGCATTTCCTCCGTGTAGATTAGTAAAGTTGCAGTAGTTGGCTGGGTTGCCACGCTTTGTCCTTAGCTGCCCTACGTAGTGGCCCTAGCTCGGATGCAAGCCGTTTGATCCATCGCCTTGCCTTCTGAGCTGCATGCCAGATGTGCTGCTTTCTGTTGTTTGCTGTTGTGTTTAGTCTGGTGTTTCGAATCTCGAACAGCTCAGGGGCTTCCGTAAATGTATAATTTTCCGGGCGAGCACGCCGGGGGCCTGCCAGAAATTTTGACGGCAGGCTCATCACGTTGAACTTGTCTTCAAGTTTCCCTTCCATTTCACCCTGGGACTTGGACCCACTATCGGGGTCTACTGAATCCTGAACTGCTGCTGCAGGAATGCAAGCAGAAGATTCGGCGAAGCCACAAGGTGCTCGGAAGCCCACTGTATCCTTAGCATACCCTACGAAGCTTCTGGAGAGAGTGGAAGAAAAGCTGCTCTCGGGGTGCACCCCCCAAGCATGATCAATGCATGACATATCAGCAACACTGTACCCTGGCGCCTTCCCCCGTGCCGCATTATTTGAGTAGAAGCCGACCTAAGGGGCAGCGTCACTCGTCTTTTCCGACAAAGCCGTGATCCGTGAGATTGGTGGCAAGTTCTACTTCATGTTCCAGGCTTGAGAAGTGACCACGGATGTAAACATGACCCGTGGAAGCTGTCGCTATGTTGGGTTCGCAGCCTCCGCGGATCTACAGGCTTCAAGCAGGAGTACACAAGAACTCTGTTCAACTTGTCCAGGTCTGCGAATCGAAGAAGCACCAGCTGGTAGAAGCCTGAAGCCTGGAGAAGTTGAGCACCTAGGCCCGTAGCACTGTCCAAATGATACCGCCTGCTGAATCAGATTGCATCAGAGTCAGCCAAACGCTCAAATTCCGCATCCAAGAAGGTAGATGCACATGTGGCAAGAGCCATATAAGCCATAAGATGCCATAAGAATCGGCAAGAATTATTCGATTGCCCTATAAGTAACTTAGCACCAAAGCAAGTCGAGGCCAAGATTCGCTGCTATGCCCTCTGTGCGGGTCTGGCGGGAGATTATGGCAACAGCCCATCAGGTGCTACCACGACGCTGCTTCTCAGGGGAGCTGAATGATTCAGGGCTACTTACTTTTCAGTAGGGTGTTCGGACAAATCTGACAGGCTCTTTTGCTGTGGGCAAATTGTATGTATAGGAGGCCCCCATCGTTCGGTCTCCGCATGCTCCGCATAGCTCGGCTCAAGCACGGACATGGCGGTAGGGTGGCTTCACCCAGGCCGGGGTCCTCGAACTTGCGTTGTCCCCCGTTTGGAACAGGCGTGCCCTATATCACGGAGCCAACTCGCAGTAGTAGGGTACCCTGGGGACCAGCTTTCCGGATCTTAAACCCTCAACCCTAAACCCTAAACCCTAAATTAAACCCTAAAGCCCTAAACCCTAAACGCTCTGAGCACCTTTTGCTGCCAGGGCTGGGCCCTTTGCATGCACATGCCTTTGCGGCCAGTCCGGTGCCTTGGCTGCGTCTGGGCCGGCAGGAGTGAGGAGACTAGTTATATTCGAAGATGTTGATCTGACTGTAGTGGGGTTGCAGGGATGAGGGGATGGAACTCAGAGACTGTTGACCAAACATGGAGAGTTAGTTGCAGCGGTTCTTTGGTGGCGAAGTGCTATTGGCCACAAGAAATCGGCGGCTCTCCAAGCCAGCAGCAAAATATGGCATATTGCATATTCCTGCCAGTTCAGGGCACCATCAAAGGCTCGCAATCCTCCAAAGGCCGGCTGCCCCTTCTGACTTCTGAGGTGCTCCAGCAGCAGCGCAGCAGCAAGACGCACAGGCCTTCTGCTGCTGGCGCCGCTGCTTTTCAGAAACGCTCTCAAAATCTCTCAAAGAGTCAAGATGCAGAGGGAAATCTGCATTCAGGCTCGAGCGACGTGTTACATCTGGATGCGAGACCTGCATAGCATCGGCAGTATGCGCGGCTTGGCCAAGATTTGGATTCAGATGAACACGCAAAGGATCATGTGCCAGATTGGTTTGCTTTGCTTTGTGCGGCCATGCTGCAGAAGGAATTGCCTGACAAACCTGCCTATCACTGGATGTTGCCATCATCCTCGCCAGACTTGCCATGGTTGCTGTAGTCGCAGCGGTATACAGGTCGGACTCATCACGGCCGCAAGGGGTGCGCAAAGCAGCCGACTGACTCTGCTCGCGAAGGCTGGCAAGGAGGGGCACTGCCGGGTCGAGAGCAAAATGGAGCTGCGGTGAAGCGAAGCAGTGGCAAGATAGTGAATCAAGGTTGCGCATGAAGCTTCGAGACACCACGCTTCACTTGTACAAGTATGATGTTGACCGTGGGGTATGGAGGACAGTGGCCCCTCCTCGAAGAGTGAAATCGGCCACGGGCCTAGAGTAACTTGTGAGTTGCACCAGGTGCTTCCAAGGCAGTCGCAGTTGACGCTACTCTGTTTTCCAATGCATCGGCTGCGGTTCCCACTTCTGCTTTTTGAGGCCATGTCACACTCATTGGGCCAGAAGGACGCAGCAGGCAAGCAGGGGAATTACTGCATCTCCGCAAGTACAGAGAACTCATGCTGCAGGTTGCCCCTTGGGGCAAAGCACCCCAGTCCAATGGCCTCCGTCGGCAAAGTGGGGTTGCCTTCTGCACCCTCCGCTCATCGGGATGGCTATGCCGACCCCAAGGACCACTGCCCAAAATCGCCCCTTTGGAGTACTGGTAGTGACGTGCGTTGTTGAAATGGTCGTTTGTTTTCGTTCAATCCCCTATGAGAGGAGTTTTTCTATGTCGATCCCCGGCCAGTCTCGATTTTGCGGTCTGGGTAGGAAGCCGCATGCCACATCGGCATTGCGCGCAACGCTCTACGCTACACAAAGTTGCCACAACAAGACTATCTCGACTGCACGCGAACCCAACAGTATACGTTCAACGAGTGCTGCATCTGCTCAGGTGATGCATCTAATGGGTCTTTAACAAATTAGCCGCATGTTATTCATGTATGTACAGGAGGATGTGTGAATACATGCTGTGCAGCATCTCATGGAGTACCCACGTCGATGTTAAGCAATGAGTGACCTGACAGCTGCACGCTGCGATCTTTCCCCCCCCCCCGCCCCCCGTGCCACACACACACACACACACACACACACACACACACACACACACACACACCCACACCCACACCCACACCCACACCCACACCCACACCCACACCCACACCCACACCCACACCCACACCCACACCCACACCCACCCCCACCCCCACGCCCACACCCACGCACGCACGCACGCACGCACGCACGCACGCACGCACGCACGCACGCACGCACGCACGCACGCACGCACGCACGCACGCACGCACGCACACACACGCACACACACGCACACACACGCTTCATTGCATCAGGTTGGCTGCAAGGCATGCCAAGGAGACGATGGGAAGAAACAATCACATCCAGTTAGGTGCGATGTGGTAAAAAGTCGAACATGCTGTAAGTAATGCAATGCCAGCGTCGCTTACTGAGTACAGCGCGCGCTCCAAAGGAGGCTTTTGACTCTGATACGTTCCACGCTGTACCCCAAAGATTGAAGAAAGAAGGACAAGCCACGGAAGCTCACGCCCACGCCACAGCTATAGTCACTTAGTCCGAACCATGTCAAGCCGTCAAACCTTGTTGTACTCGCCCCGCTCGTGCTTTCCAGTTTTTTCAACTAGTTCAGGCAGGAGATATATTCGTCCTACAGGTGTCTCGACGAAGATGGGCGGCTTCACAGCAGACCTGCTGACATGACTTGATGGCCCAAGCTCCTTTTGGCAACTCGCCTCCGTACATCCTGCCATGCGTACTACACCGCCCACAAATCTTGCTTTGCCCAAGAATGGCAGCCCAAGCCCAGGCCAAAGTAAGGGCAAAACCGCACCAAACCAGCAACGACTTGTCGAACCACGATGCAACAAGGTCATGTCAAACGCGACTCCCAGGACCGTGGTCCGAGGTTCAGCACCTTGCCGCCACCTCCAGACAAGCTCCTGCCTTATGGGATGGTATGGGATGGTCAGCTGAATTTTAGCACTGCTTCCAGGCGCATGATGCGATTGTGACGTTGGGACAACCTCCCGGCACCATTCCCACGAAACAGACAGACTCTTCCATCTACCAACATCTGACAGCACCACTGCATTTCCGCATGGTTCAGCACAGAATTGCCCTTAGTGAGGTCAAGAACTGCAAGGTTTCGGCACCTGATGCTTCTAGTCATTCTAATCGGGTACGAACATCAATGCGAGTGACAGCATTGCATGTCGAAGGCGTCCAGGTGGCATGACGTGTAATGAGAGAGCATGTCAGGAAGAATTCGGCATCCCTTGAGGGATTACAACCTTATCTTCCTTCGGTTGACGCTAAGACTAGGTTGACCGGCCGGCGAGAAAGAAAGCTGCAGTTAGGCGGCGTGGCATGGGCTGCTGTCTAACAGAATCATAAGCTATCAGCCACACAACTGGCAGGCGTATCTCTGTAAGTCGTTCCCTAAACCTGGAGCCCGAATCAGATGGTTCGCAAGGAGTCGGTGGCTTGCAATGCAGCCCTGAGGCCATATGTACCACATCATGGCGCTTTGCAGCCAGCTTTGAGGAGATCCTACGCAAAGTGCGAGACGATGATTCATGGGTGTGCTCTTTGCACATGTGGCTCTCATCATCCATCATCCGAAGCCCCCGGCACTCTCATGCAGAGAGAGCAAAGATGTACTGAACTGCACAAGCAGAACAAGCAACACTCCGTTGTGTTGTAAAAGGGCCAGAAGTTGCCACACAGCCTTGCAGGAGTCGACTCGACAACACCCAAGACATCCGCTCTCTGGAAGCAATGCAAATGTGTCTTGTCAGTTGGCCCTTGTCAACTTGTGCTACCCTGTGGCTGTGTGCCGACTGCAGGGCTCGAAGGCTCTATGGGAGAGGTGCTGCCTGAGACTGCTGACACAATCTGCCGCGATGCTGCAGTTTGGGCGCCCGTTGGAAGAATCATGTGGCAACGTATGAGTTTGCGTCATGCGTTGCCATCACTCTGCGTTGCTGACTCTTGAGAAGCATTCTGAGCGCAGCTCGTTGATGAGCACGTGTGTACCTAGGGTCGCTTGACCTAGGTTTTGTTCCGGAGCCTTATGTCCGAGCGCAACGCCCCGACCAGCCACATGTCCTGAAGACGTGCTGCAACTGGCATGCCATGTTTCTGGCATGCTTCCTGGCATGAGTTGTTTGGGTACACGAACAGTTTGCCCTGTCAAACGGAGGCGTGTGCGCTCTGTTGCCGTACTTTCCGACTGCGAGGAGAGCCGATATGGTTTTGCTTGTAGATTGCTTCTCTCCGCAAGGGTACTGTCTCGCATACACGGTCTTATGAATACACGACCTCCTGCCTGCCAAGAGACATGCGAACACGAGAGGCAATCACAGACTCGCTGGAGAAGGATGGTAGGTGGTTCCGGCCGGTGCCGAAAAGGGAGGAGCAGAGTTTGGAAACAGAAGCCTTCCGCTTTTGCATGTCTGTCTTCCGGTGCTGCATGCGTGCGCTGATGGTCTGGTGTCCTGCTGGGAGGACACTTTTCGGAATATGACGGACGACGAGCTGCGAGTGCGACTGCGCGATCTTGCGGCATCTTTGCCTGCAGTTGGTTGCAAGGCGAGTTCGCACGGCACCCTCTACATGCATTTTACTTCCACATTGGACGTTGGCAATGTAAATACTTAAGATGCTGTCTTCTGGCCAGGGTCCTTGTCTTGCATGGACAGCAGAAGAGATTTGACTTTTGCATGATGAGGAGCTGGTGTCTGGATCTCGCAGGGATCTGCTACAGCGACTTCTCAGCAGCTTTGCGCTGCCTTTATGAAAGGGTTGTGCCCCTGACGGACGTAAATTGCTGCTGTTACGGTCTGTTACGTGACAAGGGCAGAGGCCAGGCAGAACACGAGGTCTCGATACAGGGCCGTGCTGCCAACGTCAACCGTTCATGGGTCTTCATGGTCCGAGTTATGCCGAGGCAAAGGGGATGACTTCACCTCTTGGACGAAGATGCAGGTGGAGACGGAATGTCACCGCTTCGGATGCCCGAGCAGCATTAGGAGTACAAGTATCAAGATTTGTTGACGACGGCAGGAGTGCAGTGTACTCGTGCTTTTGTCTGCCTCAGGGCTGGAGGTATTGGCAACGAAGGCGGACAATGTGAGGAACATCAAGGAAGCGCAGCATCGTGATCGAATTCGCAACCTCAGTGAAGAGGATTTGGTTTACGAGCGGCTTGCTGTGCAATGGGAGTTTGTTTGTGCGATGCGATTTTTGGAGGGAGTGGGTTTGGTAATCTTTTCTACTGGTTGCTGAAGAACCTCCCAAAAAACATTCTTCCTTTGGGATTAGTATCTTCATACTCGTTTTGCTTGGCAAAACAGGCTGTTATTTCGCGGCCTGGAAGTTCTGGAGACGCGTGAACTGAACGAGGACCAGTTGCAAGCTTACCTGGAAGGTCGCCTCTTCGGAGCCATGTAGCCGCAGTGAAAAAGGCGCTCTAGCCAAGCAGCTGGGTTTAGGGTTTAGGGTGTACAGTGCATGGATCATCCCCGCAAGGCATTGCATGACGTAGTAAAGTTGTTACCTGCATGTTTTTTTCGCTGCAAGCCTATGGTCTTGGCTCAACATGAAGATGTACCCACTACAAAATGAAAAATTGGGTACAGTGGGAGACCAGAGCTTAAGCCCTTACAAGAACCACCATCGTCAAATAACAGTCCAGCAATGGTCAGTTCCGCATCGGGCCAATCTCATGAACGCGCGTGGGCGTGCGAGCACCCTGGTGTGCAGGGAATGCAGCCTCAGCACTCAGCACAGCAGCAGACTTGTCGCGGCATTGTGTGGTCGTTGCCATTGGTTGGTCACAAGTTCGCCACTTCGAGACCCACCTGCAGTGGTAAACAGCATATGAACGATGCCTTCGATCTGGGGGGGCCAAATACTGAGGCTTTGGGCGCACCTCCTCGCGCACTGAGTCGCCACGCAGCCAAAAGTTGAAGCCTGCAAACGGGCGTTACAGCCAGCATCCATGTCCAAGCGAATTCTCGCAACACGCTACCAAGGCTCGGCAGTGCCCTTTCTGGCCATGAACACCCCACAGGCTGGCTGTGCCGACATGGCACAATCCAGCAAAGCAGAGCAGATAAAGCCGCATTCTGCCTGTTTTTGAGCTACTCGTACAGCATTCGATTCATAGTTACAGTTGCCTTTGGAGGCTGTCAAAGACAAATCAAACTTTCACTGCAGGTCGAGCTTTTCGACCAAGCGGACGAGCTGTGCACTCAGAACGGGGGGAGGGGGAGAGCAAGTGGCCATTAACGATGAAATGAAAGATTTGAGGAGTAGGGGGAAGGTAGTCACAAAGGAGCAAAATATGCCGACACCAGCATTGGGGTGGCATCCGCTTTCTCTAACGTATAACAGGGCGTGTCGTCCGGGAGTGAGTGGTCGCTGCGCAGTGAGCATGAGAATCGTTCAAAGAGGAGTACAGGATGAAGGACGCGGAAAGAGCCTGAAAGCTGCCTGCACGTGCGGGGGCCGGTGTACATGATCGGTGTGCCAGCACCTACTCCGCGTGCAGGGTTAAGTCGAGCCATAAAGGTACTTTCGCGTGGTCATTCGCGTACGCCCACCACTGGATCGAGAGCTTTCCTCGCCAGTGTGGCAACATGTAGTGCCGCCTGGCTGGAACAGGTTTAGGGTTTAGGGTTTCAATCCTGGCATGAAGCAGCTTCCAGGTTCAAAAGGGTTTAGGGTTTAGGGTTTAGGGCAGCCATTCCGTCCCTGAACCACTCCCAAGCAACAAATTGAAAGGTCGATTGTGGAGGGCAGCGAATGAAGGGTAGATGTGGTTGAGAGTCTGTCTGCGAGCTAAGGGCAAATGGAGCCGTAAGGCCTAGGGTAGTAAATAAAATTAAAATGGACAACTCTAGTCTTCGCAATCTTGGCCTAGGTCAGTACCGGGACCTTCACAGACACTTGGCAAGCTTAGAGGGGTTGTGGCACCAGCACTGGTCCAAGCTGTGGCCTGCACGCGCGACGTGGCCCCATAAGATGACATCAGTGGTAGCCGTTTTTCGTGACGTGCCCGGTCTTAGGTGTCCTTAGCTTGGGGAACCGCCATCCAAGGATTTGTCTGTATGAGACAATTGCAGAGATGAATGCTGGCGACCGGGCCAGCGGGACCAGCCAAGTGGTGAATACCCACACGTTCTCATTTGACCACGTGCGCCTTGCTTGTGAACATTGGTTCCACTGCAGCAAGTGGTCATCAGCAATTGTGGCTTCGTTGAGCAGATTTCGGTGTTCTTGTGCGTAGCTTCTTTGTGCCAGCTGTGCTATCGTCAGCCCTTGCCACGCAAGATGAGGTATGACCAAGTGGCTTCCCAACCAGAGGTGTACACAAACACTGCACGAACATCAGCCGCTCGACGGCATGACGAAGCGGCTGAGAGCATGTCACCTTAACAGCAAGGTTTTGGGGTTTAGGGTTTAGGGTTTACTATAAACTTTAACCCGTCTGTCTGCAACAGACCTGGATGCAAAAGGGTTTAGGGTGTAGAGTGTAGGGTTTTTAAGGGTATGGGTTCTTGAGCAGACTTGGCCGGGCAAAGGTGATGTCAGCCCTGGATGGCTACAACGCCACGATCTTGGCGTATGGCCCAACCGGAACAGGGAAGACCTACACCATGGAGGGATCTCGTCAAGATGGGGGCATCATCCCACGGTCCATGGAGGAGTGAAAGTTGGGTACTTCTAGAAGAAGGGTTGTTCTAAGAAGGGCAACTAGAGCTAGTTATAGTTCCAGTAAACTATGACCTTGTTTCGGGGTATGTGTATCCTCACTCAGAACTACCCAGTGACCTTCGTGGCAGGACATCTTCCAGCATATCCAAGATGCTCAGCATGCCCACGCATCCTTCCAGGCTTCCAGGTGGAGCAATGAGGGGGCAACAGTCGGGCATGGGGGTCTACGATGTTGCTGGTGCGTTATTGTGGGTCCTTATGATGAGGGGGGGATACTACTATTAGGGGTCTCTTTTGGGAGATGAGCATGGGAAACAAGGGGGGGGGGGGGGGGGGGAAACAGGGACATGACATGGAGCTGCTCCAGAAAGATGGCGACCGCTACAGCTCAGGTTCGTGCATCCTACCTGCAGATATACAACGAGGTCATCTCTGACCTGCTAAAGCCTGATCGGTCGCACTTGATGATCCGCCACGTGCCGACAATTCCAAGAAGGTGTTCAGGGAGTCATTGGCCTTGTCCTGGGTCTGTAAACGTCCACCACACCCGCAACATGCTGCAAAAGCTTCTTTCTTCAGCCCACAGCCCGAGGCGAAGATCGCAGGAAGGGGGTTTTTGTGGAGGGCCTCTCAGAATGGCTCTGCCGAAGCCCGGACGAGGCGGTGAAAGCATGCACAGAACTCCATCTCGTGCTCTCAGCACGTGCGCAAACAGGTGCAGACTTTGATGGGGCATGGATCGACTGCCAGGGCAACAGCTCAGACAGGCGCCAATGACACATCCAGTCGCTCCCATGCAGTCTTCATCATAGCCCGCGTCTCAGTCTAGACTAAATTTTCGCTTCGAAAGCAGCCACCATAGTCTTGCAACTCCCTTTGGCTGGGCAGCGAGGTGGTGGAGCACGAGAGCATTGAGGGCAAGCGCACAGGCCGGCTGAACTTGGTGGACCTGGCTGGCTCGGAGAGGCCACGCTTGACAGGCCATGGCAGAAGCAGCTTATAGTATCTTATAGTCATCTTAGTACGTTTGAAGTCAAATCTTCAGTTGACACCGCAACAACCCGGCTGTTTTTGAGCACGTGCACATGGTGGAAGATCGCCGCGGTGTTCATCCGCAAGCTTGGATGCCCGAAAGAACCCACAGCCCCCCTGCCCACCTGCGTCGGCATTGCCCAGTACCACACTCTATCACACATATGTATATATATATATATATATACATGTATGACATATTATATAAATATAAGTATGAATATAAATATAAATATAAATATATAAATAAATAAATATATATATATATATATGATATATGATATATGATATATGATATATGATATATGATATATGATATATGATATATGATATATGATATATCCAACCCACGCGGGTCGACAAAACACTTGCCAGGCGCCACCGGCCAGCGCCTGGAGGAGACAAAGAAGATCAATCAGAGCCTCTCCGCTCTAGGTTTCCTGGCTGAAGCCTCCAGATTCGGACTGAGAGCCGAAAGAAGCCGAGCCCACTCGCAGCTGGTGTGCCTGTGGCCTGAGTCCCACATCTTGGTTTGTCCTTTTTTTGGGTGAGGCAACGTTATTTCAGCGCTGACTGAACGGCGCGGCCCTGTTTGCCGGCCCCACGTCCCCTATCGCGACTCGAAGCTCACACGACTGCTGGAGGATTCTCTTGGAGGAAACTGCCGCACTACAATGATGGCAGCCTGGCAGACTGCAGAGGGACAGGTTGCCAACTGTTTGAATTTGGTGCTACTGAGCTACTGCACCTGGAACCTTTCCGAAATATTGGTAGAGCATCATTGGCTGCACGTGATTCTGGGGCAGCGTGTGATCGACATACTCTGCAAGCACCGTGGCCCGTGGCTGGATGTGAGGCCATGGTGTCGCCAGCCGCGGAAGCTTTCGCAGAGTCCCTGTCGACACTGAAATTTGCGCAGCGTGCCAAGGGCGTGATTACCACCCCTCAGGCCAGCTCCCATGCATGTCGCTGAGCATGAATAAGAGAAGATGGAGCAGTAGCGTCAGAGCCCACAATTCCTCCAGACCCTTGAGCTCCGCATCCTCCGTGCTTTCATCCAGGTGAATGAAGACCTGGACCCCTGGACTTTGACCAGGAGGTCTTCGTGCACTGTTACACTTACAGAAAGAGCCAAAGAGACACGTACTCAGAATAACAGCTCATGAGGCTGCCATCTTCACCAGCTACAAATCCACTGTCGCACAAGCAAATCACAAGTGCGACTCCAGCTTGCTTTCAGGTACGAGGCAGAAATCCGGCGGTTGCGCAGTGAACTCGCCGAGCGCAGCCAGGAGGTCAAGAGGACGCACCCCTCCCTCTTTGTGCGAGTTGGAGGGGGGTTTAGGGTTTAGGGTTTAGAGGGTTCAGGGTTTAGGGTTGGGGGGTGGGCGCCCTTAGAAGCGGGAAGTCCGCAACGCTGGCTTGCGTCCATTGCCGGAGTGATATTCAGGAGCGTTGCCTCAGAGCACCCTGAGTCTCTAGCACCTTGAGGCACTGGGGTAAATCCTTTTCGTTTTTCGGTAGCACCCTACATCATAGGCCTTATAAGCACAGAGTGATGCTCCGGCTGAGGATCGGTATAGCTTGCCCACTGAGTCAATGACACCATTGCGTACCGACCTGGCTGGCAACCCTCCATGTTTGCCATTTACCAGTTGTCGTTGTTTGGATGGGGCGTGTGGCAAGACTGTAGAAGCACCTGAATCCTAATGTCTTCCATAGTCTTACGGGAGCGGATGTAGGAAAGCACCTTGAGAAAGAACCTGATTCTGCTCATAGTCTGCAGAGGTAGCCGATCTTCGAGCGTGTCCGTTGCAAAAGAACGCGCGGCTGTAGAGGAGGACAAGGTGGGGAAAGCTCTTGCTAACACAACCTTAAGTAGGGAATTATACATGCATATATATATATATATATGTATAGTGCACGGTATATATACACACACACATATATATATATATGTATATAATATTTCTTCCTTAGACCTGCAGAAGGATCCGAACCCGAGGGGTGTTGGCATCTTTGGGTAACACCTGCACGACCAGGCGCAGGTGGGCCGATACAAGCAACTGCTTCTCAAGCAGCGGGATGCTTGGCCTAATGGGAGGGTTTTAGGGTTTATGGTTTAGGGTTGAGAGAGAGAGAGAAGGTTGAGAGTTTATGTTGCACTGCTTTTAATATGTAGACCCCCCCCCCTGTGGCCCTTAAAACCTGAAGCTTTCAGGGCTTTAAGGCCCTTGAAGGCCTGGAATGACCAAAATCTCCCAAAATATCTTGTGATTATAGCGAGTACCCAAACAAACCAGTAAAACTGCCTATCACAAATTTGTTTGGCGCCTCGTTTCATCATGAATTTCAAAAAGGCTTTACATGGAACTGGCCGGGCTTCGCTTTCCAGATTTTCGGGCTCTGGCTCCTCAAGATTCCTGAAGGCCCTTCAGGGCCTCAAGCCTTCAGGGCCTCAAGCCTTCAGGGCCTCAAGTCTTACTGCGCAAGCCCTTAACCCGAAACACAAGCCCTTAAAAAAAAAAAAAAAAACAACCATGGGAAAAAAAACCCTTGTGATAATAGCGGGTCACCCCAACAAACCGATGTCGCAGAGAAGATTTTCGATTCTTGTGAATATAGACCCTGCATACACTAACGCCAGTGCACATTATCGGGTTTAGGTTGGGATGTTCCCCCTGAAACTAACAGTCCTTAATAGGGGTTATAGTACCCCTCTGTCATAATCCCTATAAGGACTGTTAGTACAAGGGGGGACATCCCAGGGTTTAGACCTCAGTTCCGGGTTCCAAGGGGACTTGGGGGGGGGGTTCGGGCTTGGAACTTGTCGGCTCACAGGTTTCATCGAGGCGGGCGACATCTCTTGGGATAGGGTTTAGGGTTTAGGGTTTAGGGTTTAGGGTTTAGGGGGGTTTTGGGTTTAGGGTTTAGGGTGCCGGTTTTCAAGAAGGGCGGGTTTTCAAAGCCAGGGCCCTTGTAACCTTGCCGAGTCATCACTATAAGAGGACCCTGATCTTTTCCCGTTTGTTTATCCCCCAAAATCCCGGACCCGGATCCTTTCGGAATTCCTCCGGACTCCATCCAGGACCTCCTCTAGAATTAGGGTTCAGGGTTTAGGGCATTGAGTTGAACTGACGGTCTTTTGCGGCAGCTTGTCGTCTTGACAGCTTCCGTGCAGTTGTTGTGAGGACATCATGATTGCTTTGACACAGCGCCTGCACGAGCGCGATGAGACAATCATCGGGCTGCAGGCGCCGAAGCTCAAGCTTGAGTTCGCCCTATTTGACGCTCAACACTCACCTGCACCGCACATCGAGTTGTGAAGTCATAGAGAATACACAGCAGGGGAGCGCCCTAAGACAGCTTAGGGCTATCATTATTATTATCATCATCACTACTATGACTATTCTTCTTATTTTTGTTTTTATTGTTATTATTATTACTGAAGGCTGAGCTGGACGCACGTGACCGTTGCATCGATGAGCTGACGCAGCGTGCAGAGCGCCAGGCCTGGATTGGGAGCCTTAAGGGGCCGCAGAATCCCTTCCCCCCCCGAATAATAAACCGCTAATATGAACTTCTCCCCATGCACTAGAATCTGACTACAAATGGGGGGGGGGGTATTTGATACATATTCGAAGGGGTCAGGCCGAGCAGGGGATGTTTGCTTTCGGGCTAGCGTGCTTCTGGTGGACCCATTTCAGCCTCTAATTCCCACAACCCAAAAATCCAGGGCTTCCCATTCACAAACCCCGGCCTCCTTATTCCCTTCAGAATCGGGGGAGCCTCAGCACAAAACAGACCAACAACACCGTGGCGCTGTTGGAAAGTGCTCGGATCACTGGGTCACTGGGAGCTTAAAAAACAAACAGGCCCTCCGCTTGGCAGCCGCAGAGAAGGCGCTGCAGGCCACTTCAAAGGCCAACATGGCCATGTCTGGCGGCACTGGCGGCGGCGGCGGTGGTTCTTCTGCCGGCGCTCCAGGACATACCTGCCAAAGGGCTATACACATGAATGTGCAGGTCATACAAGATATAGAAATGCATGTGTGTTAAGAATATGTGTGTGTGTGTGCATCTATTGGGCTTGGTTCGTTCTTGACTCAGACAACATGGCATTGTCTGGCGGTGAGTCGATCCTAGACTCCGAGACCTGCGACCTGAACACCACCACATGTCGAGCTGCGGCAAGGACCAGGCCTGTTTCCACGACAGCCGCCGCCGGTAGCTATCCAGACCGCCCTGCCAGAGGTGCAGATGGAATGTACCATAATGTACCATAATGTACCATAATGTACCATAATGTACCATAATGTACCATAATGTACCATAATGTACCATAACGTACCATAACGTACCATAACGTACCATAATGTACCATTCACCATGTTTCGAGGGCTGCGAGTGTGAGGCTCCTCCATCACCGAAGGCATCTCCTCGGGCATCTTGTCTGAAATATTTGCTCTGGCTGTGTCAGGCAGAGTGTCGCAGAGCGTCGCGGAGTTTCGCCAGTCCAGGCGGAGTTGGACTACCTGCCGAGATACCTCCCAGAAAGCCCCGGGCTTGGACAAAAGATGGAGGCACTAAAGCACGACCTTCCTTGCTTCTGCTGAGTGCCGCATGCTACGCTCGAGGCCGGATCAATTCCCCGACCGCTTCCGACAGGAGCCACCGCAGAGCTGCCGAGCCCAGCTCCCCACCTTCAATTTCGGATTTGGAGACCTTTCGGATTTGGCTCTCTGTGCATCTCTGTGAATTTCTAGATTGCTGGGCGAAGTGTCGGCTCCTGGGCTCGGTGAGGTTGCCGATCATGTTGGAAGCATGTGCAGCCATATTTAGGTCGCCTGAGACAGGGTCACTCATGGCACATGCTAAGGCGCCGTGGCCGGCAGACCTTTGCTAAGTGCGGACGACAAGGCAAAGACCAAAACGCCAAACAAGGCTTAAAAGTGCTCAGGACAGGTCTTGGAGCAAGAGTACCAGTGCTAGGCTGTGTCCATCTAGAGACCCTTTGTGCATGAGAGTCCCGTAAGATTGTTTACTGGGTTTGATACTTAGCCCAACACCCACGGAAGCTCTGGACCTTGACCTAGGGGCTCTAGAAACACAGCTTCTTTTCCCTCAACTGTAACCGGGGGTGATGGGTGGGCAGCTACTCGATTGGCCAGAGTTAATCATTGCTAGTCTCCAGACAGGTTGACATGCCCTGCATGTGGTTGAACTTCTCCATGATCATTCGAGATGTTTGCTGCATATGATTACGCATCTCATTTTCTCTATGTCTTAATCTATGTCGTATTGGTTCATTATATCATGCCATTTTTACCATGTTAATATATGATTGTATTATCGTCCTGTTGTAATTTTGTATAGTTATAGTTCTGCTTCTCGCTATTCATCAATAAAATATTGTTACAAGTAAGATGTTGTTGTATGAATATGTTCTTTGTGAAAAGTTTTCATTATGAATATAACATCATATTCTCACTACATTCTATTCATAGACTATTGCATTATTTCATGTCGATTCTATACGGTGACATTGTAGCATTACCTTAATGTCTTGGACGTATTTATATTCTTACGTTGCTGTACTTCACATCAGGAACATGTTATATCAGTTATATCATATAATATTACATGTTTGAACTTTATTGTGTGATTTTGCCGAACTTTGGATGCATGCTGTGCAGGTGCTTGAGCTAACTGCGCTCCTGGAGACGCAGCGGCAAGAAAATCACAGGAGAGGGTCGCAAGATTAACCAATCTGTCTATTTTTGTTGGCATCTATGTTCAACAAACAAATAGATTCAATAGATAAACAAAATATATTTTCGTATATACATATATACATACGTGTATGGAAGGTCGGATTGTTCATGGGCATCCTGCAAGCGTTGGGCGTGACAGTTCGCTGCCGGTAAAGTAGGATGTGCAAGAGGATGAAGCTGGAGCTGGAGACTATGCAAGACTCCGTGCTCCCGTTCCACAGCGTTTCTGGCCGGCAAAATGACTAGCAGCATTGGTCTGGAGGTAAGGCCGCGACAATGCCGCGCAAGGAAAGTGCGTCCTGCCATCAAAAGTAATATATATATATATATATGTATATGTCCTAATTAATTCATTCGCCAATCAAATAAGATATTTTTGTGAATTATATGTTTATATACACAGATATACATATATATATATATAATGTATATATGTCTATATATACATATATACGTGTATGTTTTCATCTATCCTGTCGCGTGGTACTTGTTGCAGATCAGCAAAGGATGTGCCCAATCACCGCACAGATCTGCTTGGACGATTCCGTGCTTCCACAAGCAAACAGGAGGGTGGGCATTTCAAAAATGAGTTACTGTGATAAGGTACTGTGAAAGGTGGTGTTCTGTACTGTGATGCAGTTTTAAAGTGAGAATTGCTGCCTAGCTGCCTTGCATCCACATTTCAAGCTCAAACACAACTGTACAGGACTGGCAGTTCCTGATCATTGCGTTGTGATTAGAATGCTCAAAACGCAAAATCTGACTACATCGCGTCTTCGTCCTTGAAAAGCCACCAGCCGCGAACAAATGTTGAGGTGCTGCGCACACGGCCGGCCCAGCTCAACTTCAACCGGCTACTCATAGAACAAGAACCTGCGTAATCTAACTCACGTTTGAGCACAGAGCGTGCCAAACAAGCACTACAAGGGCACAGCATACCCTAGACTTGAGTGGACCGACCCGCTGATTTGCCTGGAAAATCTTCAACATTGTGGCGCGGCGCTGGCGTTTTTTCTAGTAGATGGGTTCGCTGTTTGACCTGCAGCCGCGACGTCACTGGCAAGCAACCCTCAACGCACGAGAGATGATCCCTCGTCGCTGGACCAACTGTGCTGTGTGCATTCGGCAACTTTGTTCTGAATGTTTTGAGAGTCTGCCGTGTCTCTCAGGGCTTGATATCTTGTCAGGCCGCACACGCTAGCAGATACCTAAGCATGAGATGCTCATGTTTTGGCAGGAACTGCTACCCATGTTCTTAGTCTTTCTATGGCCTTCGGAGGCAAGCGCGCCTTTCCTCCGCATGACTCAAGGTGACCGGCAGTCCTGGACGAGGTCCCACAGTGTGCAGGATGATGTTCGTCGGCACGGCTCCTTGCATTATGAGGGTTCGAGACCATGGCATATCGTTGACGCGGCCGGTTTCCTTAGCATGACGATGTCAACGATCTATACAATATACATGCAAGTCCTGCAAGAGCATGTATTGATGCTTCGAACTCGCAGTAAGGATGGACACAACCTGCAGTGAAGAGCGACAGTTTCATGGGAATGCGACCCAGTGGGGCAAGATGCGCAATCTGAGCGAGCAGATTGAACAGTTGTTCCTTACGCTTCCGTTTGAGGCGATCCTATGGTTGCTAATTGGCAACACGACATCGCACGAGACTCTCGTTACTTTTGTAGTTCTGAAGTCATAGTCGAATCTCATTCTGAAATATCCTGAAAGTTCTCGTGCATCTGGGGGTGGCGTGCTCGCCAGGGCAGGATGCGGGGGGCAGACTGTCCATTGAACCGTGCGCGCTGCAGCTTGCACCCTTGGAAGGCACCTTCAGGTGGGTTGAGAGTGCTGGTTGCTTTGACAAGTGGCCGGCAGAGTCATTCCCATGACAAACAGTGCGAGCTGGAACGGCCCACGACAGTGGGGGGTGCATCTTGCCGCCGTGCGCAAAGAGTTGTGCAAAAGGCCGACTTTCGACCATCCTTGTTGGTCTCCTCTTGCTGCTTTGTGTGTGCCGGTGTCTCCTGCCTGCTTTTAGCCTTTGGGCCAAGATAAAAAAGCCGGAGCTCTACAAAGTCCTTCATAGCAAGGCGCACCGAGCAAGTGGAGCGAACCTGATTGAGCTGGCACCAGGAGCATCTAGAAGCCCCAGAGTGCAGGCCACTACTAGCCCAGCGGCAATCAAAACCATCGGAAGTATTCAGCATTGATACTATGTGTTATGCCTTAGGTCACGGATGTACCAGCCTGTGTCTGAAGTTGCAGCGATGCAGAGCCCCAGTCGATCTTTTTTGTCTGTGGGTGCCAATGGAGACACACCGTTCCCGTCTCAGTGCCTGGCACCACGCCAGTGTCCAGTGTTTGTTTGCTCTGCCGCTGCCCGGATGCCTAGGAACCTGCGATCTGTCATGGGTGCTGCGCTGGACGCATACCTGTGGACTGAGAGGCGCGGCGAGCCAGTGCTGGTCAGCCAGAGCATGTGGTCTCTGTCAGCCGGCATGCGTGTCTGTGCTAAATATTGTCAGTTTGAGGGCAAAATTCCGCAGCGTGCCGCTTTGCCTCCTTTTTGCTGATGACTAAGTGACTAGGCGTGTGACCACACTGCAAAACACAACGCATGTCAAACACTCATCATCGCCCACCTACACGGTGAGGACCTACAAACGAAGGCCTCAGAAACAGAGGAAGGATCGACACCGCAACCAAGTTTTGCCATGGCTTGCGGTTTCCTGAAGGGCCTCGTGCTTGCGCTCTTTAGCTGCAAGCTGTGCAGGAAAGCCACTTTCAGCTTTTGAATGGATTTCCAAGTCCCCAAGGCTGCTGCCTTTCGCTGCCAGCGCCTTCGGCCCAGTGCTGTACCTCGGCATTTGCTCCGCTTTCCGAATGTCATCTTCTTCCGTGGCTTCACATGTGTGGCTGGTTCACGAACTGAGAGAAACTCTGCAAGCTGAAGCCCTGTGCAAGCGAAGTACATGCTGAAGAAGCGGCACAAAGCCTTGATATACAAGTACGGGGCGAGGTCCACGTTGCATGTTTGCCTGAGTGGCGCATGGCTTAACCTGCTTTAAAGACAGGATCGAAAAATGGCGAGCATGTACAGAAAGTGGCGACTACTGTACCCACCCTGATGACGAAGCACATCCCCCCACCAGCCAGACCTGTTCTTGAGAACGATCTAGAGGCAGAGACGCGTTCCTGAAACAGAGTCGCTAAGGACAGAATGGCAGAAGCAGGCCTTCAGCCAAGTGCAGAAGAACGCCGCAGAGCTGTCAAAGGTGGCACAGCCTGTGCATCAGCATCATATCTTCAAATCTGTTCCTTCGCTAAGCCATGAGGGCTGCCTGCTGCTGAAATACGCTTGGAAAGATGTGGGCGAAGTAGATTGTTGATATCAGTCTGACGAATGTGTGCACATCAGCGTCGGAGTACTGAGCACTTGTGTGAGAGGCTGCTGAGTCGAAGCTCTTGGCTTTCTTCGATACTGCTGACTTCCGCAAGCATCTCAACATTTCGCTATGTTCTCTCACGATGTTTTTTGGAGGGTGCGTGGGTGTGGAGGATGTCTTATTCTATGGAACTTTGTATGAGTTGGGCGTAGTTGGGCAACTAGAGTGACTCTCCGATGCGCCCAGGTGCGAATCTGTCCTCCTGCTGTCCATCCTTCGCAGACCGACCAGCCGAGGCGAATTCCACCAATCAGCTTATCTCAGACCATGACTTCGGAAGTTTGCGGAAGGTGTTGTACGCTCGCTGAGCCCAAGATTTGTCAGACATCCTGGGCTGTAGGTCTATTGCTTGTGTAGGTACGTAGGGTAACGTAGCCTGAGTTATGCAGTCTCCTGCAACTCTGTACATGCTTCGACATGCACCCGCCCAGGAACTCTTGGAGAGACTTTCCAAGCAGTTTCAGGCGGGTTTGTAGGGTTTAGGGTCATTATGTTATCTGTTATGGTACCCTGCTCGGAAGCTATTCCCTGTGTCCTGGCCACTGGTCTGTCAGGCGGCTGAAGTTGCATCCGGCTTCCCTGCCTTTCAAGACCTTCGTCTGAAAAGCACCCACGTGTGCTATCCCAAAAGGAGTGCCGCCGGTTCTGGACTGCAGAAACTGCCCCCATTTTTGCCACCAAGGACCCAGCCAAGATGTTTCCGGATTCTGCTGGGATGTCGATTGCCTTCGGCATGAACGACTCGTTTTTCCTGCTTCCCGGTACGCACAGGGCTCATGGCAAAGTCGCGCGCAATAAATCGCGCAGTCAAAGAGGCCTCGAGTTGGCACCATGAGCTCAGGAATGATTGGCAGGCTGTGCCTCGGATGTCTGACTTTGGCCTTTGGCAAAATGTCTCCCGAAGCGGCGCCATGCCGTAACGCCGACAACACCACCATGCTGACTCAGGTTCTGATGCACTCCACAGATCCGGAGAGTGTTTGGCATGGCTTGGAAGCCACATATCGGGCTTACCGCGTGAATTCGTCCAGGCCATACAAGCCGCCGTGTTCAACTTGGATCAACTTGGATCTCTTCGGGAACCTGTGTTGTAGCATGTTTAGTCATCGTGCTACCCCAAACCCTAAACCCTAAATGCTACCACTGCAGTACCAACAATCAACCCTGCTTGCGGTTCGGCCAGCTATGCGGGAACGAGAAAAAATGCTACCAGTACATGCTGCTTGGTTTGCTTGTCAGGGGAGTGGTATCGGTGGAGACATGGCCCGGCGGATGCTCCGGCAACAAGACCGCGCCTGAGGATTTTCTCCTGTCTCAGTGCGCTCCTGCCGAGTTTGACGGCCACAACCTCTTAGGCCCTAAACCCTAAACCCAAAAAGCAGTGGGGTTGAGGTTGAGGCGCTTCGGAACCACATTGATTTAAGTGTTCAGTGTACTCAAAGCCTGAGCCTCTTGCCAGGCTACGAGATGCAAAGCATGCACTTCACCATGATCTATCGTTATGATTATGAAGAAGGCCGATCAGAGTTTTTGCCCTGACATGGCCCGATTTCCGGGACACGCTGATCACGGCTGAGCATAGGGCTGACAGGCGTCCTCAATGCCTCCATGTGGCCGGGAGATCCTCATGAGAAGACCTCAAAGTTCCACACGGCGCGTAAGCTCGAAGCTGCACCAAAGCTACTTGGCGTGGCCACCATGTGGCCATGTGTCTTTTTTCCATGGTTTCATTGTAAGGTGCATGCCTTAGCGGCTTAGGATGCTTAGGCGGCTTAGGAGTGAAGTTGTTGCAGTCGCTGAGATGAAAGCTGCAACTTGTTCAGCTCCAAGGAAGGCGAAGTGTCCGACAGGTGCCGCGCTTTCCGTTGAAACACTTGTGCCAGATGGCAACTGTCGCACTTTCGCCCTTTGCCTGCAACTTAAGCACATGGAGCGTGTGGGCACATTATGCTCGTGCGTAGTGAAATCGCCCCGGTTGCGCAACATGAGTTTTACCCAGAAGTTCCTTTGAATCATAAAACTGAAAGGTAACAGGAAGGGGATGCAACACCTAGTCTGTGGACTAGTTAGGGTTGAGAGTGAATCCGCTTTTGCTGGCAGCTGAGGCTTCACAAAACAACAGCGAACAGTTCAGCGAGCAAGATCATGCTGCAACTTGGGCTAACCTTTGCAGATGCCAAGATGCCAAGGCTCGGATGTTATAGTACTGAACGCTACCAGCTGCTTGCCGTAGCTTAAGTCGAATAGCATATTGGATCTGAGCCACTGTCATCAACTGTTTTGGAACGCTTGCTATGTAGCGCCGGGATGCTGGTTCAGCTGTCAGAAAGATAAGTTCGGCACATCCTGGACACACTACAGTACAGATGCAACTACATGATCTTGGACTAAGGAAACATGGGAGCGGCTTTGGCATTGATTAGAGCGACTGGTGTTCGATGATGTTTCTGGCAGGTCAAAGAAATCCCTTGGTGTGACCACCCGATGTGCAAAACGGTCCCCATCTCCAATGTGATGCAGCATAAGTAGCATCCCAGGTATGGCTTAAAGCCATTCCAGTCAGTCGGGGCACCATCGACTCTTGCCGAAGCCTCTGAGCGGCCGGTCTATGCCATGGTCACCTGGATGGAGTTTGTCGGGAGGTTGCGGCTTTAGGGTTTAGGGTTTAGGGTTTAGGGTTTAGGGTTTAGGGTTTAGGGGTGCTTTGGAACAGTGTCTTCTTGTCATGCGGCCTATCTGTTTTCTACTAGCTCCGTGCTGTTCACTGGCGGCCCCTTGTGGCTGAACTGCCTTCTGCCAATGACAGAACAATGTCCTTCTTGTATGTCTTCATCCCTTACGTTCGACACAAACCCTCGCACACAGCCGGTTTCTGTAGCTAGAGTTCATTTATATGTAGTTTTGTTCCCATGCAGCACAAGAAGTACTTGTTCCCTGCAGCAGCCCTCTAGCAACAGGAGTCCCGAGAAAACCGAAAACTCAGCATATCAGGCCGTCCAAACCAATAGCAAGCCCGAGCAAAAAGTAGCACGCTTGTCTGTCCACCTCGAAAGTTCAGAATTGTCACGTTCATGAGTGAGACTCCTGACCATACCAAGGTCAACCTGAACATGATTGACATGGGAAGTCCGATCTACGGTGGCCTGATGAGCAAGTGAAGTCACATGAGTGCGCGAGGATGCTAGAGTCTGCTGCAGTTTGCGGGTTCATTCAGGTGACGTTTCGGCCGTGTTTTCGAACAAGTATATCGCGAACAGCACGCTGCTATCTCCAATCGACAGTGGCTTGTTTGAGATGGGCTGTGCCTCGGCTGCAAGGCCTGCAGCAAACATCGAAAGGCCTGACTTCAACAGCATCATAAGTGCTAAAAACAGACCACCAGGCCATGACGGCGAACAATTCGACTGGACACCGAAGCACAACTGCAGTGCTGCTGGGCACAGTCTGGGGTTTAGGGTTTAGGGTTTTGGGTTTGGGGTTTGGGGTTTAGGGTTTAGGGTTCAGTCCAGCCACAAGCACCCCATGACTGTCCTTGCCATGGCAAGAGGCCATTGAAGCGACTGTGGAGATGTTTAGAGAGTTTAGAGAACAGTAGTGAGAACAGTAGCATCTACATAAAACAGCTCGGCCCCCCCCCCCTCCCCCTTACGGTGCAAGGATGCATGCGATCTGAACCATGCTGCTGGATCGCCACAAGGCTGTCACGGCCTTCAAGGAGTTGGGCACGCTCCAGCACAACAAGCACCTTCTCTGGGTCAACAAGGCCTTGCCACTCCCGAGGGCAGAGGTAGATTCCGGACCATCTGCCTCTGTCTGCAGGGGTTCTGGAGCCAGCTTGGAGCACTACACACCAGCTTTCAGAGGTGCCTTGTCGTGTGGTTGTTCAAAAGGCTCGGTTGCTGTTGAGGGACACTCTTGAGGCTAAGGAGTGATAGTATATCGCATCAATGAGGAAGCCCTGTGTCAGAACAATCCCCGTGGCTGTGTGCCAGACGCCAGAAAGTAGGGCGGTTTTCTGCTGGGGTCCCGGCTGGCTGAGGATGCAGAGTCCTTGGGGACTTCATGACGTGCCGGGTGGCTCCTTCCTGAACTATGTCGAGGGGGCACTCCTAGGCAAGTGTCCTGCCGAAAGGGGCAAGGGGAGGCAGACCGAAGTCTAAACATCGAAATTTTCACAGACCAGCTTGCCGGCTGAGCCGGACAGGTGAACTGAAGTACCCATCGGCAGCGCCTCTGCAGCAACGGTGTGCGTGTTCTCGGTCTTCGCGTGCACGGCGCTGCCAGTATACTCAGTAGACTCAGTAGGCTCAGTAGACAGCCCGACTGGACTCCACCAGATTCGCTTCCTCATCGGTGCATTCCCGGCGCTCTTCGGCACCGAGATGGGGGTGCGCCTGCAAACCTGGGCCAGGAGCGGGCCAAACGTGGATGCTGGCCCCTGATACCCTCTTGTTGAAGGTATTAGTATTGACTATGATATAGAATACGGAGTGTGGGGAGCAAGACACGATGAGACCTGCACCTCAACAAAGCTTGAATTGAAGCCGCACAGAGTCACAAAGTCCACACCAACGCCTACGAAGAGGAGCCGTGGTTGGGTCTTGATTTGGGCGCTTGGCCCGAATGACAAGGCATCAGCCTGGGACCAAGACTCCACAGGTCTGTCCGACGATGATGGAATTGTCTTAGTGCCCATGTGCATGTAGCGCATATTACATATTCACATTCGTGAGGGCTGAATTGGCGACTGTGAAGGTGACAGAGACTTCGAACTTCAATTTTCAGCTGCTGACACTTGGCTGGAACAGTTGACTATCTCTTTTATATGTCTAAATTAGGGTGCCATATTATGGGCTGTCGTCCAGAGCCGGCCACAGACTTGGGGCCGATGCCTCGTTCGAGCATCGTCGAGGCAGGGACTCGTCGATGGCTAGAAAGAAGGCGCGAGGCTTCGAACAAGGAAGCGTGGAAGGCCACGCCGAAAACAAAACATTCGCCTCCCCCCCCCGCCCCCTCACAGCAAATGCCCGGCGATGCACCAGAGGCAACGTGCCCAACGCACAGTTTCGGGGAAGCCTGGACACCTCCGAGGCTTTGCCAAAAAGGCCCCGCCAGCTCGCCAAGGCTTGCGTGTGTCCCGCCGGCCGAACCTTCCTACACGCCACCGAGGGTCGGCAGGTTTAAGGTATCCGGAAAGGGACTATCATGGAAAGACCCCATGAAGCGCCGAAGCCAAGGACAGGGCACCAGCCGCAACCTGAGACTTTAGACTTCTAAACCAACAGATTCTCGTGATTCTGGGTGTCAGCTTCATGGTTCCTGGTGGGGCTCAAGTCGGCGTGAGAGTTGTCGGGCTTAGGACTTGGGAACGTGTTTTGCGACTGAGGTCCTACAAAGTCAACCAGCGCATGATCGATCCGCTTGTCCTCGCTGAGACCACGGCTTCTGCAACGTGGGTGCATGAGTTTGAAGTTGCAGGGGTCTGTTGGAGGCATAGGTTAAGCTGCGGGTCTTCCTGATTCCTGCGGTTTTGGATCTTCAAGGCCAGCCTGCTCATGAACTCCACAGTGGCCGACCAGTTCAAGAAGATGTGGGCAGAGGTCTGCATCACCAGCAGCACCTATCAGCACCTTTTGATGTGGTTTGGGTTGGAGCAGGTCGCGAGCCTGCGAAACCAGACGTGTCTTGGTTGGCAGCGCTGGAATGGCTTCACAGGTGTTGTTCCGCTGGGGGCTGGTGTGCTCTTTGCCAAGGCAGATGACCAATGAGACCGTGGCACAGCATCTTGGTCAAAATGACATCGTGCAGAGTGAGGGTGCACGGAGAGCTGAGCCGCTGTATCCACAGCTGCCAGGAAATGGCAAGAGGCCACTGTGCTTTTTCCAGAACTTCCCATTCGTCCTTTGATGGCTGGGGACTGCCGGCTTTCACGGGCACATGTGCAGCACACTGCAGATTCATGATTAGACTATACTGTAGGAAGCGTATGAACCTTTTAACGGGAACATTACAGCCTGCACGTACGACCTGCTTCTACGGCCTTCATTCCAGGACTGCGAAGCGCAGTTGCTCAACGCTGAGTGCGTTGGCATGACCTTGAAGGGCACTTGTGTGTGCTACACAAGCTCGGAGGTGCCTTATCTCAGAGCTTTATAAGTACTTCTGCGACCGTTGTGAGTTTGACAAGCTTTCGATGCTGCTTCAGGTAGAGAGCCCTGAAGTTGTCCTTGTGTGAGTCCTCGCCCGTGGCTGAACTGAGTAGACGTTGCTCATCCTCGCTCGTTGTACAGTTCCTGTGGTGAGTGACGGAACTGCTGAGAAAGTCTGGCCAAGCAGGAGTGCTGTGCCGGGCTATCCAATCTTTCGCAAAAAGACTGGCTTGATAGTTACTTTGTTTACATTTGCTGGACGATGTCTGAAGTGCGACAGACCCTCCGATAGGACTGTGATAGGCTGTGATAGGCAAGATCGGGTAGCTGAAAACGTGATCATCGTGCTCCAATGTGGCGCAAGGCAGCGAAGCGAAGAGGCCAGCGAGTTCAGCTCGGGGCTTGTCAGGCAGGTGCTTCTTTCTCACTCTGGAACCCTTTTCAAACCATCGCAGTCGCTGGGAGGAATTGAAAAAAAAGGGTAGGAGAAGGCAACATCTTGATCTTCTGAGAACCTTCGTGGGCCTCAGAGGCCTCAGAGGCATGCCTTGGGCCTCTGAGGCCTTGAGCTGAAGAAGTTGCGGGGCAACATGCAGGACTCCTTGGGGTGCTCGGGCATGTCAGATGTTTGACTGGCTCTTCGTAGGGAATGAGGGAATGAGGTACCCTATATAATCCCTGAAAATGGTATGGAAAATCCCTTATATGGTATGTATGGGCCCAAATTCCCTCATTCCCTACTCAGAACCAGGGGGTTTGAGATTGCATATGCAGTGGCCGATGTGAATGGTGGCTCCGTTCATGCTGTCAGGACATTGCATCGGCTGCCCAGCAACGAATCGCTGAAGAGGCAGCACCTATCAGACCTATCAGGACAGAACGATTTCGACATGGAATATGGTTGCCTTAGATCTCCCAGCACGCCGCCTGTCGTAAGAGTTCAGAACCTTATATCACACGCCGATGCAGGTCTCACATTTGACTGGCGAGATGATGGCTATCCGCGATAGCATTGCGAACGAGCTGCAGGTGCTCGCAGAACGCCGACGTAGCCGGACCATGCAGCGAGCGGAAGCCCTGAACCCGCTACAAGGAAGGCAGGCAGGAAGGTAGTGAGAGGCTCTTAAGTGATTGGTTGATGTGTGAGGCCGTTTGAGCCTCGGTCAAGGCTAGTGGGTGTCCGGTCCTACCCACATCATTGCAAGACGCCCCGCGGTGAGCCTCCCCTCCACTTGTTCACAGGCGTCTATTTGCATGCTCTGTTCATCTGCTGTGCACATTTGTGCACCTAGGTGCTGCGCGAAACGCAAGCGTCTGACATCACCAAGCTGCAGCCTAGCTGATGTAATGTCAGAGGTTGTATTAGAATGCATGCAGCTACTCAACAACGGAGGCGGGACTTCGTGGACGCCAGCAGCTGGAAGCTGCCAGTGCCCAAGCACGGCGTGTTTGATCAGACGGTTTCTTCGTGGCATAAAATAACTGAAGGCGTGATCAGCAGACGGCCGACACGGGAAAGCTGCGAGAAGGCTTCCAGAGTGAAGTCAAGTGGCTCGGCGACAAAGGGCAGCTTTAGATTCCGATCATCTGCTAAATTTAACTATCAGGGACGAGAGCTGACGGAGCGGTGCAACAGCCAATGTCCTTGGCGTTGAGTCCGGCCCGCTGCAGGAACATCTTAGCCACCTTAGTCGTGGGATGCACAGGCTTACTTCAACGCAGCCAGCTAAGGGCTCTTCGAGAAGAGCTTTCTCGGGCTTCCTTGCCGCACTCAGATGGCGTACTCAATCGTGATTTCCTGAATGGCATTGCGTATTGTTGGCAAGCAGTGCAGTTGCAAGGCATCCTCCTTTCGCTCTGAGTTCTCGACAATCCGATCGGCATGGGACTGTCATCTCGGAACACTGCGCACTGAGCTGAGCGCCGTGCGCAAGGATCTCGACACCCAGAAGTCCGACATGAGCTCCGGGCACGGCGCCTTGCGTTCGGATTTCGACACGCACCGAAGCGAGGTGAGCGCTCTGCGCTCCGAGTTGACTTCGGCACGCTCGGATGCCAGCTCCCTGAGAGCTGACCTGGACTCCTGTCGCGCTGAGGTGACCAACGTCCGAGCAGACTTGGGCGACTTGAGCCACCAACTAAGTTCGCAAGCTTCCGAGCTGAACGCCCTCCCGACAAACCTCCGCACCGAGCTCCGCACGGAGCTGCGTGCGGAGTTGGGCTCGCAACGCACGGACCTCACGGGCCTGCGCGGTGACCTGAGCTCCTTCAGATCGGATGTGGCCTCCTGGCGCTCGGACATGGACAGCCACCTCCGCGACCTTTCGCTTCTGAAATCGGAGATGAAATCAGAGACTGAAAGCACCGGCGCCATGCTCAAGTCTCTCCAGCATCTCGTCTTACAGACACAATGACATGAGGTTTCTGCACACCGTAGTGAGGGTCGTGTGCCAGTCGGGCAATGCGTTCTGCTGTCCAAGTTCTGACTGCTTGTTTCTGCTGACGAGGTCTGACAAAGAGCAGCAAGCCACAGAGTTGAGTGCACTCCGCTCGGAGATGGACGTCACACGCACCAGCGTTGCCTCCCAAAGATCCGAGCAGGTCAGGTCTGGGCACCGTCGATTGGTCCTTTTGACGGTAGGAAACCATCGAAACCCTCCTGCCGCAAACTTTCTAAACCCTATAAATCCCCCGGAAGAGACTCTTAGCCTTGTTAGCGCAAAGTTAAAACCTGCTCGAAATCCAGACTCACAGGAGTCCCAGCGCTCAGCTTTGCGGTCCGAGCTTTCCCAGCTCACCGCTGACCTCAGCAAGGCCCAGCTCCCTCCGGGATGCGCGACTTTTGTTGCTTTTGGCTTGGGCTTCTTCGCACTGAAAGGATTGATTCCCCAGGCAGTGCTTGCACTAAGGGGCCACCGGGGTTCCTACATGGGTGTTTCCTAAACTAGGGGCACCCTTAAATACCCGCAAAAGAGTATGATCCTGATTGTAGGAACCCCCAAGAAGGGTACCCCTATTTTCGGAAATCCCCACATGGGGAGTAGAAGCAAAGAGATAAGAGATAGGGCGACCGCCGCGGCACATCGCGCGAAGCGACGCGCTCCGGAGAGCCCGCAAGCCACAAACACCCAATACGAAATAGATAACACCCTACTAACACCCTTTTACTACGAGTAATGAGAAGAATAAGAATTGTTAAGAAGTAAGAACAACAATACTAACAATAAGAACATATCGTGCTGTAGTTTTATGTACTAATAAAGTTTATCATATTCGGGTTGGAAGGTGGTTGTGTGCGCGGTTGGGGTGTTTCTTCAACATCCAATTTATACATACATGCATGGCAAAATGCATGGTTTTCGCCAAGTGCCAAGTCGCGCTCTGCCCTTTCGGTGGTTTGAATCGTGCTCCCGCCTAGGCCTAGGCCCCCGCTTGGGTTTTGGGTTTAGAGTTTAGGGTTTGGGGTTTACATGTAGCAAGAACAAGTTGATAGGTCAGTTTCGTTTAGAATCATCGGATCGTGTGTTTGGGACAATTCTCGCTGCCGTATAGTAGGATGCAAGTGAAATGGTGCATCGTGAAATTGTTTGGAGTTCGCCATCAGAGAAGTGATCAGTTCTCATCCAAGCCCGGTAAACTATTCTTTTGACAGAAAAAAGCGTTTCTCCCCAAGCATCCATCAACCCAAGCATCCCACTATCTATCCATCCCAGACCGACAAGGAGTATCCATGCATTTACTTGCTGGCTACCCATCCATCTAGAAAAACTTAGTCGGTCGTCTCGAAAGTGCATATAGCTGCATAGCTTCAAGGGTTCGGAGGGCTGATGAGGCTCTTGTGTGTTGTATCTGGCTTTTATGCGGATTCATGCGCTTATGGAGCTACTGGGGCTTGAGGCTCACTCTCCGACGTTTCAACAGACCATCGCAAGGTTCGAAAAGAACACTGCGACCTGCGTGGCGAGTTTCACAAGGAGGTTGCAGAGCTGCGGAAGGACTGCCAAGCGACCTGTGAGAAGGCGGCATTCACGTTCCATTTCCCTACGCGTCCCTGCGGTCAACCCACTCATGGGTTTTGCAATGAACACTTGGGGGGGGGTGGGCACGGTGTCCTTGCTAGGAACGATGCGGAATTGTCGCTTGCTCTTCACTTTCTCGATTTTGAGGAAACTACATTGGAAGTCTCCGAAAAGCAAACTGCCATTGACGACTTACGCAAGGACAGACGGTAAGAAAGGTTCGGATGTTCAACACAACACTTGATGCAGTAGAGGTCGCTTTCAGTTTAAGTTTTCACTAGTTCTCTCAAAGCCTCGTACACTTGTGAAGGAGCTTTCAGAGACCAAGAGCCAGCAGACGGGCCTTCAGAAGGATTTCAGCATGAGCCCTGAGGGGCACTAGTTGGATGTGAAGTTGCCACAGGATTTGTCTGGACTACGTGGTCACTTTGGCGACTTGCGAAAGGAGCGACTTCAGCCAACATGGTCAACACAGCCTGTCCAACAAGCATCCCAGAAATATTCCAGGAGCTTTCCTCCACACAGGGGCAGCTCAACGACGCGCGCAAGGCCAACGAAGATAAATTAAAGCCATGCTGGGGTTGTTGAGCTGCTGTAAAAGGGGCGGCTCAGGCGTGTGTCGCGCAGGACTCTTCCACAATGCAAGGGCAGGTGAACGACTTGCGCAAGGACTTGACCCGGACTATCAAGGTTCGCCGTACCTTGCTCTACTCGTGTTGTTCCTGTCTAGGACACCGCTTCCTTGAGAAGCCAGACGAGCGACCTGCTCAAGGTGCTATATTCTTACATGACTATCTATCAGTAGGCTTGCTTTTTTGCTATATTCTTACATGCTTATGTTGTTTTTGTATCCTTGTATCTGTGTTTTCGTAATTTGCTTCGAAGCCTGGTGCAGGAACTCCCAGTGCTGCAGGGCCAGGTGACTGACCTGCTGAAGGCACAGGTGCCCCCGGAGCAAGGGTCTATTTGGTTGAGTAGAGATTATACTGCTACAATACACTACTCATACACACGTGTAAATAGTATTGTAATATAGTATAGCACTAGTATATCTATGGTGTTTTTGGACTTCACATCCACGAAGGAGGCGGCCGCCACCCATGCCCAACGCACACAGGAAGACTTGCGAAAGGCTCGAGAGAGTCCAAGACGCTGTGCAAAGAATGACCTCTTAGCCGAGCACCCCATCTGTGCCAGGGGCTGAGTGCCACCGAGGGCCAGGTCAGCAGCCTTCAGAAGGCTTCTCGTGGCCCAATGCCTTCATGTGGAGTCCGATCCGATGAGCGTTTCATCGTTTAACAGTGTTTTTGAGGGCTTTGTGGCAGGAGATGGTGTCTATCAGGAGCGAGGCGAAGGACATGTCTAAGGTGCGGCTGCGGTTGGGCTGCTGTAGGAGTGTTGCGCATGTTGATATCACACAGTCCTTGAATTGCCCCACTTGGACTTGCAAAGTGATGTGCTGCACCTAGAACTTGGAGGATGCGCAGGAGCTTCAAAGCAAAGTGCGAGGCCTCCAAGAGGCCCCGTGCCATCTCCTATGCTTTACCAAGTAGTACTTTGCACTGTTGCATGCCATGGTTCATGGACACAATGGCCCGGCATGTCTGAAGGAAAGTTCGGAGACTTGCACGCGAATGAACAACTTGCAGAAGGAGAGCATGAAACGGGCAAGGGAGGGACACGCCAATGATAAGATAGAGGAGCTGCCACATGCCACACTCACCTCTGGAGCTACAACCAGATCCCTAAGCCGATCAAGATTGAGAGCACGAGCTACGCGCTGGCAGAAATGCATGGGCGAGCAGAAATGCCCAGGAGTTGGGGCAGCTACAAAGTCAGCTGAACGACGTGGGCAAGGAGTCAGACATGGCTCACATCTCTGAGTTTTTGCATCATTGAGAGAATCCCAGGAGATCATGGCCGCACATGAGACCACAAACTCGCTCCGCCACGAGTCGCGAAGAGCCGCTGAGGAGAACGACTTGAACATGCTGTGGCCTTCCTTGCCTTGCACCAATGACAAATCAAAATAGTATAAATAAAAAAATATATATTTATTTATTTATTCATTCATTTAAATAAAAAACTGGCTCAGGATGCGCTGGCCCAGCTGTCCAGCCATCAGCAGGATTTGGGGGCGGTCCAGGGCTCTGTGGCGGAGTTGCAGAGCTCCTTGAATGATGTGCGGAGCTCCGTGAATGATGTGCGGAGCTCTGTGAATGATGCGCGAGATGATGCACGGCAGGCAGGCAGCAGTGCTTTAGGCATCCTACAAGGAATCACTTAGTTAATTGCGAAGTCGCCCCTTGGAGCTTGGGGCTTCTATTCTATTGACTTCAGCGGCTCTATGTTTTGCGAGGGCATCGCCGATTCAAACAGCGCACTGATCGAAGTCCGCAAGGCCATCTGTGACCACTTGGCCCTTCTTTGCTTCTTTCTGTGCCGGAAGTTGCCGGCACTTCACACCTCTCTGAATGGCTGTCGGCGGGGGCGTCTGCTTAGCAGTGCTTCACCGTCAAGTCTCAAAGCTTGCAGTCACAAGCAGGAGGTTGCCGAAAGTATCAGCCACTCCGACGTGCTGCACCAGGCACCAAGCTGCAACTCAAAACAAGTCCTGACTGTAACAACTCTTATAATTACAAGCGGAGTTCTAGCGATTCTAGTGACAACTACTAAGCAAATTTCAACAATATGCAACAACAATCGTAGTAGGGGTAGTAACAACACAAACAGCTTTCAAAATAGTTAGCAAAAAAGCGCTCATAGATGATTTATTACAATAAGTATGTTACCAAGGAGTAAACAATAGATAGCAAAAAATATATGCACCACTGAACAAACATGTAGAAGGACCAAAGATAATTTAAGAATGCTAAGCAGTACAAAAAACAGTTACCAGTCGTTAGTCTCATCCGTCATTGCCAGCAGAAATTAGTGCAAAATCAATCAAATGTGTACATACGAAAACAAAGCAAGAAGAAGGATAATGAAGAAGGATAATACATGTATATACATACATATATAAATAATGATATGTATATATGTATATTTACTAACAAATACATAGACAAGCATCTGGGCTGCTGCTTGTTGGAGCGCTCTTGTGCCAGCGGAGGCCTTGCGGCAGGATCTGGACCAGCTCCGCAGCCAGGCGGCTGAGGTGAGAAAGGCGGGATCCCCAAAAGTGAACGCGGTAGGGCTTAGGGATGTTTAGGGTTTAGGAACAAAAGGGTGCGCAAAAACTTACGTGCGACACATGCAGGCGGATGCACAGAAGCCTTTTGCAAAAAGGGAGCAATAGCTCATTCAATGGCTATACTCTATACTCGATACTCTATGATGAGTTTTTGTCAATACCAGAAGTAATATTCACGCTCTACTTTTAGTGGGTGGTTCATACATGCTGTTGTTCAGTCATTCAATTCCAGCGAATCGTCTATCAAACGGTGACTTCCGATCCCCGCAGGATCTCACCACTGTCTTCCAGATGGAGCTGGCCAGCCTACGAAAGGCCTCAGCCTTTCATGTTCTGCTCGTCGCTGCTAGTCACCGGCCGAGAGAGTTATGTGCTCAATAATTCGACTGAACTCCATCTCACAGGAGTTGGGGCAGCAAGGAGAAGATCTCCAAGGTGCATTGATGTCCATGCAGGCGGCTGGCCAGGGGATGTGAGGCAGCTGATGGCCTGCACGTGTGCGATATGGCCCCAAGTGTTTACATGACGGTCCCTTGGGGGGTACCCTAAATATCAGCATGCTACTAAGTGGCCATACAACATAGGCTTCTTCGAAGTACTTCGTGTGATGGGGGCCAGCTGGTGCCTGGCTGCGTATGGCTACCGATACCACATAAAGACTCATCTTCATTAGAGCAGCCCATACTGGCCCATGTTGGCCTTTGCGATGCCACATGACTGCTCCGCTCATCATGGGGGTTTGGCATCAGGAGAAGTTGCACCCTGCTTCCGCATCCAATTGCTAGGCCAGAATAAAGGATGAGGCCGCCACGGAAATCAGGCTCAATGCTGCTTTGCCTAAGTGGGAGAAGTTGTCCCAGCTCAAGCCGCGAAGACGCAGATTTCATGGATGTGGCAGGAAGCTGCAAGGCGATGTTGGAGCCTCGAAATCCCGAAGATGCCTCGCCCTCTTCAATAAAACCCTCAGAAGTTCAAATGTCCAAAGATTTCATACCCCACCAGGGTACCACGACCATATGTGGTTGAAGTAGCACGAGACCCATCCGAGGTCACCAGTATGGTGCAGCAGACAACGCAAAGACTGAAGGACGAGGCTTTTTTCACATGCACCTTCGAGTTCAGAAAGAGGGATGTGGACAGATGAGTTCATGGTGAAGTGCTCCTGCAGGCAGGGCAAATGTCCTCAGCTCTCCAGGCGGCCAAAGAGGTGCGCGAATCCTGTTCCATGGGCACGGGCAACTTCCTCTGTCCCTGGCGCGCCTGCCGGGTCATCCTGACCTCTCAACCGTGTGCCCTATTGTGCTGTGGAGTGCCGGACGCCGGGGTGTGAGTGCGGGCCTGTACCTACGGCTCATGCCTGTTGTGTGTTGTTACATACCGGGGTCTGGGGCCTGGGGGCTGTATCGTCGATAGAACGAGCCAGGGGCAAGGGCTGTCACAATAGTGGACTACGACGCTCTCCTCGATTTGTCCCTGCGGAGTCGCGTGCAAAGAATCCCCAAAACCCCCCTGTGGCTCTGGAGGACGCCGCCGACTTGCGCTGCGAGGTGCATGCGGCGCCCAAGATATCTCGGGGTCATCTGGGTTACATTGTAGCACTGTAAAGATGTACAATTTCAGAAGTTAAGTAGTGGCTTATATGTGTATATATACATATATGTGTATATGTATACATGCATGTTATATACATACATGTATTGTGTATAGTGTGTATGTATGTATGTATGTATGTATGTATGTATGTATATATATATATATATATATTTGTTTTTTATATTTGTATTTATATTTATATCTATATTTATGTATACATATGCAAGTGTTGTTTGTTTCCTTGTGCATTGTTTGCTCAGACTGCAAGGCCTGCAGTGCGATCGAAGACCAGCGCCGTGAGGCTGGGGCCAAGGGCACGAGGGCTAAGGGCACCTAAGCTCGCAGGATCATCTCACAAGGATCATAGGATGAATGCGCCCAGATGGGATGTTCCCCCTTGTACGAACAGTCCTTAATTGGGATTCTAGTACCCCCCCCCCCCCTCCCTATGAGTAAGGACTGTTAGAAGGGGGAACATCCCAAACGACCCGAAGTAGTGAGATCACCAGTAACCAAAAATCACTGCAAAGGAGTAATAGCAGCATGAAGAATAGTGATAACAGGAACAGCGATCAGTAGAACAATAGTACGATATGGAGTGCACAGAAGTAGATGGGTAAAATGATATGTGCGTGTATGTATGCATACAAATGAACATATACTTCGTTCTACTCAGTCATACACACATGTCTTCGCGCCCAGCTGCCATGCAGGTCGATGCCCATCTCTCCATGCGCATCACGGAGGACGGGCTCAGAGAGCTGCAAAAGTGACAGCGTGCTCAATATCATGCTGAGTTTAGGGCTTCAGGGCGCAAGGGTGCCCGTAGCACCGAGATGTCTAACATGTTCGTACCCCATGCCTTTGCTTGATTTGGTCTGCATGCTGGGATTCCGAATGTGGCCTTGGGTTCCAAACCGTTGCCCCAAAGCTCCTCGAAGTTCGTTGTCAGAACTGCATCAGAGTTCTGGTCGGAACACGTCAGGTGCAAGAGCAGCTCGAGAGGGAGTTCAAGGTCAGTTCTGGTACTGTTATGACACTCTGCAAAATTGCAGAACTTGGGCTTTGTTCGAGCCAATGTTCTTGATGTCAGGTGGCAGATGCCAATTTGCATGCCGAAGTGGCGACTGCCGCCGCAAGTGAGCCAGGACTTGTTTTCGTCACAACGACTGCTTATAAAACCCTAAACCCTAAACCCTATACAGGGCACAAACGAGCTTCGCGCGCGGAATCCGCCAGGTGACCGGTACAATGTGGGGGTGGAGATGGAGCGACTCCGAGCCGATCTGGTGCAGGTCGACTCACTCCGAGCAGCTGTGGCACAAGTTCAGGACCAGTGGGCGGCTCACAGCATGTCACTGGCTCTTAAGAGACGCGAAGCTCGCTGAAGCAGAAGCATTTCGGGGGCTTCTTTTGCGCATTGGCGAATTTTCCTGCGGCTTCAGGAGATGGCAAGCCGAGCGGGGTCCCACGAGGTGGTTGCGACACTGAGAATCGCACTCAGCACTTGGAGCCCATCGAACGTCGCATGCTGCTCACTACCATCAACATTGTCAGACATTGAAATGAGTTGAAATGATATTATGCAATATTGCCATCTAATGCACCTTCCTCTGCGAACTGAAAGATGTAGGCTCGCCAGCAGCAGCAGGAGCATTGTGCCACAGTTAGAATCCGATTGGTGTAAGGAATTGACCCGACATTCCTCCAGAACTTCATGCCTGCCGACTATGAGTTTCCCTTGGTGGCCAGCAGGCTTTTTTCCATAGTTCCGCAACAGCGGTTCCGAATGGTTTGTTCAATTCCGGGAGAGGTGCATGGTCCGGCTGAAGCCCAACCGAAAGGCACGAGCGACTGCTGTTACTGTAAGGCTCTTCGCAGACAGACGCAGGTAAGCACAGAGACGAGGGGAAGGGGTTGCTGAGTATTGCCCAACGCTGAAATTCGGCTCGCAGCCTGTTTCACTCGGGTTTTCGTCTGCACCATGGCACAAAATGGTCTGGCGCTTGCTGTGGCTCGGCAAGTATAAGTGAGGTTCAGCTGCGCAACTCAAAGCTTTTGGTTGTTGCGTGGTGTTGTGGGTTCAGTGTCTCAGGAAGTGCCAAAACGGGAGCGAGACCAACTGCAGCACTCTGCTGCGCTAGAGCTGGCAAGCTATGCTGCAATCTTTGAGGCCTGTTGAAGTGGAAGGACGACTGTTTGCAGTAGGCATCGAATCTGTGATGGCCATGCTCCAAAGCATCATTCGTGCTAGCGGTGTTCCCAATGTGTTAGTGTTATCTAGACAAGGGGGAGGGGGGTGGGCTGTCCCCATGAGCTTCAGCTGGGTTATTCTCCACAGAGGCCCCAAGTGGGCCCCAAGTGATTGTGCAGACTTGACGTGGTGGGAGGGGAGCATCATGAACTGAAGGGTTGAATGAACACCTCATAGCCCGGCAAGTTGTCGCAAATCTATCCACGATCAGCTTATGCTGGTTTCCGACACTTTCAGGCCATGTAGCTGCTGCTACACTGTTGGGGGACGGAGGGCGGTTGGGGCGAATGCTCGAGTTCAACTCTCGCTTGCTTTCACAACTGCTTTGGCATGCCTGCAAGTGTACACTTATATGGGGGGGAGGCTGCGTCTAGCTCGTTGCTGGCTCTCTCCCCACTTGCCCTTGGGAGTTGAGTGGTGGAGCCCACAATGATGGCATATGCAACCCTAAACCCTAAAACCCTAAAACCCTAAACCCTAAAACCCTAAAACCCTAAAACCCTAAAACCCTAAACCCTAAACCCTAGAACCCTAAACCCTAAGACCCTAAACTGCACGCAGCACGCGGAGCCGTACCTTCTGGACCTCTACGCGGCGATCTGCCACGATGCCAGCGAGCAGCCGAGCATCGAAAGTGCCAGGCAATTCTGGGAGCAGCCTGGGCAGCACTACTTACTGTTGCTTAGGATGCCCCCCATAAATATACCCTATATAATCCCTTTAGGGGTATATAATATAGGGTATATTATGGGATTCGTGTTGGTTAGTAGGGATCCCCCTATAATATACCCTATGAGGCAGGCTATTCGCACCATAATTACCTGTCTAATCAGTCTCCTTTGTCAGGAAGACCTTTGCAGTTGCCACAATGGTTGCAGGCTTTTTTGTTCAAGCAGCTTGAAATCAGCTGATCTGACCGCAGAAGATCATCATGGCTCGCTCCAGCTCCGTCGCTGCTCCGCTGCTGCTCATCGCTGCCGCCGCGTATGTCCTGAGCTGCTGCAACTCGGCACCATCCTTTGTGGCACCACCAAAGGCTGCCGAAGTGGCCCTGCAGCAACAGCAGCAAGCTGCAGTCGTGAGTGCAACGCTGGCAGCTGCCTCCATGCCGGCTCCTGCTTGGGCGGCACGTGCCTCGGACGAAGATGACGAGGGCTTTGACGTCCGCATCATCGCGGTGCTGGCATTGCCCCTGCTCGCCATCGGCTGGGCGCTCTTCAACGTTTGGCGCGTGGCATTCCGCCAGGTGGTGCGCCAGGGTGAGAACGCCAAGGGCAACGCGCTTTGATGTGGCGGCCGTCTTCCAGGATGTCCGTTCTAAAAAGTTGCGCATCATCAAAGACAGGCTGCGCGACAAAATGAGCACAACTTGCAACAACATGCAATGTATCTTGCCGACATCATCGTGCTGTGAATCATATATACCCCAGGAAGTACATCATGAAGCAGACAAGTCAGGCACATAGCGTTGTTGACCAGGTGACTAGGTGTTTGTCGGCAGCTCGTCTCAAATCGAAATCAACCTCCGATCATTGCTCGCAGTTTTTGGTTTAGAAGGCTGGTGCAGCAATCAACCGATCCGTGCCCACCATCATGGCTCGCTCCAGCTCCGTGGCCGCTCCGCTGCTGCTCATCGCTGCCGCCGCGTATGTCCTGAGCTGCTGCAACTCGGCACCATCCTTTGTGGCACCACCAAAGGCTGCCGAAGTGGCCCTGCAGCAACAGCAGCAAGCTGCAGTCGTGAGTGCAACGCTGGCAGCTGCCTCCATGCCGGCTCCTGCTTGGGCGGCACGTGCCTCGGACGAAGATGACGAGGGCTTTGACGTCCGCATCATCGCGGTGCTGGCATTGCCCCTGCTCGCCATCGGCTGGGCGCTCTTCAACGTTTGGCGCGTGGCATTCCGCCAGGTGGTGCGCCAGGGTGAGAACGCCAAGGGCAACGCGCTTTGATGTGGCGGCCGTCTTCCAGGATGTCCGTTCTAAAAAGTTGCGCATCATCAAAGACAGGCTGCGCGACAAAATGAGCACAACTTGCAACAACATGCAATGTATCTTGCCGACATCATCGTGCTGTGAATCATATATACCCCAGGAAGTACATCATGAAGCAGACAAGTCAGGCACATAGCGTTGTTGACCAGGTGACTAGGTGTTTGTCGGCAGCTCGTCTCAACTCGAAATCAACCTCCGATCATTGCTCGCAGTTTTTGGTTTAGAAGGCTGGTGCAGCAATCAACCGATCCGTGCCCACCATCATGGCTCGCTCCAGCTCCGTGGCCGCTCCGCTGCTGCTCATCGCTGCCGCCGCGTATGTCCTGAGCTGCTGCAACTCGGCACCATCCTTTGTGGCACCACCAAAGGCTGCGGAAGTGGCCCTGCAGCAACAGCAGCAAGCTGCAGTCGTGAGTGCAACGCTGGCAGCTGCCTCCATGCCGGCTCCTGCTTGGGCAGCACGTGCCTCGGACGAAGATGACGAGGGCTTTGACGTCCGCATCATCGCGGTGCTGGCATTGCCCCTGCTCGCCATCGGCTGGGCGCTCTTCAACGTTTGGCGCGTGGCATTCCGCCAGGTGGTGCGCCAGGGTGAGAACGCCAAGGGCAACGCTCTTTGATGTGCCTGGCTCTCCTCAAGGCGCCAGTCTTCCGGGATGCCTGTTCGCAAGTCGCACTGCAATGTGTGACCCGCGCATCATCAAAGTCAGGCTGCGCGTCAAAATGGCCAGAACTTGCATGAACACGCCCCTATGCATGGACTGTGCCACATGGCGGTTGTCCCAAAACAAACCCTCGAGCTAAAAACTCACTAGCGCGCACGGAGCATTGACCACCATTGGCATTACCACAGCTACTCGCTGCTGATAGGCAGCTTTAGCAAGGATGAACAGCAGTGGCATAAACCAAAACCAGATGGTATCCATTTCGGAGCACGCACAAATCAGAAGCCAGAAACCCGCCGAAGACGCGCAAGAGGCGTGCAGCAGAGCACCATATGTTTGCAAGCCCGATTGGCCCATCTGCCTTGTGGCGGTTCGAAATTCTTCACGTGACCCCCCTAGGCTTGATGCAGGCACCCTCATACCGAGCACATCCTCAAAGCTCCTAATAGCCCTAGACCCAAAACCTCAAAACCCTCGAGAAGGAGCTTTAACCTCGAAGCCCTCTTGGCAGTCACCGAGCGATCATCTTCAAATCCGGATGAACACCATAAGCCCCAAACTTTTCTCTTGCTCAACGCAAGTGCGCTGTTTTAATGCTTCCAAACCGAACAGCATATTGCGACTACGCAGCCAAACAGCAAGACGTGTGTTTCTGTCGATGGCGAGCTGCGAAAGTGCACACAAGAGCGTGCGAAACGCGCTGAATTTAGGGCAGCTCACACCAATTTCACCGAAGTAGTCATGTCCATGTCACGACCAGCCCCCCCCCCCCCCCACGCCCATGTTGCCATTTTGCAAATGTGCTTGGCTTAAGCGAAGACTGGTGCGGAAATCGAACGACCCTTGCCCAAAACAAATCATGGCTCGCTCAAGCTCCATTGCTGCTCCGCTGCTGCTCATCGCTGCCGCCGCGTATGTCCTGAGCTGCTGCAACTCGGCACCATCCTTTGTGGCACCACCAAAGGCTGCGGAAGTGGCCCTGCAGCAACAGCAGCAAGCTGCACTCGTGAGTGCAACGCTGGCAGCTGCCTCGATGCCGGCTCCTGCTTGGGCGGCACGTGCCTCGGACGAAGATGACGAGGGCTTTGACGTCCGCATCATCGCGGTGCTGGCATTGCCCCTGCTCGCCATCGGCTGGGCGCTCTTCAACGTTTGGCGCGTGGCATTCCGCCAGGTGGTGCGCCAGGGTGAGAACGCCAAGGGCAACGCGCTCTGAAGGGTCCGGTTTTCCTGCAACTTTTTTGGCAGTTTGCGGGCGTACTGTGTAGCTGCTCAGCTCCAACTAGCCCGAGAATCTCCAGAACTCAGTAGTCGAGGAATTGCACTCTCAGCGGTGACGCGGAAAAGTGTCTATACAGCAAGTCAGCATGAGCAGCAGCAGTCCCGTACAAGGTGGCACCCGAGTTTCATATGTTTATATATATATATATATATTATTGTTATTTTTTGTATGTATATGTATATTCTTATTTTTATTTTATACGATATTATATTATATGATTTATATGTATATATATATATATATATATATATATATTATAGAGGGGGCAGGCACCAGCGCCGAAGCTGATAGTGACAAACTTGGCGAAAATGATAGCCACTTTGGATATCTTGTGCTGATGGCTGCAGGGTTTTTTGATTGTAGCCTACAGACCCACCAGAAGTAAGACTGGCAAGAGAAGACCATGGCTCGCTCAAGCTCCATTGCTGCTCCGCTGCTGCTCATCGCTGCCGCCGCGTATGTCCTGAGCTGCTCGAGGTCAGCACCATCCTTCGTGGCACCACCAAAGGCTGCGGAAGTGGCCCTGCAGCAACAGCAGCAAGCTGCACTCGTGAGTGCAACGCTGGCAGCTGCCTCGATGCCGGCTCCTGCTTGGGCGGCACGTGCCTCGGACGAAGATGACGAGGGCTTTGACGTCCGCATCATCGCGGT